CCAGAGCTGCAAAACAAAGTTGTTCTCATTCAAGTCGCCGTCCCAAGCCGCGAGGACGTAAAGGAATATCAAGATCTCGAAACGGAACTATGTACTATCGCCGGGAAGATCAACGGAAAACATGGTAAGACCTTGTGCGCAAATATTGGGAGCATACTAACTAGCCAGCCACTCCCGAGGGCACTCCGCTGCTGTATATGCATCGCTCCGTTCCATTCAACGAATTGACCGCGTTGTACTCGGTAGCCGATGTTTGTCTTCTCACCTCCACTCGTGATGGAATGAACCTCGTGGCCTTCGAGTATGTCGCCTGCCAGCAAGAGCGTCATGGTGTCCTCGTTCTCTCCGAATTTGCCGGCGCGGCTTCCTTCATGACGGATGGTAGTATTCCGTTCCATCCTGCAAACAAGACGGAAATGTCCGAGGCAATCTTCAATGCGCTGAATCTGGACCCGGCCGAACGAAAGGCAAAGTACGAGTATCTTCGAGGCTTTGTCAATACCAACACAAGGTTCGAAGGGCTTTCCTGCTTTCCTAATGTCAGTTGCTAACCTTGGTAGTGCAAAATGGGGCGAGACCTTCATCGAAAAATTATCCCTCCGTTGCAGACGGCCCGGGGATTCATGTTGATAGTCAAGGACTGCTGAGCATGGTGTATAGTGATATTCAATCCCCTTGTCTGTCAAAAGCAAGCCGCTTGCCGTTACCATAGGAATTGAATTGTCGTCTTGTTTTGCCCACGGATCCTGAGTGTTAGCGACTTGATTGAGTGTTGACCTATTAGCTTGAGTCCAGATTTTCTTCGCTTAGTCGTCGATGTTTTGCTGAGTCGTCGGTAGTCATTTCGCCTAGTCGCCCGTCGCTTTTTTTTGACTCGTTCTGTTGTCATTGGCAATGTCTACTTTCTTTTGCTGAGATTGTAATTACATTCAATAAATTGCCGCAATGATAAGGCGGTAACCCCAAGGCGGCTTGCAATAGATCTCGATACCTGGTACCTCGGACGCAACCCTCGATCCCCATGCAAAGTGTAGCCAGCATTATCTCGCGCACCACGTCGCTCCCCAACGTGATAGTTCGTACAAATTTAAATTATTACCCTAGCTATAAGCTCACAAATTTTCATCTCAACAACTATACTGTAGCGATCAGGGTGAAGCGTGTCACCTCACGCGCCTTATTGTATACAAGCCGTGGGTACATTTACCCCAGATTCATTCCATCGGACCAATCAGCGTCCGATACAAGTACCCACCGCCCGCCCACCGCCAATCAGCGTTGAGTACGAGTATATAAATTATTCAACTTCAATTTTGTCTGTCTTCTTTACCTTTCCTCCTCCACATCTTCTCTAGTCGCATTGGCTCCAGGGACCTCATACTTCTACTCTTCTCAATTGCATCCTTGCTTGTACTTGACCTCGCTTACTCCAATGCACGTTTATTATCTCTCGTTTACCCCATTGCAGGTGGTTTGGTTGTGTACCTTGGTGAGTCTCCAGATCGTTTATACCGATTCACGTCTTGCTTCGTAGGCCAATGGCCTCGCTGCCTAGGCGACTCGCTTACATCGCTTAGTCGCCGACGCACTTTGCTTACTCGTTACACGTTTTTTCCAAGTCGTTTTTGTTTTTATTTTTCTTTGACTACCAATTGACTTTCCTTTACCTTCTCCTTGGTAAGTTGTCTCATTTATCCTTCTCCATCCTCTGCATTACGGAGTTTTCTTGTTGCGCTGATTGCTATGTGCTTCCATCACTTCATGTCCACTCCCTCTTGGTTCAATGATGATGATGATGATGATGATGATGGAATAGGATGAGACATTCATCATTCCTTTTTTCTTCAGATGCCATGGGGGTTCTATCTTACTGACGTCTCATCTGACTAGTGTCTACACATCTACTTGCTTTGACTCGGCCCCATCTACCATCTCCAACGTAAAGTGTAAGTCCTACTCCCCTTCTGCATTATCCTTCTTGCCATGACTATGTCTTGGTCATGGGTTTCATGTTCTTTCGGTGTTGCAATGATGACTACATCTCTTTTCTGTGCTCTGATGGTTGATGAACGCACTACTATGTCTGAGTCACCGTTTGAAACCCATTGCCTTGTTCAAAAAATCATCATTTGGTTTACTCTTCAGTCTTTTTGAAGTTTCATCTGCTAATAAATTTGTCTCTCACTAGTCTTCTCATGCACTTATGGGCTGTCAATATGGCAGTGATGACGGCCAATACCCATGCTAGCTCTGAGAGTTCTGATCCACAGTTCAAACCTATTTGCCTCTTTAGCAGAGCTGCCATTGTCATTTCCCTGTTCGATATACTTGCTCATGTCTAAAAAGACACTTGCTGATGGAATTGTAAGTGCTTTCTTGCGTTCTGTGGCTCTCACTTTGGCGATGATGAAAAGGGTTATTTATGCCTGAACCTCTGTTCATAGCAAGAGTTCTTTTCAGTTTACAAAAAAAAAAAAAAAGAGGACTGAAGAAAAAGAACCCCCTTATGTCTGAGCCTATATTGATGCAAACCTTTCTACTTGAACACCCATTCAATTGCTGGATTACATCTTGCTAATAGTATTGAATCTTCCTAGCTCAGCTTTCTCTCTCTCCCATTTCCCTTCTGGGCTTTCGATCCGGCGATGTTGGAAAGGGTTATACCTGAGCCCCAGAGAAAGACACGCCTCTTGTGGACAAAACAAGAGGAAGAGGTGCCGAAGAAACCAAACCCTATGCCTGAGCCTACATTCAATATCTTTGGTTCCTTGAGAGAGCCGCCATTGCCATTTCTCATTTACCTGCTCATTTCTAAAATGGCACTTGCTGATGGAATTGTAAGTCCATTCCTGTGTTCCGTGACTCCCAATTCGGCGATGATGAAAAGGGTTATTTATGCCTGAACCTCTGTTGATAGCAAGAGTTCTTTTCAGTTTACAAAAAAAAAAAAAACAGAGGACTGAAGAAAAGGAACCCCCGTATATCTGAGCCTACATTTGATCGCAACTTTTCTCTTTGAATCCGCATTTCATATTGCTGGGTTACATTTTGCTAACGCCACTTGCATATGTCTAGCTCAGCTCTCTCCTAGCCCTCCCTTAGCCTTCGGTTTGGCAATGATAAAAAGGGTTATATCTGAATCTCGTCTTATCAAGGATCTGCCATTTATGGTGAACCAAAAAAGATTCCGACGAAAACAATCCTCATGTCCGAGCCTACATTCGATGCCTTTGTTTTCGTTAATTTTAATTGCAAATTCTCTGTTTGGAACCCATGTCTCTTTCTGGATTATATTTCGCTAATGCCATTATTCCTTTCCAGCTCACTCACGCTCCCGTTTCCGCCTTGGTTTTCGATTTGGCAATGATGGAAAGAATTACGCCTGAAGCTCATCTTATGAGGTATCAGCCCTTTGTGATCGGATAAAAAGAGGGGTCTGGAGAAAACAACCCCATATATGAGCCTATGCTCAAAATCCCCTGCTTGATTTCTTCGTGTTCAAGGTTCCCATGTTCAGTCTGTGGAACTTATTCTGCCAATCCCATTGGCCCTTCGACGGTCCTTTTGCATTTTGAGCAAGTGAGTTGTCGTTACCTTGTTGTTATGGTTTCCCATTTTGTCAACTTTCTTCCTATCCTTTTATTGCCTATTGGTAACTTGCTTGATGCCATGATGACCGAACCTTGGAAAGAGCTCTACTGAATATCCTTGATGAACATGGATGGAATAGCCAATCTGATGCATCATCCAACATTCCTGCCTTTGTGGATTATCCTTATCATATATTATTTCCGTATACTGACTACCTTCGCTAATTTCTTGAGTTTAGTCTTTGATGTTGTCGACCTTTCCCCTATCGGTGATTTCCTTGATGCCAATGATGGAGAAAGAGAGCTAGCTGAACATCTTTGATGACCAAGCTACACTTGTCTGAGGCACTTTTTGAGCACTTTGACTTTGTCTGTTACACTTAGCAGTCTACATGGTTCGCTGCTTTTTAAGGTTGAGTACTTTTTATGTTGTCAACTTTTCCCGTATACATGATACCCCCAAAGGCATTTTGCTTGGTGGCGATGACGAGAAAGTCTTGTGGCCGGAACTTCATTGACGAATACTTGCCTGATCTGAGCCACCATTCAAGCAATGTGTCATTGCTTGTTTTTTCCCGTTTCCTATACCCTTACGATATCCCTTCTCAATGCACCTGTCGCTGATTTCTAGATTGCAATCTCCTAGATTCAACATATCTTCTACCCTTGCATTTGAGGGCAACTTGCTTGGTGGCAATGATGAGAAACTTGCTTGGGCTGAACTTCATTGAAGAAACAGTGCGTGTTCTGAGCCACTATTTTAGCTTGCCAGCCATCGTTGTTGGATTCTTATCCTTTGCCCTGCCCTTGAGTTTCTTTGTTTAATACTATACTACCGGTGAGTTTGAAACCACGTCTCGTATGACGGACTTCTCTCCACATTGATTTGCTTGATGCCAATGATGAAAGTTGCTGCTGCTGAACCCGCCCTGATGGACTATATTAACGCTAGTCTGAGGCTATATTGAAGCAATTATCCCTTCTTCCTTCTGCCATTAGTTCAAATTTTCAAGAGCTCTCTGCTAAATTCCTGATTTTTTCTAGAGTTCTCACCCAGAAAGGTTCGAAACTGTACCCCAAGCAAAATCTGGTTTCTCAGACGTCAATTCAGCATTGTATCACTACTCTTCTATGGTCGAAATAGTATGAAAATGTTTTATATCTTAAATGATACCTTTCCAAAGTGCAGTACAAGTGCTGTACCTTTTCCCTAAATCGCCCCACAAGATCATCCATGACGCCGCACCCGTGGCTTATCACGACATCCGCAGCAAATGAGGAAAACCCTTATCATTGGCTCCAACATGTCCAGGGGTCCTTGTGTGTGAAAAAAACAACAATTTCTATCTCTCCGATTTGACTGATTTGAGACTTGTCTTTGATTTGTTTGTATATGCAGACTTTCTCGATATGACGGACAAAACGGATTTCAGCGCCGTAACATACAGAGGACCCGTTCAGGATGGCGCTACGAAAAGCTTGCGATCGGAGATAAACCGATCGGATGAAGAGATTGCGACAGATCCTATGTCTGCACCATTAAAGCGGCAGCTCAAGTCTAGACATCTACAGATGATCGCCATTGGAGGTGAGTTTACAGTCGCAATTATTCTTTTACGCAGTTAGTGTTGACCAAAATATTCCCAGGCATTATTGGTCCTGGTCTGCTAGTGAGCTCCGGCAATGCGCTGCACGAGGGTGGACCCGCAGGAGCTTTGATTAGTTTCTCGCTGGTCGGCATTATCGTCTTCTTCGTCATGTAAGGAAGTGCATTTTCTGGTCCCAAGAATGATTCTGATGGCTATAGGCAATCGCTGGGTGAAATGGCCACGCTGCTCCCTGTGACTGGATCATTCACCGAGTATGCGGAGCGCTTTATTGACGACTCTCTTGCGTTTGCGCTGGGATGGGCGTATTGGTACTTATGGGTAACTGTACGGCATACATTCAGAATTCGAGTGTTACGAAGGATCTCTTGCTAACTTGACAATGCAGGTTCTCGCAAATGAATACAACGCGATATCACTAGTCATTGGGTACTGGACGGATGCTGTACCTCAATGGGGCTGGATCTTGATCTTCTGGGTGATGTTTCTTACCCTGTCAAATCTCGGAATTTTGGCCTATGGCGAGATGGAATTTTGGCTATCTCTGTAAGTTTCCGCGTGCTTGCGTTTGAAGCATCAAATTGGCTAATAGACTGCAGTATCAAGGTGTTGGCATTGATTGTATTTTTCATTCTCGCAATTATCATCAGCGCAGGTGGCATTGGACCGCGCGCTATTGGGTTTGAATATTGGCATGCCCCCGGGGCATTTGCAGATTCAATCAATGGCGTTGCAAAGACTTTTGTTGTTGCGGGAACGTTGTATGCTGGTACTGAAATGTATGTTCTCCAACATCGAAGGTGGTGGGGAATAGCGAGAGCTGACAGTCTTAGGGTTGGCATCACCGCCGGAGAATCGGCGAATCCCCAAAAAGCAGTACCCAAGGCTATCAGGCAGGTCTTTTGGCGTATCCTAATCTTCTACGTTGGTAAGTTCACATTGAAACAAAAGACCGAAGTAGTACTGAACTATATCCAGGTACTATCTTCTTCATTGGAATGCTCATCCCATGGAACGACAAGAGATTGTTGGGGGGGACGTCGAAGACAGCCAGCTCTCCCTTGACAATCTCGTTAGAGGATGCTGGAATCCTCCCAGCCGCCCACCTCATTAATGCTCTCATCGTTATTAGTGTCATTTCCGCAGGAAACAGCTCGCTTTATGTGGCATCAAGAACGCTGCTTTTCATGTCCCGCAATGGAAAAGCTCCAAAATTCATTGGCCGGACAAATCGTCTCGGAGTTCCATGGGTGGGCTTGGTGTTCACCAACGTCTTCGCATGTATTGTGTTTTTGGAGCAGTCCTCTAGTGCTGGGAGGGTTTACTCGGCATTGATCACCCTTTCAGGGGGTACGTTCCCCTTCCCGGGCCGTTCCTATAAACACCATTGTTCAATGCTAACGAAGTACAGTTGCTACCTTTATTGTTTGGTCAGTAATCGGAGTTGCGCATATTCGATTTCGGAAAGCCTTGGTCGCGCAAGGCCAAGACCCATCAAAGCTCCCATACCAAGCTCTCTTTTACCCATGGGGTACCTACCTCTCGCTGGCAGCCAATGTGTTCCTCATTTTCTTTCAGGGGTACACTTGTTTCCTCAATCCATTTAGCTCGACTGACTTTGTGATCAACTATATCTTGCTCCCTGTGTTTGTGTTATTTGTGATTGCATACAAGTTCTGGAATAAAACCCGTGTCGTCCGACTGGAGGATATGGATATCTGGACCGGGCGAAGGGAGCAGGTCGATTCGGAAGAGCCCGAGTCACCCAAAAAGGCCGCCAAGTGGTGGTCTCGCATTTATTCGATTGTTATAGGGTAGACCAGTTACCCTGCGTCTTATACTATACCCATCCATACACAATCCGAAGCTACCTTTCGGTTATGTTCAGCTGTCTAAAGCACTATGCAGAGTAGCATGTGACACGATTGGATCTAATCTACCGTGTAAGGAGTAACTGCCGAATATGGTTTTGTGCGACTGACAACAGAAACCCAAGACACAAAACATGCGATCTCGTCAGCACGCAGCGGGCCAGAGATGATAGTTCAAGAGATCAGCACGGAGACCGTCGGAACGCGGAAACACGTGAGGGGAATGCAATATATGCGAAGCGCAATTGAGTGAAATCTCTTATCTTGACAAGCAAAGGGCTTGAATTTATCCACAGCTAGATCAGTGCAATATCCTCAGAAATCACTGTTAATTTCAAATGCAGACAGCAAGATATCTATCCCTACTTGGCCCGCTGAGTAATGGACCATTAGATCAACATCGTGCCCGACGGTTGATGCCGTGATTGGCCCGATATAGAGGGGAGAGAGATCCTGCTCATCTCAGGCGCATCGGCCTAAAAAGGCCCCATCCCAAATAGCCCCCGCCCGTCGATCACCTTCTCGGATAGGGCGCGTTTCCAGGAATCCGGAGTCCTGGCACCACTCGATTCTTCACGCTGTCCCCAATCGACCAATCGGGATTATGTTGTACCTCGCTTTGACTTCTATACTTCGAGGTTGCCGGTCGGTGACGGTTCCTCATTCGGTATGGTGGTCATGAATTGGTCTTTTGAACTCGCAGCATACCATTGCCAATTAAAAACTAAGACAGCTGGATTCACAGAATGTAACATCACGTAGATAGCGAGTAGATGCTTTTCATAGCCCGAATTTTCCGGCGAGGTATATTTAAACGATCACTTTTCCCATAAGCACTGAAGGTCTACAATTCAAGAAATATTCATAGCCGTTGGGCAGTTAAATCTTCTAGTCAACTATATCGCCAAAATGCAGTACACCAAGGTAATATACTCTTCCATATCAACAGCATCGACCAATAGCCATTAACACAAATCTCAGATCCTGGCTGTGGCCTCCCTCTTCATATCCAGTGCCTTCGCCGCCCCGTTGGACGTGGAAGCTCGCGCATGTGCCGCGACTTGTGGAACAGTTTGCTACACCAGCAGTGCCATCAGCGCCGCCCAGGCAGCGGGATACAAGCTCTACGCCGCGAGTGATGATGTCTCCAGCTACCCCCACGAGTACCACAACTATGAAGGCTTCGACTTCCCTGTTTCAGGAACCTACTACGAATTCCCCATTCTCAGCAGTGGCAAGGTCTATACTGGTAGCTCTCCTGGTGCGGACCGTGTGATCTTCAACAGCGGCGATGAGCTAGCTGGCGTTATTACTCACACTGGTGCCAGCGGTAACAACTTTGTGGCATGTACCTAGTCGACTAATTGGATTTGAATGTGATATTTACACTTGAGAACATCTATTGCTTGGTGTGTTCGAAATTACGTATCTGAATGTAGGAGACCGACATAATGCGAAGACAGAAAGCTCAAGCTGTCAACACTCCCATAACGGTCTCCGTTGCTTTGGGTATCTAGAGGCAAACAACAATCGACACCCGCACATTTGCGAGAATGTGGGAACTTGTCGTCGTCGGGGTTTGATACCCAATAGTGGTAGGAAAAATATGTAAACACACCGGAGTAGGTACCTCTTCTGTAGACATAGAACTTAGACTGTCACTTTGTGGTTGCGTTTGTTGTTGTCGGAACACAGCGGGTGCACATTAGCCCCTCGCAAGAGTCGACAAGAGTTGTCGTCCAGTTGATTGAAGGCTGATGTTTGATCAATGAATAAGAAATTAGCATTTAGTGCTGCTATGCAGCCAGGTGCAGTGGAGAGATTGTGTGTACGAGATGGACATGGACAAGGAGAAAACAAATGAAAAGTGGGGAGGCATGTACTATATAGAAGGATCTTGTGTCACTCACGAGTGCGGGGTCGCGGTCTCGGCGCTGTGTACCTGCAATACCAATGGAATGAGGAGACATAAAGAGAATTTCAAGGGAAAGCACGACCGGCTTGGATAGTAGTTTCCACTTCGCCGTCACCACCACTTACTACGACAACCACTGTGAATCTCAACTGGTAGAAGGAGACATAAGACCCGAAGGACTACAAATGGGATCTCTACCCCCGAGGTGGCCACACTTTGCGTTTGAGTGTGGAGGGGTCGTAGGACAGGTATTTTATATGACTTCAATGAGTATATATCTTGCTCCTAATATTCTCTACATACTATGTCTTGCTGACGCTTACCTCCCCAATAATAGGAGACAGCCCGAGTGTTGACTGTTTCAGTCTATGTCCCCATAAGAAAATCCTTTTAGTAATGAGTCAAGGCATGGAATTGAAGGTAATATTGCAGAAAAGGTCATCTCATAGACAGCCCGTCCACTTGGTAGCTTGAAAGGTATACTGGATGAGGAATTTGTAGCGCTTCTTTGGTGATCTGTTGAGTAACAGCCAAACCAAGACTGAACCACATATTAAGTGGCATAGAGTCAAATCACCGGGAATATGGGATTATCGTCACCTGTAGGATCAAGTTTATGATAGTATTCTCGCTCAAGAATGATCTAACAAAGATCTTCCCCGGTTTGGGTATATTGCCGTTGGGTACAGCCAGTGGCGTCGGTCACGCAAGCATATATCACAACTCGGGTGGACTGACGGTCCATAGCGACCTCAGGATATTCAATGAAAGGCCGACTTTTCAAACAATGAATTAGACCTAACCATGGTCGGAACCTCGGGACCTTCCGCGGGAAGGTCCACTCACTGGTGAGTAGCCTCGGTGGGTGGAATAACATAAATCCCGAAGTGCAGCGGTCTTCGGCCTTTACAATGCCCGAGCCCGAAGATTACTAATATTTTGAGACCCCGGGGCCCGGGGGCCCTGTTCCCGTCGTTGAAACATTCGGACAAACAACGGACGAACTTTTGAGGACAAATGTTACAAATCCCTCAGCTCGTATCCATAGCGATTGATAATAGGAATTGCGGAGAAGGAAGAAGATGTGAATTGAACAGAACCGTTGGAACTTATAAAACCGAACCCCGTCCCTGTAAATAAGGTCACAATTATCATTCTAGCTTCAATCACAGTTGAATTGCAACAATGCCATCCACACTCAAACCCATTCAGCTCTACGGTGGCATCCTTGGCCCCAATCCTCAGAAAGTCGGAATCATCCTCACACTCCTCGAAGTCCCATTTGAAACCGTTCCAGTCAGCTTCGCTAAAGTCAAGGAGCCCGAGTACGAAGCAATCAATCCAAATGGGCGGCTACCTTCGATTCATGACCCAAACACCAACCTGACCATTTGGGAGAGTGGTGCCATCATCCAGTACCTCATCGAGCGCTATGACACCAATGAACCCCGCAAGCTCAGCTTTACACCAGGCAGCGAAGAGGCCGAGCTTGCACGCTCGTTCCTCCACCTCCAGATCTCCGGTCAAGGTCCGTACTACGGACAAGCTTATTGGTTTAAGAAATACCACGCGGAGAAGGTCCCTAGTGCATTGAAGCGCTATGTCGACGAAGCGAAACGCGTGACGGGCGTGCTTGACAAGTGGTTGGCCAAGCAGAAGGAGGCCAACGCCAAGAATGTTGGGGATGGTCCCTGGCTGGTCGGCAACAAGATGTCATACGCTGATGTAGCGTTCATTCCTTGGCAAAATGCGTTACACACCGCATTCGTTGAGGAAGGGTTCAACGTTGATGAGTTCCCACATGAGAAGGAGTGGCTTGAGCGCCTCACTTCAAACAAGTCCGTCAAGGCTGTTCTGGATTCTGCGGCCGAGCAGATGGCCAGTGCGTCGAAAAAGTGATGGGTTGGGACTTCTGTGCACATATAATTGGAGTAAGAGATACATATGTATAGTTATACCATGACAGAGCAATGTAACTAAGCAAACGTGAGGTTCTGGTTAATATAACCGTGTCCCAGTGTCTAGTATCCTTGTTCTGTATTTGCTTCTTCTAGAGTCGGTCACAGAGGAATATGCGACTAGCATCCATGTATATGTGCACAAACAGAAAAGAGCATCATCCCAAACTCATCAGCCGTTTGCAGCCACCGCTCAATCTTCTCCCGCCGGGCATCTGTTCCAGTCTCAGCGGACCTCCACAGCTCCGATATCTCGAGCATCCCATCCTCCCAGCGAGACAAGTGGCGATTGTATTCTCTTTCCCAAAAGGCGCGGTCTGAAGCTTCCCAGAGTATTTTGCTTTCCGGGGCCATGGTCCCTCTCAGCTCTTCAGCAACAAAGTTCGGCAACCCAACCTGGGCATTGTAGACGTTCGTGAAGAGATACATGGTGAAAAGGGTACGACGCTTGGCAGAGGCGACTATCCATGACTCCCAGTTCGGCCGGGTCTGAGATTCTTCTGCTCTGCAGATGAGACCTGCCTTGGCGGATCGGAAAGCAATTTCTTGCATTTTTATCTGCGCTTGGGTATCGAAGGGGCTGGGTTCTTCGACGGTGTCTGTACGAGGAAAGAAGTGGATCGTCATAAAGTAGATGAGATACGCCTGGAACGAGCACAGGCTATCAAAATCGCTTTGAAGGGCAACCTGTTCCATATTAGGGAGACATGCAACAAATAATAAGATGCCAGCATACCTGGTTTTCAATATTCCTCATCTCTGCTCGCATCGTCCTCAGCATCAAGGGTTCACACCCAGGAATCCGAGTCAACCACGTCCGAACCAAGGTGAAACAGTAAGCCAAGACAGGCGGACAAGTCCCCATCTGTTGCATCGAATGAACAAAAGGCGGCGCAGTCGAGGTGAGTAGATTCCTAAGATATGATTTCAACACACAGGTGAGATATTGTATGGTGTGAGCATTCAACTGCTTGGGCTTTTGGCCCGTCGAGCTTGAGATGTAGGGGCGTAACCAGCGATCGCGAATTTCCTCTGCATCGATCATGGGCACCAGATCAAGTTGTTGAAAGTCCAGCCCAATAGTGGGATCTGGAACAACTGGTCCACTATCCGTAATGGTAGGGTAACTCGGAGTATGAGATACATTTCCGGTGCTTTGAACCAGACCCTCTGGCCATGTGGAACCCAGAGATATTGCATCAGAAATAGTGCTGAGAGGACTGGCATCCGTAGTGGCGTATTGATTCTCTGCAATAGCACCACTATTCGATATGACGTGTGCTGGATATTCACAACTCGTGCCTCGATCTCTGCATCGCTTGCATTTCGGCTTCCCGAGATCACACCCAGTTTTGGCTTCTACACATTTTCGGCATGCCTTTCTTCGTGTATTGCGAGGGATTCGAGATGAAGCAGGGGTTGATGGCCCGGATTTACCTGGGGCTTCTTCCATATTGAAGATGAAATGGAAGCGGAGGAGAGTTCGGAATTCCGTTAAAGTTCTCGGAGTTCCGCACTAAATGCCAAGCCATGAAGTCATCCATCCCATCTGGGCACCTCTCATGGCTATCTAGGTAATTACTAGGTAACATTACCTTCTTTTGGGTAGCAATCTTGTCTAGAAATAAAACCACGCATTGTCTTCAGTTCGGCTATTTGCGTATCTCAAACGTTTGCTGTGTTACACCCAGTTTGAAGTCTGTAGCTCTTTCTCCCAGTTACCCAGTACTTTTTGGCTTCATGGTTGAAACTCTTATAGTTCACTACATATGTACAAACTTCAACACATGTTCATAGAAGCTGAGGGAAACAGTTTGATGCCTTAATCCGAAGGGTTAAATCAGCCTTGAAAGGCGTGGCCAACTGAAAACTATCGAAGATCATTACGGAACTCCGAAGCAGGTCCAGACCCAACTATAAAATCCCTTGCCGATCTCATCCAACAACAACACACTTTCAACTACAATTACAACTCAACTCCAATCACAATATATGGAATATGCCTCAAGTCTACACAACAGATCACTCAACCTCAGTGCTGCGCACGCACAGCTGGCGCACAGTCTCCAACTCCGCGCCATACCTCCTCCCACACCTAAAACCAGACATGAAAATCCTAGATGTAGGCTGCGGACCTGGCTCAATCACAATTTCCCTCGCAAAACTGGTCCCATCTGGACATGTCACAGGCGTGGAATACGTGCCCGATCCACTAGAAGGTGCGCGTGCCCTTGCGCAAGCCGAAGGCGTGTCGAACATTACGTTCCAAGAAGGAAACATCCACGCCCTGCCATTCGAGGACAATACCTTCGACGTGGTACATGCGCACCAAGTTCTGCAACATATTGCGGATCCAGTTCACGCGCTAAAGGAAATGCGGCGAGTCGCTAAGGACGGCGGCATTGTTGCATGTCGCGAGTCGGCGGAGTTGAGCTGGTATCCTGAGTCTGTGGGGATTGCCAAGTGGCGCGAGGTTACGGAGCGCATGCAACTTGCTAAAGGTGGCAATCCGCATCCTGGGAGGATGATTCATGTTTGGGCGCGAGAGGCTGGGTTTGACAGTAGGAGAGTGAAGAGGAGTGCGGGGGCTTGGTGTTTTGGGGGTGATGAGGAGAGGGCGTATTGGGGTGGGTCTATGGAGGAGAGGGCTAGATCTTCTGGGTTTGCGAAGAATGTTGTTGAGGAGGGCTTTGCAGAGCCGGAGGATTTAGAAGTTATTGCAGCGGGGTGGAGGCAGTTTGTGGAAGATGAAGATGCCTGGTTTGGTTTGTTGCACGGGGAGATGTTGTGTTGGAAGTAAAATGAAACAAGTGTTGTCTTTAAAGGTGGTTCGGCATTTAAAAGAAATGGTAGTAGAGAAATATCTCGACGTAATGTTAAGGAACAGCAAATGTAACGATGTAAAACCCTCGCAAAATGCAACCCTCAATCCTAGCAAAGAATAATGTGTATCTTAAAAAAACGATGGAGCGATGAGACCTTCAAGCAATAGCCCATGGGCGAAGACAATCACCAACCACCATCTGACTCATAAGCCTCTTCGTCGTGACGGCCCTGTTCATAAGCTTCTTCGCGATCTGACTTTTCCGAGTCCTCGTCTAAAAAGATAGTTAGCATGTGCAAAAATAAAGCAGTTCAATCGAAACAAAAGAGAACACATACCAAGCTCATGTGCAATCAAAGCACCGCCAAGACCACCGACAGCCAAACCAGCAGCACCGGCTGCGAGATACTTCCCAGCATTGCTGCTCTTCTTCTCAGGCTCACCCTGCTGATAGTAGCCAGGGCTGCGGTTATCATAAGGCACAGGTGGAGGGCCCTGGGGAGGCGCATAGTAGCCACCTTGGGGCTCGGGGGAGGAACGCTGCGAGAACCATCATTGTACCCAGAGTAGCCGGGCTGTTGGTAAGGTGCCTCCCACTGGGAGCGACCAGTGGCCTGTTCTACATAGAATGCGCGACGGGCACTGGGCTCCCATTCCTGGACCCAGCCCTGGGGCAGGGGAGGTGGGGGACCTGGAGGGGGACGGGCTAAAGGAGGGGGTGCACTGTATGGGCCTCGGTCGTATGCTGGGCGACCGCCGTCGTAGGGGGGACGGTCATATCCATCTTGGGGAGGGCGCGCATAAGGATCAGAAGGTGGGCGCCCGTAGGGGTCGTATGGTGGGCGATCTGGGGGAGGGCGAGCGTAAGGATCGCCGTAAGGAGGAGCGTACGACATGATAAGTGTTGGTAGAGAGAGGTGAAGGAGGGAAGAGAAAATGAATGTAACTGAGAAAGAGGGGAGAGAGGAGAGCTTTTATGGGAAGGAAGCGCAAAGAACACCGTTGTAGACAATCACCTTCCTTCCGACCAGAACCGAAAGAGACAACTCCACAATTTGTCCAACGCTAGAATTATGCCCCCACTTCTAAGGAGTCCTAGGGAGTTACATGTTAGCGCCCAAGTTCACGTCTACTCCGATTAGGCAGATGCAATATAAAATGCTCCACGAGCCCCTGGAGTGGGCAGGATGGTCAGATTGACAATCCCATCGCCTTGCAGGGCTAGTCAGCCAACCAATTCGAGTTCATGCCAAGTGGCCCCTGTTCAATGTTAGTGTGTCACAATAAGCCGTATATATACGGAGTACGGACTAGAGGGGTTGCATTACAGATCAGGAGCGACTTTGCTCCACCCGGGAGCTTGACTGTTTGTTTCCACGGTTTGGTCTCGGACAAGTATAAAAAGGGGTCTACTCGTCACGATGTATATAAATAATAAAAAATAGGGGGAATATTGGTTCGGTGTATGTTGCCAGTGGAGAGTTCCCCTCTATAGGGGCATTAAGGACTGCGGGATAAAATCAACCTGTCGTGTGCTACCTACCGCCGAGCCACGATGTGGCTCAGGCAACCGAGTTGTGGAAAACACAGCCACTGACTGTCACACACGTGGCTGGTGGATATAGGGATTGGGGCTTGGCACATTTAATAGTGTGGTGTGCTCCGACAAAACTAGTCGCAATTAGTTTCATAGATATTGAAACGCCAAATCAGCATGTGGCTAATGCAGGTAGGGCTGGAATCAAGGGCGCTATCTACCAAGTTGCTATGAAGCACCCTGCGACATCGTACTCGGTACCGTACAAAAATGTTCATTACTTGCGCCAAGATTTTGCGACCCTGAGACAGGCGAGAAGAACGATCTGCGTCCTGTCAAGTAGTAGTAGCAACAGCTTCGATTATTTTCTATATTCCATTCGGAGAACGTTAAGATATTCATATTGACTCATGAATATTTCCACCTCTAGAAATGTAAGTTGATATTTTGACGTTTCTTTCGAAATGTGCATCCGGCATATACATACATGTACATATGTACGATGTACATACGCGCCGGCACCTGCGGACTGACTCAAATCAGGTGCGGAACGAGAGCGGCCTGCCTGGACCCAGCCCGCGCGGGGCCATACGGGACCGCGACGATCGGCCATATGGGGCATTTGCCAGTGAAATGAATTCATTCGATGAGCGGTGCTAGAGCAGTTAATGTATAGACGATCCACAGATATACCAGACAATAATACGAATTAATTTTTGGAAAAGATGTATCGAATGTATTATTCCTACTCACCCTACATGCACTACGACAAATTTGCCTACTGGAGCACCAATAACAGATCGTTCAAGGGAAGCGTGATATTAGTCGTGTAGTTATGAATGGCGCTCTAGCACTAGCAATCGAAGAAGACCAATTGGCGCACAGACCATTGATGGCGGAAACAATCCACGCTCAACATCCCATCACTGCGGGTTCAGGACTATGCCCCTGAGCCTGCGATAACACTTGATTCCGTACTGGGCGGGTAGAAGAACGCAGATAGGCTGAGGGAATATTTAGCACATTGAAGCGACATTGAGGACAGGGATAAACTCACGCGATAATGATATAGGCCGCAATTAAGAGGACACCCTCTAGATAGTTGCTTCGGCCGTCCAAGACGAGGAAGTTGACAACGAAGGTGGTCACAAAGAGACAGATAGTCTCGAAGAGTGTAAAGTACAGAGACATGTCCTTGTCCATACACCAGCCCAGGATGACGACTAGTGGTGTGACGAAAATAGCTGTTGAAATGGTCAGAATATGCACATGAAGAGACGCCTCATCAGGAATGGATAGAATCTTACCAATTTGAATACTACTACCAACAGACACACCAATCGACAGGTCCATCTTGTTCTTAGTGGCAACACTGACGGCAGTAACATGCTCAGCTGCATTGCCGACGATGGGCAGGATAATGAGACCAATGAAAGCTTCGCTGACGTTTGAGCTGGCGATCATTTCGGGAATAGCGTCAACCAAGAATTCAGCACAAACAGCCACCAAAGCAGTGGACAGCAGAAGCATGACAACAGCAGCGGTACGTGACATTATGGGTTCCGGGGCTTGAGAAGCTATCTCCGGACCCACGACATCATTCGGCTCGGTTAGACGAGAAGCACCACGGGCGAACTGCACTGCGTTTCCGGCCGGCGGAGGACGACTGATATGTGCGGGGAGTGAGTTGCTGCGAGAAATTCCTGGGCGCGAGGCAGTGGTCCCAATACGGGGTGAAACCACTGGTGACTGGGAGCTGAAAACAGTGTTGGACAGCAGAGACGGAATAGGGCCGAAAGGAGAACGGCGTTTCCGGGGATCATCCCCTACGCATCCAGGGCCAGCGACGTTAGGAGAGGATGGGAACCCATTGAGGGCCGGGCCTTGATCCAACGAGGGACCACTATCCTCGGGTGCCACGATCCGAGCCTTCTTCTCTGCTTTCCGGGCCTTGCGGCCTTTGTGATCCCGTTTCTTCGACTTCTTACTCGCTTTGCTGTCCATTTGGCTCAAAGCCAAACCAAAGTCGCGTGAACGGACTGCGGAAGAGGACTGAACATCGTCGTCGGCATCACTATGCTCAATGGCGTGTTCATTGCTGCCAATGGAATTGGAGATAGAGCCATGGTTTTCATTAGAAGTCGATGCCATAGCCCTTTTTTGGAAGGAGTTACGAGATATTGTCCCTTTAGAGCTTGTACTTGACTTTCGGTGTCTGCGATACTTCATTGCTCTTTTGATCCGTTTGGCAGTGGTCCAGGAAGTCGTAGTGTCATCCGACTCATCACTGGAGCTAGATGAGGAGTCCGAAGAGCTGTTCAAGAATTCTGCCAGAACACCGGGTTTGGATTCCTCGTCAATGATGGCCTGGGGGATACTGGCGTAGAGATACGAGTGTGTTCTCAGCTGGAAGATGATGTAGAGAATATATACCAACAGAAGAACGACACTGGTGCCCCGGCTGACTTTGAGCGTCTCGCGATCGGCATTGTCGCTATCCGACCACGAGGCGTGGAAAGCAGTGGGCAACAGGAGACTGACCACACTCAAACTGAGCAAACAAGCACTCATCTGAGTGACGGTACTGTTGTAAATCTGTTCTCGGAAGCGAAGGCCACCAGCGAGGAAAGCCATGCCCATGATCAACAACAGATTGGCCAAAATGGAGCCGAGAAGAGACGCTTGAACGATGCGGATCTCATTCTTGACCAGAGCGATGATGAAGATGATCAATTCGACTGCATTTCCAAAGGTGACGTTGATCAAAGCTCCGATGGTGTCACCCAGACGACTGGCGACACTCTCTGTGGCATGACTGAGCAGTCCAGCCAGGGGAATGATGGCCACTGCATTCATCGCGAAGATGATGGCTGGGTCGAGACCCGCGGCCTCACAGGCAATACCGACCGGTACGAATATCAGCAAGACATTAATCCAGCTGTGGCAGATAGCGTCCGCGGTATGGTGGTAGAAACGGCCGGAGCCATTTCGCATACGGATCAGAAGACCCGGCTTTGAGTTGGTTTCCGTGGCGGACCCCGGAGTAGGGTCCTCCACTGGCACATTCACTTGTCCATGTTGAGGAGGTTTTTCGGCATTAACAGGGTCGGCGGCCTGTTGGGAGGGAGTCTGATCTGGCAGGCCGCTAGAAGATGCGTGAGCTTTCGCCCACGAGTGAATCCGGTCTGCAGGAGGGAACATTGTTAGCCAGATACATAGGAGTGGAGATAAGATCTCGGGATAGCTATCCATGGATAGCTATAGCGATAGCTTTGAGTCTTCACTGCATACTACTTACGCATGTATTTCAGAGAAAAAAAGACAGATGAAAGAAGGCAACAAGCCTTTGATGATAAGACAGTAGGTGAAGATAGAAAATAATAAAGTCGACAGTTGACACACCAGTGAGTCTCTTAAGGGGGAAGTTCTTTGGAAATCTTGGAGCCGGGCCAGGCTTATTTAAGGTCTTGGCAGCTTGGCATGATGATTTCCCAACGCCACACCTTTTTTTCACTTTTTTTTTATCTCAGCCCTGGAGATCCTAATTAAGACCTTTCTTTCCAAGGAATGTTTATCAACTATGAATAATACATTCTCAACCTCGCGTTGTCTTTCGTCACCCTATACTATATCCCTGGCATGATGTCAATCCTGAAATGCTCCAGGGGCGACTCTGTCTATTGGACCTTATTATGCAATCTAGTCCAATGAATGACGCGTTAACCACGAATTTCTCCCTATAAGGATGCCAAGGGTGAGAGACGGGAAGACCGGGTCCAGTACCTCACACGTCAACATCATTGGTGGATCATTTTCGGGATCGGCCATCAGGCTGCCATATTTGGGTGTTATTATTATTGGCACTGATGTCTTATTTTCGCTTATTGTCCTCGGATGCTTGTCACACCTTCGGATAGGCGCTTTCTGGACACTCCACATCGATGTACAATTGGTCTTGTATGTGTGTGTGCTGTCGTGCTTCACTAATGTCTAGGAATGAGGTCATTTGACTGTATTTTCGGAACGGCTTCACACATATCCGACTGTCCTACGGAACACAACACATCTATCTCTCGATACATGGATGAAGGTCTGCTGCGCCTCTCGATGTTTAGACCGTGTAGCTTTAGCCCCACAACTCCATATCCACACTTGTGGCTGTGGCTGTGGCTGTGTCACTATATATTGCCACAATCCGCCATCCTTGGATGTTACGGGTGTTTTCTCGAATTGACTCACTAATTAACACCGATAGCCTGTCATATTGTGGATCCATAGGCCCTGTACATACCGACGTAACTCTCAGTACTCTAAGCGCAAGTCTTTGGGAACACAATGCATACCATGCAGTCTTGGGGGCGTCTATCTACATCGATGTAGATATCACGAAGATGAACGTGGCGGATTCATTGCTTTTGGAGGCCTTCAGCATCTGAGGGTTAGGCGGCAGTGCCTAGTAGTGGGAAATAAAAGATCCTTTCTTCACAAATCGATCTTGTATCTGTGGGAAATATTTACTCCTCCGTCTGGCAGCATCCATGGATGCATTTTCATATTATCAAGAACACGCCAAAACTACCCTCAAACCTCAGCGGCCAGCGGGGCAAGCCCAATCGGTCAATCGCTAAACAAGCAGGAATATCATGTCCCAAACAGGCGAACTTGAGATCGATGGATGTTCAAAAAGGAACGATCGCATCCGTCTTCTCGAATCGATAAATCATGCACGAATTATGTATATAGGGTATGCCTGACTCCGATGAGATCAATCTGCAAACCAAACAAAACCACCTGCAGGGGGTAATTATGAAGCTTGATAGTCTGCATATTGAACTTCACGCTGGTCTTTTTTATTCGGGGAACAAGCTTGCATGGGGAAAGTTGTCAGCCGAGCCCTGACTTGACCGGTATAGCACATCTTTTTCGAACTCTTCTTCTTCCTCTACCTAGAATTTGTCAGTGCTCCTAGGCACATTGGAGACAATAGTCAAAAATGACACCCGGAACGAGGAAGTTGACAACCTAGATGAAGGGGCTTGACACACTCATAGAGCATGGCTATCTTTTTTCCCATACCCAATAACCGCGACATCTTAACTCTGCAAAGTACTCGGCAAAGCTTCTCCAAATTCTACAGCTGCATTCACACGACCTTCGAACTCTGGTTCAGCGATGAGCTTGGACCGACGACCGAATCCAACCCAACCTCGAGCCTTGCGCCACAAAATATCCAAAGATGAAATGCTTTTCATAACAGGACTCTGCATGCACACCCACTTCAGCACCTTTGAGCAGCCCATCGGCTGGAGATTCCCCAAATAAATCTACGACAACGTTATAGCTGAGATCCAGCACATTCTCACCAGTATGTCGCTAATGGCACACACAACTCAGAAACTGGAAGCGCCCACAGTTGAATCTGACCACTATGGCACTAAAAGCGATGTTCAATGGATGGTGCGACTAGGGGACACAGCGTTGAAATCGGCCGCCTTCAATTCTCACTCACCTCGCTCCTGTGCCATTTGTCTGTGGCTATTACGAACGGCCAGCCTTGACGACCCTACTTGTCGTCCCTGGATTAATCCATGCTTATGCTTGGCCGTCAGATGCAGAGGATTGATAGTGAGTTGTTTAGTATCCGTCTCATCGAGGATCTGGCATTCTCCGCACTTGTGTCATTGGAGGTGCTTAGGGCTGTCGTGAGTTTTAGTTTGCAGGATGTGATTGAGTATGGTCCTCCAAACTTTGCCCCCCTCTTGCTGTTATGTCTCATGTATCGACTGAGGATCTGTCGGGAAACGTCAAGCCGATGCTACACCTGGTTTAAGTTTTTGCATACATTCCGTATGTTTTCATCAGATTTCACGGTCTCGAGCAATATTCCGTCAATACTGTGGCTCCGATTGTGGAATATCTGTGGCATTAATATATTCTAAGCTTAATATATCCATCAACCTCAACGTCTACAAGAGTTTGTACTTCGTAGCCGCAGCGATGCAAATGACCATGAATGCCGCAAACCCACCGAGGATGCCAAAAAACCACCCCAGCCCCTTATCATCCTCACCCGGGACATTGACGTTCATTCCCCACAAGCCCGTAACCAGGTGGCACGGCACAAAAATGGTAGCCAGTAGAGTAACCTTACTCAAACCAGAGTTAATAGTCAAACTCAATCGGAGATTTGTAGCGCTCATCTGGGCTAAATAATTCGCCTGGGACCGACCAATAATCTCATCGATGTGTCCAAGTGTGGACAACGTTGTGACCAAGTGGTCCTGAACATCGCCGAGATATAGAAGTAGATCACCGTCAGGGAAAACAGGGTGCTTATCGGGAGATTGGCAACGCTTCACGAATCCGTTCAACACGTCGACCTTGCCATTGAGGCAGCGGATTATGTGAGTGATTTTCTTCCGGAGGATGTCGACCTGCGGGATAAGAGCTTGAGCGTCATCGATGCGACTAATGAACACTTGATCCTCGATTGCTTCGGACTCGCGCTCCGCGTCCCGGACAAATGGCTCGAAGCTGTCGATTATGTCGTCTCTATAGGTTAATTAGCCGTAAATCAATTAAAGAGGGGATGATTTGATTAAACATACATCATTGCATAGCAGACCCAGTCACTTGTCAATATAGTGGGATCGTGCATTTTGCGAATCCGCTCTCGTGCCCGAGCCACATGCCCACAACCACTAGGCGAGAAGGTGACAACGCCATATTGGAAGACAAGAATGTATAATGCAGCCGAGATGGGAATCCCCGGTCGCTCATTTTTGACCTTGTTCGCCACGAGGGTCTGGAACGAGATCAGGTAGTAGTTCTTGTAGACGTCGACTTTTTCTCGAGGCTCACGAATAGCAATATCCTCTGCCGTCAGGGGATGGATAGACAAGGCTTGCGAGACGGCGTCGACATCTTGTTCAGTAGCGTCGCGGATGTCGATCCACCAGATTGGCTCATTGGGATCTGGACGACTTTTATGCTTCTCCTGGAAGATATGGTCGATGTTCCCGCTGGGGAACAGACCATCCCATGTAGACGAGGTGGTCGCTTGTCGCGTTTTTGACGAGAAGAAACTAAACCGATCAGGCAGCGGCCGGTCGATTTCCAGCTTCTTTTCTTGTTTGGTCTGCATCTTACTGGCTGTGTACCAGAATAGAGGCGGGTGATATGGTTGGTACCCTGGGCGGTTGATCTGATGCCATCAGATATTGATCGGGGTGCGATTCAGGGAGTGGTGCTCCGTATTCTGGAAATATCGAACTTCCATGAATGAAGACAACGAGTCTGTTCAACCCATTATATTTCCTCGAATTGGACTATCGAGGAGATTGGATTGGATAGGGGGATTTCTATCGAAGCTGTTCATAGATGGATGGAAGAGATGACCCAGGGTGAAAGAAGAACAAAGGAAAGAGGAAGGACCCCTTCGGCCACGTGAAACGTTACCAGCCCTACCCGATAGCCGCATGCACAGGGAAGACCTCGGAATGAGTCAAGCGGTGGAACTGCCCAGGTGCCAAGTTAATATGATGTACTTGGTAGCTTTACCTGGATGTACATATCCAATCATTTTGGAATAATGCGGAGCCTTGTGGCCTGAACTTGCTGGGCGTTTACGTGATAGATTCGTTCAAGGTCCATCTTACCTAATATGTAGCAGGATTATTCCGTACATGGGGATACAATATGTTTCTATAATGAAGTGGATGAAGGCCTGTTGTTAAATGTGTATTGGAGATCCTATGATCATGGTCTTCATATATATAGTTGTCGAAACCCCATATCCCCAAAGCGAAATAACATAAAGAGTTCAGCCTTCTTTTACCATAACCAATATATAACCAAAAACGCCTTCAAATTAGTGTGCTTGGTAGCTGCACAACGCCCTCAATCCGAGACAAAACGAAGCGCCAATGCATTTTCGTGGACTCGGTGGCCGGGTTTGATATTATTACACCCAGATGGAATCTTAACACGCGTTAGTGATTGAACATAACCGAGCACATTGAATATGGTCATACCATGCTCCGATCATCATTCATTCTTTGATCTCCGACTGCCGAGACTCCATCTCCTTTTCATGGTCAAGGCTGTACGATTTCCGCAATCGCGGATACACCAGCCCAAAGAATACGATGACCGCTAACAGAATAACAAAGGTAGGCAGGAACATGAAAATAAAGAGGAAGAGACTCAATCCGAGGGTGAGATTCTGCCCACGAGCAAACCGACGGGCCATGATCTCGAGGGCCGAGTACATACGGTCAATTTGGGCCAGGAAAGAAAGATTTGAGTGGAAATGATCTCATTGCGATCGGCCCGGTCGCGCATGTTACCCCATATATACTTATAGCTACAGCGATACAACGATGGAAGCGCCGGATGTGCGCCCCCAAACATTGTGGCTCATGGAACCGTTTTTAGAAAAATCTGTATTCCCGAGGTACGTACCTAGGTAGGTAGTCCTAAATGTTGATGCCTGTGCCATTGCCGATTCAAGTTCTTCCACTCTTGGCAATATTATTCAGATTGGAAACTTTCACCGCAATTAGCAGATCTTCAATAAAATGTGGGTTTCCTTGAAATCATCGAAAATCATTGCCGAGACTTGGCGTAAAATTGTAGGCAACAGCATTTTATTCAACAGTTCTCCCCTGCCAAAGGAGATTGCGTAGAATCCTCTGTACTCCGCAATCCGTACTCCATACTGTTGAGCCAATAAATATGGCAATTTGTTTTGGACTGCCCAGAGAATGGCCTCCCTGTGTTCAGCCCTAGCCAATTCCCGCCTGACAACTGCATAAGTGGATCCAGCCCTGTGCAATCATCCCTTGTAGGAACAGCCCTTTGGGTGCAAGTGTTTCATCAGCTCATTGGAGTATTTCAACTGTGCAAGGCATCAAAATTCTGTTAACAAACATGTAAGGGGGACACGGCAGAGAAATGGCAATCGTAACCTACTGCGTATCATTGGATGAATCCTGCAATAAAATCTCCCTCATAGGGCTGAAGCTTGAGTTGCGGGGCTGACTCGCATTTCCTGATGCATAAGCGTCAGGAATCGGATACGAATTGGCGAATAAAATTGTGTAATTCATGTAATTTTGTTTGGACATTGTAATCGTATAGGGCAGGTTTTAGGTTGCAGGTTGAGTTGAAAAGTTAGAGTGTGATCAGCAGTTCTCCACGGGTAAAGATGATGCATACCGTATACCCTGTATTTCCCCCTGTCGAGTGGAACCAGAATAGAAGGAAATAGAACAATTAATACTAGTTTGTTGTACGGAGTAGAGTACCTAGGTAATAGTGACAAGGCAATCTTCCCCCACATTTTCCCTTTCCAACTTTTGCAGATGTAAAGTGTTTAACCACTTTTACCACTTTTACCTAACCTATTACCCTCCAACTGCGCGCCCTTCTCAACAGGCCACACCTAGCCTCCCAACATGTCTTGGCTCGCGGGGTATGGCAATACTGATGAAGATGATAACGACAACCTGGGCGTGGATTGGGTACTACAATATGAGTTTGGAGACATAGGTAAATGACGTGCTTGCATGGGATATCCTTGGCCTTCTGCATATACTGACGATCATTAGATCAAGCTCAAGCTATTACAGAGTTTCGAATGCTTATCCACGACCTGAGCGAGGCTGGTCTTCGGGTTCAGGTTCGTCACGGCCACGGCCAAGCGCTATTAGTTTGCATTCATGTTCCGCGGGATCATCTCGGGAATTTAGTACACCAGTCAAGGTGAGTGGGATTTGAGGGGTCTTGAATGTCAGATGATTTTATTTTTGGGACGGTTAATTAACCTGGGTTAACATCACAGAATTAAAGATTGGCTGTTTGGAATTACCCATACTTTACCGGATGGCGACGAAACAGCAATTGCCGACGCCGATACACCATCCGAAGAGATCCGTTCGGTATACCACGCCGTCACCTGGCAAAAGAAGATAGGAGGCGCAGGCATCACACCGGGTTTCGGAAAATGGAAGAACGTCACTGCCTCGTTTCCGCTACATGACCAGGAGGCCTGTGCGGAAATGCTACGTCAATGGAATCGAAAAACTGTATTGACGACTAGCGATCTGGATGCGATTCGAGCTTTATTTGGCGAAAAGGTATTGTTCCAGCTCGGCCGCTCTTAGCTTGGCTATATTGTGATATCGTGACAAACAGCTAACCATACAGGTCGCTTTCTACTATGCTTTTATTCATTGCTATTCACTATTCCTCGTGGTGCCCGCAGGATTGGGCATTATTGGATGGCTATATCTCGGTCCATATTCCATTGTATATGGAACTGTACTTTGCGCCTGGTGCATTGTGTTCGTCGAGTACTGGAAGATACGAGAGACCGACTTAAGTCAGAGATGGGATGTCAAAGGGGTTGGACGACTGAAGGTGAATCGCAAGCAGTATGTGTGGGAGAAAGAGGTCAAGGACCCAATCAGTGGTCAGGTGAAACATGTCTTCCCAGGTTGGAAGCAGTTCACACGCCAGCTCCTTTTGGTTCCTTTTGCTTCTGTTGCGAGCGTAGCCCTCGGAGCCTTGATTGTTGCGTCCTTCGCATCGGAGGTGTTCATATCTGAGGTATACGACGGTCCATTCAAGGAGTATCTGGAATTCGTACCGACTGTCCTTTTTTCGCTATCCTTGCCCGCCATAACCTCGTTTCTCACTAGCATCGCAACCCGCCTGACCGACTACGAAAACTACCGAACGCAGGATCAATATGACCTTGCCCAAACTCAAAAGAATTTCGTCATGAATTTTATCACCTCTTTCCTCCCCACGATATTGACCGCCTATGTCTATGTTCCCTTCGGCAAACAAATCGTCCCACACCTCGACATTCTCCGTAGAATGGGGTTCAGGGCCGACATGGTCAGCGGGCAGAAGGAATTCGAGGTTGATACAAGCCGATTTCAGCAGGAGGTGATATATCTATCCATGACGGCTCAAGTACTTAGCTTCGGCGAGGAGGTCGTCCTACCATATGTGAAGCATGTCTTGAGGCAAAAGTGGCAAAATTATCGGGATCAAAAGGCAGAATACAGCCGCAAGCGGAAGCATTCCACGGCGACCGGCCTGTTTATGGTTGACTCGCCAGACGAAGCGGTATTCATGACAAGACTGCGTAGCGAGGCCGGCGCAGAGGAATACCATGTGGAGGAGGACATCATGGAGATGTGTGTACAGTTTGGCTATCTAGCATTGTTTGGAGTTGCCTGGCCACTGGTGCCGCTGGGCTTCCTGCTGAACAACTGGCTGGAGCTGCGAGGTGACTTCTTCAAGCTCACGCTGGAGTGCCAACGACCACCACCAATCCGGTCGGACTCGATCGGCCCATGTTTACTGGGGCTGGATCTCTTGGCTTGGCTGGGTACTCTCTCTACTGCAGCCATTGTGCATGTCTACCGGGGTCCTATTTCCGAGGTCCGGCTCTCCTCGCTTCTGTTGACTTTGTTCGTCGCCGAGCAGGTCTATCTGGGGATGCGATTCACCGCCTCTACAGCCCTCGAGAAGGTCTTTTCGGACGCGATCCGAAGAGAAGAGGCAGGTCGGTATGCAGTGCGCAAGAACTATCTTGCTGCTAGTCTGGCAAGGAACTCCTCCCCAAGTTCCGGCTCCCAAGGGTCGCCGAACGGTCGGACCCGTCACCGGGTGCGTTTCAACGAACGAGTCAATGTATACAGCTCGAACGAAAAAGACCCAGCGGCCGACGACGGTACTCCATCTCCGACCAAAGAGGAGCCGGGGAATGATGTGCTTCGTGGATCCGACCGTGAGGCCCAGTTCTGGAGCGCGCATTCAGGGGATATGGCAGACGCAGGCGTCAAGCTAATTCGCGCATTAAGCACACCCAAGGTAGGGGAAGGGGGTAAGTCTTCGAAAGAGGCATAGATATTCTCAGCCCTATGTATTTTTAGACCATATTTTCAGTTTCCATTGGATTGCTGCCTGGGGTTTTCTATGTATAGATCACCAGATCGCTAGATTGGGCTGTAGCCGCTAGTAATGTAAGCATTGATAGTTGAAGGATCATACCTGTGGGGAGTTAATTTCACTAATTAATTTAGTTCATAGGTATATTATACAATATTATACCGGTATGTTTGTAGACGTACACGGACAATGGTCTTCTGCCAAAGCATATTTTCAGCCCTATAGGGCTACGCCAAGATTGTCTTGATCCACTCGTGAGCTTTGAAGGGGCCCCAGTGATTCATTCATTCCCTGGTGTTACCCGCTTGCGTGTCGTTTCCTCTTTTTTCCTTTTTCCCTTTTGTCTCTTTGACTCTTACCCATCTTACTCTCCCTTGCCTTCAATTTAATTTTCATCCAACCCTCTGAACCTGGTTGTACAGAGCATCGACATGGATAGCCCCATGTGAGCTTCTCCTTCCTACGGTCACCCCCATACGGCTTTTACGATGGTGGCCCCTACCAACTCCTCCGACACTTTGATCACCCCTCCATCTCCCGTACACATCTCACAGTCGACCCCCAAGCCCTCGACGATGGCCATAGAGATGGGCACACTATCACCGACCGAGTCCCCACAACCCGTCCCGAAACTCCTCCGTGAAGCCAGTGATATCACATGGCAGGAATCCCTAGAATCCAAGAAAGGCCAGGTTGTGCTAGTCCGGCGAGGCGGTCGATTCCGCCTACTGCACCAGCAGCAATTCAAAAACAGCTTGCTCGCCGGTGTCGGGTACCTCGAGCTAGCTAACGCCGCTGACTTCGCTGCCAATGTCTGGAATCAGATTCCTGTTCCGAAGTTTGCCGCTGTGCTCATGGGCATTGGGGGTACATTGGCCTTGGGAATGGTCTTGGTTGCTATTTATGATTTTCGACTCAGCTGGATAAATGTCAAGCTGCTGCGAGCGGAGCGGGGTCACCTGCAGCGTCTGCGGCAATACCACGCCAAGAACACAGAGCTGTCCCGGCTCATTGACAGCCGGCTTGGAGTGGGACTCCGTGAAATTGGCACCGAAGTGATTGACCGGATTGTGATGGATGTGTTGATGGGATTCGGCTCGTTGTTGGTTGGCGTTGGTACTTTGATGGCCATTGGCGGCGCCAACCCCCGCGTCTTCAAAGCCAGTAATCTGCTTTCTGGGTATATTGGAAACGGCCTCGCTGCAGTGTTTGGCCTTGTGAATGCCATCTGGTCTGGCTATCTACTTCGTCGATTCCATGTGCACGACGCTGCTGCTTTTGCCCGCGAGCCCAGTGATGACATTCGTCGCCGTCTACATACTCGGTTCCGTCGCTTCAAATGGCATGCTGGTATTAATGGCCTAAATGGTCTTGTTGCTGGTGCTGCTTCGATGGTCACTGCCGAGCGTTGGTGGGGATACGTTGTCCTGATTCCGTGTATTATTTCCTTAATCCTATGCAACTATTTCTGGAGGATAAAGCTGGGTTATGATCGGCCACTCCTTGGGCATACATCACCAACGGAAATACAGGTGACATCGCTCATTGAAGACCTGCAGTACGTTATTGTAATGCAGCGTGCTCTCGCCGACCCTGAACATTCCCTACCGCAGGCCATTGTCCAACCCGACTCTTTGGACTCGATTCTTCGCTTCATTGTCCGTGAAAATATGCTCGAAACATACTGCGAGTCCCTTGCCCGCGACAAAACCACCCGCCATCTTCTTGTCGCATTCCCATCTATAGACACATCTCCTGACCAAATCACGATATCCCTCGACACCCTCATTCGCCTTCCCCCCAGTCACCTAGATCTCATCCTGGAGCACGCAAAGCGATTTCTACGAACAACTGGTGTCCGCGTCTTCACATATCGCGAACGCCACCTTCTCGAACTTCTCGGTCACGCCGTCTGTCAGGATCACAGAAAGGCCACAACAACCACACAAGATGACACGATAGAACGCGCTTAATATCTTCGAGGCCTGATTCTATCACCGTCTCATGACCACCCCCGGAACTCATGGGGTTGAAGCAATTTACCGGCGGCTGGTCGCCGGTTGCTCTTCGTTTTGTTGCATATTTGCATTGCATTGCGGGATTCCTTTCGCTATTACCCTAGAAATGCTACACTTCAGTCTCTAGCGTACAGTAGGTATTTTTGTTCCTAATATACTGTGATAACATTAATATTTGTATTGCTTGCTGCCATTATCTTCCATTGCGCAGAATAACCCCAGATGTCAGACATCGAGGTTTTGCAAAAAGACAATGGGAACGGTGTGTTGAAAGAAAAGATGGAGCAAATGGAATATCTTGAGAGATATCTGAGTATATCATAAAGGACACGATATTTCCGTAAAGTTATGCAGGTTTACTCTCGCCGAATAAGAATATCGGTATTGCCTTCCTGCTCTATTACTCTCGCAGTCCAGATATTACCCAGGATAAAGGGAGTCCAAAAGAACGACCAAACTATGAACCTGCTAATCTCGCGGCGGCTTCTGAAGAACTCGCCCCCATTTCTAAATCCTCTCTTGAGTAAGAAGAATAGCATCGTAGAAAATTGACGTACATATGTACATATGTTGTGAGTTGCGACAGTTTGAAGTGTGACGATTACTACATGTACATGTAAATACATGGTAACTACTCTTATTTCGATCATAAATTAAGGTTCCTTTCACGTAAAAATAACATTTGAATCCGTGAGGTACATGGGACAGTTGAAGTTTCCCAACATCTTGCTACTTTCCCTAAATAGGCATGCTCACATCAGTGTGAGGTTCTCATAATTGTGGGATGTGATAAATACATATATACGCTCTGTATTTCTTCTTTTTGTTGTACACATTATCCCAATATCAACATCAGGCTAGAACCCAACTTCCAACGGCATAGTACCAGCCTAGAAACTAAACAGTCCGCTGCGGGCCTTGCCGTACGGATAAACCACCAGTGCAGAAGTGAACAAACCAATCGTAATGCCAATAGCCACCTGGATCATACCAAACCCTAAACTGAATACAGAATTACCAGACTGCAAGCCAGCGCCGGGTGCTGAACTAGCGCCACCATGAGACCCGACGTTTTTACGAGCTTCATCCGCGGACTGTACGCCCGAAATTAAAGACCCCGTCGCAGCAAGTCCAGATGGAACCAGAATGAAAATGCCAGGCAGAATAGCCGTCGCAGCGTGGCCATGCCACAACCGACTGTACATGTTTCCCATGATGCCGATGACAAACGCGCCGACGGTGTTCGCGACTTGGGAGTTTGATCCCAGTTTCTTCGTGCTGAAGTAGTTGCTAATGTAGCCCGTCAATGCGATGACGCTCATGGGTGGGAGCTGTTTCCATTTTCCTTGGTTGATGATCAAAAGCCAAACTGTCTGGATCGCAACGAATGGGAACCGTTGAACATATGGATTCTTAAAGGCCCCCTTCTCTGGGCAGGTGGTGTCGGATACCGCATTGTTGTCTATTAGTCCGTATATAGTTGTGCCAACTGTAATTCCATATCCAATGAACAGCGAAAAGAGGAGAGCGTAAACCATCCGAATGGAGCCAGCGATGATCTGATGGGACTGAAGTTCCAAGCTGCTACAAAGAACAAGGAACCCTGGCAATATTAATGCAATCGATGATTGTGCGATGGCAGAAAAGCAAAATAGATACTGTGGCTTGCCATCCACAACTCCAAGGGCGATGCTGCCGAAGGCACGGGCGACGAAGGACGTTACTATTGTCGATGTCACTTCAAAGACATTTGAATACAACACCGAACGAGGCGCGGCGACATGTTGCATTAATGCGACAAGTATACCATTGAGAAAAATGATCGGCATGTCAATCGGCCTGGCACTGAAAGCGAAAGGTCCCACAGTTGCAGTAGCCAACCCGTACACCAAGATAATGATGAGCTTGTGATACTGAGGCTTTTTCGTGATGACTGAATCGAGCTCTTGAATTGCTTCTTCGATGCCGATTACATCATGGATCACATTCTTGTAGATGAGGTGCGTATCTGATAGGCGAGCCAAATCAATTCCCTGGGCTACGCGAACCAGCTTCACCTCTGTCGTGCGGGTAGAAGGGTCATCGAATGACATGACCATGCAGCCTGGCAGATACAGGAACTGGCTGTCAACCTCCAGCACCTTTGCGGTCATCTGCATGTATTCTTCAAGTCTATGTGTGGGAGCACCGAATAACATCAATGCTCTGCAGAGCTGCATGATATACCGCTGCCGACAGATAATCTCTGCAATGTGCACTGTCACTCGAATTTCATCCTCAAGCCGCACATTGCGACCTCCACCACCACCACCCTCCTTGTCGCGGCGCTTCGAGGCTTGTGACAGGATATCCCTTGAAACAGGGGTGCTTGCACCACTGAAACTATCCGCGCCCCCACCAATCAAGGTCGAGGTCGAAGTATTTTGGGGCTTTTTGTACCATTTCAGTGGTTTTCCCTTCTTGGGTGTTGGTGTTGGGGCCCCGCTGGGGGCGGATTCTGCGCTACGGGACGAGTCAGTTGATGTTCGAGACTGGCCTCCAGCACCTTGTTGCTGACCACCTTGCAATTTGATCAAGTGCGACAGGACCCCGCCGCCGCCAGAGCGATATCTCAAGCTCGAATCTGGTCCGATCTCATTCTCTTCATCTTTAAACTCGGTTTCAGCGTGAGGATAAGGCTTCCCACGGCCTTTGCGGCGTTTTTGGGACTGATCTTGGGTCAAATCTCGCACCAGACGATGAGCCTCGGAGCTGTGCCCTTTCTGCTGCCGCTGCTTCTCCTCCACACTTTTATGCTTGTCATCTGTCATATCAGAGAGGGCAGGTGCACCGCCAGTCGCCCAGTCTGCGTGATATCTTCCGGATGTTAAGTCGTCTCCTTCGGCCTGTGGGCGACCCAAACGGTCACCGAATTCCGATGCTTTCTGCCTGAAATTCCTCGTCACAGCTCGCCATTTCTCTCGTGTGGATCGCTGTTCGGGAGTCTCAGGTTGTTTCTTCTCTTCTCCCTTCTTCTCATCTTCCCGTGGCTTGTTCTGGTCTATCCTTTCGACGCCTGACTCGCCATCTCTTTCACCCGGGTGTGGCTCGCGATCTCGCAGCGGCGTATCGGTAATATCCTCAGTCTCGTGGGAATATGGCATTGTTGGTCGATGGGGCAGCGCTTGGCTATGAGCATGATCCCATTCTTCCCGGAGACCTTGTGCCGGCGGATCATGCCGGGCCTCCTGCATGAAACCCGCATGTGATCGAAATCGAACTCGGGGTGATGGCTGCTCATCTTGTGGGTTGGTTTGAGGTGCATCTTGCCAAACTTCGGACGAGCTTGTATTGTCTGGGTCCGAGTCATCGTTGAAGCTGCTGAGGGATGCTTCCGACATGAAGGCGACGCGTGGTTTTCACTCCTTCGCCAACATCTAGCCTCCGATTATTTGGGAGCAAATGAGTTTGTAGATTGTGAATTGTTTTCAGTGAAGAAATTTTGAATCACTCTCGCCTAATTCCCTCGGGATTTCCAGGCCAAATTGGGCTATCATAATCGCTAGATGAGCTCACGGAGACGTGATTGGGGTATACGTGTGAACCATGGTCGGCAATGAGCAAGGAATTTATCTTCGCGCAGGTAAATGTAAGAAACCATCAACCCAACGGGATTCTGAGCCCTTTCCGTCAGTCATGAGGTATTGTTTGTGGGTGTCGCCTCATCGGAAACCTATCCCACGCAACTCTCGGACTTGTAGATTTCTCGCCACCCAACATCGTCCTCAATATCATCATGTAATTGTTTTCGACAGATGCATTAGCAGCCTGAAAGAAATGAATTTTAACAACTTGGCCCATTGGGAATTCTCCGTCTCCGATGATTGCCCTATGGGTTGTAACGATCAACCTTAAGCTCCGTTCATAGTTACAATTTGCAAGCGGCGCTAATTACTAAGTAGAGGACTTACCAAAGCTGGAAATTCTTGTAAAATCGTAAGTCTTGGTTTACCAACTTCATTAATGACCTATCAGTTTTGGATGTCATACTATAATATATATCTGCCAGCATTGCCGCCCATTGCCGCTCGACAAATCCGAACGTCGACACAATACAGATACTTCGATGGCAGTTTTCGTTCCACTAAACATAGAGGACAAGACATTTGTAAGATAGAAGAAACTTGAATGCAGCCGTAAAGCGTGGAGTGTTACAGCTGCAACCAATGTATAGAATCTACCTTCTGAGGTAATGCTCATGGAGATGAAGCTTGACAGGGAAGATCGGCAGGCATAGTGCGCCCCGTTTATAGAAAGATAACACGAATCAGAATTGCCGAGGAGGCATACTTCATGCCGCATAGCTGCCGTTGGCATGGAAGTCTATATCAACATCTGTCGGCCTTCGACCCAATGAAAGGGGTGTTGTGAGAAACCTTGATTGTGCCGACATTCAACCGATTACCACGTGTTCCGAATCTAGAGCACTCGAAATATGTCAGAAACACGTATTCCTACGGTGATCTCGTATTCAAGTCTATTGTAAGCGTGTTGGTAAACCCTTACGGGTGGTAAGAATCAAGATATAGCATTTTGATATACAAGAAGATAAGGAACAGATAGAGAGAGGTGAGGACATTCATGAGAGCCTTTAACGCACCTTCTGTGCGTTCGCGTTCAATGGTGTAAGAATACACAGTTTAAAATGAATGCAGAATTGACATGGGCTATAGGCTAGTTTGTTAATCCGAATTGAGGATCGCAGCACATTAGAATATAAGCCTGAAATTCCGCTAAATCAACAAAGTAGGCACTACAAGGGATGTTATAGCGACGACATAAGCCCGCGATACTTCCAAGGTTTGCCCAGAAGGTTGCGAATCCCGAGTCATGCAAGGGGCGTCGATAATCCATGGCCCTTTCAGCCGGACCATATTCAAGGTGCACCAACAAATTCTGTATACATTCTTTATACAAGGTGAGCTCTGTGTGCATTCCAAGACCGTCTGGCATGTCAACTGTCGGAAAACCTGAAATATGGCCAGGAGATCATTTTTATTAGTATCCATTCATCCACCCTGTTTCCCCTTACTCTTTCTCTGTATATTTCGAGATTGAGGTTGTGGTTTGTGGCTGATTGAATATGTGGGGTTTTTCTTCTTTGGCTGCTGTGGCAGCTGTTGTGTCTACAGCATCAGGTGCTATTGTGCCTCTACACTTGCTGCGTGCGTCTTCATTGGATGCACCGTCATCCACGACCGTTCATGCCAGACCGTCAAATAATGGCTACCCCTTTGATTGGGCTCTTGCGTCTTCCTTGGCGGGTCTTACTGGTACACCACCCACTGCTACTGTTCATCAATACTTGAGTACCACGACCGTTCATGCCAGACCGTCAAATAATGGCTACCCCTTTGATTGGGCTCTTGCGTCTTCCTTGGCGGGTCTTACTGGCACACCACCCACTGCTACTGTTCATCAATACTTGAGTACCACGACTTCGTCGGTTGCAGCAAACACTCTCTCCACAGCCACGGAATCTCCATCGAAAACTCTCAATACTTCGATGGCCAGTTCTTCCCCAAAGGTGGCTAGTTCCTCCTCAAAGACGACACAGGTTACTACGGCAGCAGCTAGTCCTAATTCCGCGGCCAAACATACTCTCGCAACAAGTACAAGGACTTCAACTCGATTGCCAAAGACGACAAAGATTACTACGGCAGCAGCTAGTCCTAATTCCGCGGCCAAACATACTCTCGCAACAAGTACAAGGACTTCAACTCGATTGCCAAAGACGACAAAGGTTACTACGGCAGCAGCTAGTCCTAATTCCGCGGCCACACATACTCTCGCAACAAGTACAAGGACTTCAACTCGATTGCCAAAGACGACAAAGATTACTACGGCAGCAGCTAGTCCTAATTCCGCGGCCAAACATACTCTCGCAACAAGTACAAGGACTTCAACTCGATTGCCAAAGACGACAAAGATTACTACGGCAGCAGCTAGTCCTAATTCCGCGGCCAAACATACTCTCGCAACAAGTACAAGGACTTCAACTCGATTGCCAAAGACGACAAAGGTTACTACGGCAGCAGCTAGTCCTAATTCCGCGGCCACACATACTCTCGCAACAAGTACAAGGACTTCAACTCGATTGCCAAAGACGACAAAGATTACTACGGCAGCAGCTAGTCCTAATTCCGCGGCCAAACATACTCTCGCAACAAGTATAAGGACTTCAACTCGATTGCCAAAGACGACAAAGGTTACTACGGCAGCAGCTAGTCCTAATTCCGCGGCCACACATACTCTCGCAACAAGTATAAGGACTTCAACTCCATTGCCAAAGACCCACATTCAATCGACAAGAACTAGTGCTTCGACTCCATCGTAGGTGTCATTTAAAGTTTCATAGGGTCTTTGAATGCTAATCAACCCGTCCAGTCCAATGTCTCAAAATGGCCACTCGCCCGCGACAAAAACCTGTGCTGCCCCTACCAGCAAATCACCGGAGACCTACTGGCTTGACGAGCAGGACCACAACCAACAAGGAGCAGGATTTGCTCCCTACGCTAAAACGTCTCTCTACCCAGTGTATCGAAATGTGATGGATTACTCGGTCGTCAATGATGGCAGTGGTAATCAGACTCCGAAACTACAGAAAGCGATAGACGATGACGGCGTGGGCGGCAGTCGCAAGGGCCAAGGTGTCACGCGGTACCCTGCCCAGGTCTACCTTCCAGGCGGCGTGTACCAGCTTGAAAGCACTCTCAACCTGACTGTGGGTACGATAATTGTTGGTAATCCGTTGAACCCGCCTATCATCAAAGCTGCGCCGGGATTCCGTGGTGACCATCTCATCATGGGGTACGATTTACACAACGGCCACCCGGAAACCAGCTTTGCAACCCTTATCAAGAACGTGATCGTGGATACGACCGCCCTCAGCCCGGACCGCCACTTCACTGCTCTTCAATGGGGAGTTGCCCAAGGATCAGGTTTGACAAATGTTAAGATTCGCATGCCAAAAGTTTCCAAGGGTCACACTGGAATCGATATAAATGCCGGGTCAACAATTGCTGTTACGGATGTGGTAAGTAATCCACAGAAGCCAAAAGATGAGGAAAAAGAGCCTAACAAAGTGTAGCATATTACTGGCGGAGCTATCGGGATCAAGAACTCCAACCAACAGGTCAACTTCAAAAACATATATTTCCAGTCTTGCGGAACAGCTTTCTCTGCGGCAGGTGGGTGGACAGTGCTGCTCCAACAGGCAACCTTTGATAGCTGCGGCACTGGTATCGATATGACTGGCAATGGATTGGGTAGCCTAGTGCTTCTGGATTCCACTTCCACGAACACAGGGCCAGTAATCAGATTTTATGACTCGTCCCATGATTCTGGAAACCGAAATAGCCAGTTCCTCATTCAGAACCTCAAGCATGATACTCCGAACGCTATCGCTGTCGACGCTCATGGAAATGTGGCATTGGCCGCTACCCCTCATGTCGATACATGGGTCTGGGGTACTGTTGTTCCAAAAACCTACCAGACTGGGGTAAGCTGGAAGACAAAGCGCCCGGCCGCTTTGTTGGTGGGAAACAAGTACTTCACAAAGGCTCAGCCCACCTATCAGGATTACAGCACAGGGGATATTGTCAATGTGAAGACCGTATCTGGACACACAGTGAAAGGTGACGGTAAGACTGATGATACAAAAGGTCTGAACGCTATCTTGGCTGAAAATGCCGATTCGTGCAAGGTGACATACATCCCCTTCGGTGTATATCGAGTCTCAGACACTATCTTTGTCCCAGTCGGGACTCGCATTGTCGGAGAAGCATGGTCTGTCATTTCTGGATATGGCGACAAGTTCAAGGATTCCAATAATCCGAGGCCCGTTGTTAAACTTGGCAATCCTGGCGACGTCGGTGTGATTGAAATTCAGGATATGCGATTCTCCGTCGGCGACATCCTGCCTGGGGCCAAGATTATTGAAATCAATGCCGCAGGTGATCAGCCCGGCGATGTCGGTCTTTGGAACACAATGGCGATGGTTGGCGGGACCGCTGACACTAGTATCTCCGGTGCTTGCACGTCGCAAGACCCCAAGGACTGTATGGCTGCGTTTATGGTAATGCACCTGACCAAGAGCTCGTCCGCATATATTGAGAACTTCTGGGGATGGACCGCCGATCACAACCTTGATAGCGACTCCCTTCTCACTATTATCTCAACCGGCCGCGGAATCTTGGTCGAATCCATCAAGGGCACCTGGCTGACAGGAACCGGTTCCGAGCATCACTGGCTGTATAACTACAACCTCCACAACGCTCAGAATGTCTTTGCGGGTCTTCTACAAACAGAAACACCGTATATGCAGGGTCATGGCGAGTACCAGGCCGCACCAGCGCCATGGACAGCCGTTGCCAAATACGGTGACCCTGATTTCTCGTGGTGTGCTCCAGATGACCAAAAGTGTCGCACCGCGATAGCTACGAATGTCGACGGCGGATCTAACATCGCGCTGTACAACTCAGCTGCCTGGGCCTTCTTCGACGGGTACTGGAATGGTCTTTATAATGAGCCTTGCAATGGGAACTGCCAAACCAACATGATGCGGGTGACGAATGACCCTCAGAATCTGGTCTGGTACTCTATCAGCACGCGGATGACGGACGTGATGGTGCTCGATGGGAAGAGCAATCCCCGTCAATCAGACCACAAAGGCGGGTGGGAAGGCATCATCCAGGTTTACGGCCAGTTTACAGCGTGATATTCGTCGTGTTGTGTTGATTACATCATCATCACTGGACATATGCATTTTGTTAATAATTTATATCATAGATAATCATTAATGAAAGGGTTCATGGGGTTCATGCACAATACTTCCAACTATGTACCATTCACCAAAGCACTTCGTTCGGTCCCTCAACGATATTTTGCCGTTCTGGCATTTTCCATGTTTCTTTTTTTAGCATGTCGCCACTGCACGTGATTTTGTGGCTGCCTCAGGCCCAACGGTGGATAGATTCCGACCCGCATCGCCCCCGGCAACTGAGTCCACAACCAGTCATGATTCACTAGGCTTCTTGGCTGCCCCTTTGCAATAATAACAGCACTCAACCTGGTACATGACGCGTCATCGAAGCCCTTGGCCATCTCCAGCCAGCCGAAAATGCCATAGGGGCCGATATATTTGGAAATTGCAAGTGGGCGGTTCATGGTTCCAATTATAATGACGGGCGCCGAGACTGGTTTATCCAACAACGCAAGTGTCGACCCACTCTACCGGTAAGACTCGCTTTCTTATGTGCCATTGTCTACCACTCACGTAACTTGTGGGCAGTTGATCGGTAAACCTATACGGGGCTGACTGTGTCTCCGGTACGAATCGAGCTGTTGGGGCTGCCAAGGCAGCAAAATACCCAAACCATTACTACATACTACGATGTGTTTTTTTTGGTAGCGGGCTGTGTTGCATTGCCCGCGAGTAGGACGAATCAAGGTCATGCGAGAACATGCACGTCTAAATCTTGCATGTGTTTTCCGGGGGAAGGGACCAGGGCGTTGAAACGCCTCATTACAAAGTGGACCTCGAGATGACGATATCATTGCCCAAAGCTGTATGGTTACCCGATACAGTTCCAGTTCTCTGACACCGCCCCTATCCCTGAACGGACCCTACGATCGACATGAGAATCGCTCCAGTGCTCTTCACAAGGCTGAGGTCATGTCGCCACTGCCACCTTGGCTGCCTAGCATCCATACGCAATCAAACTCCGATGTTTCTATCTATAGGAAACTAGTGCCTATTGAGTAAATAAATATAAGGAGTGGTTCCCCCCGGATTTCCAGCTTATTATTTCAGTTTACAATCTAAATCACCTAAATTACACAATATCCTTTCAGTCAACCTTTTTCTCCATTCAAAATGAAGTTCACTCTGATCTCCTCCGCCCTCTTCCTGGCCACCGCTGCCATGGCCTCCCCAGACGGTCTTGACGTGAACTCTATCGTCTCCGACGTCGAGGGTATCTACTCAACTGCTGTCGGCGGTGGCCAATCCATCGGATCCGATATTGCCTCAAAGGCCACCTCTATCGCCGAGGCCGTGAGCACCGGCGGGTCCGCTGCCGTCTCATCTATCAAAAGCGAGGCTTCTGCCGCCGCCAGCGAAGGCCGCTCCATCGGCTCTGAGATCACCAGCCGGGTTGCCACCGCTGTTTCTGCTCAGACTACTCTGACCAACTCCGCTGGCTCCGCCACCGCTACTGAGTCCACTACCATGACCAGCACAATGTCCACCGCGTCTCCTTCCGGATCTTCCTCCACCTCTAACAATGCGGCCTTCGCTCGTCCCACTGCTGTCGGCGCTGTTGCTGCTGGTATGGCCGGTGTCCTTGGTGTCATGGTTGCACTGTAAAGTGTTGATACCTTGCTCCGTTGGTTCTGGATTTGATTTCAGGCATGATATCCACTACGCCTTTTCTTCACGACTTTCCTCAACTGTATTCGCCACTTTCAGCCTCGCATCTGTTAAAAGTGATCTAATACCGGCGTTCCTTTGAAGCTGTATATATACCTCTGTTGTACAATCTACATTTTGGTCGACAATTTCGACTATACAAATTTATTGAATCTGCTCATTAGCCCCCGACTGATAGGCATCTGTGGGAAATAATACAGCCATTTTACCACTAGACCGTAACAAAAACCTCGGTTCCTTTTTAGGGCCTAGAGAGGCCATATCCCACTTCGACAGCATGTTCTAGAGCATTTTTATAACCAATTGAACGCATTTCTTTACTTTCATCTCACACGCAAGCAGCTTATCTCAGTTATATATAGTGAACGGAGACATTAGTTAAGGTACTACTAAAAGCGATATCAAGAGCGAGTAGAGAGGTTTGATTGAGCAATAGAACTAAACAAAGGTACCAATAACGGATAGAACCTTGCACAGGTTTTACATAGTCAGGACGATAAAAAGACAGAAACACTCTTTCCTCTATCACGGCAAGGATATCCCCCCGCAGCGAGAAGCACATTGGCATATCGTGTCACCAGATCACTCCTCCTCGTCAGAGAGCATGACATAGTCAACATACGCTTGTTCCTTCGGTCTCTCTGGTAGCGTGGCTAACAAGAGGCCATCAGCGCTAGGATTCGATGCCAGTAGGTTGTGGGAATCCACGTAGCTCATGAATTTGTACCCTGGGTGTAAGAAACTATCCCACAACGAGATAGGCATTGATAGAAGACACAGAGAACAGCCCTGAAGGTTAAACACACCTTCGATGGTCACATTAGGATCTATTTTCGATAGCGACGTCTGCCACTCTGCGACTTGGCCACGAACGGTGTGCCCAAGGATGGAAACGGAAATGAGGGTACGACCCGTAGGTATGTGTGCGTTGCTTGTCGGATTTTCTATTCTCCACACATGATTATCGAGATGATGGAGGATGATAGATGATTTGCGACAGTCCATATATTGAGGAGTATAGCGCAGCTTAGTACTTGGGTCATTGGCTTGGGTACAGAGAGCTTCGTGGAGTTGTACAACAGTAACCGGTGCTGGTGACGTAGTGTATAGAAGTTCTGTTAGACGGGTTGTGAAATTATTGTTAGCATCGTAAGTGGGACCGTTCTGATCAGAAATCTCGTTGCCTGTTGCGAATAGGTACTCCGCGGAACGTTCACTGTGCTGCAATATCCTTTGCAGGCTGTGACATGGTTGGAAAAAGCTTCCAGAGTAGGAGGTATCGATGAGAACGAGGACGTCTGCCTTCATGCTAAGATGGATGGAAGACCACGGGATTCTAACGGCATCAGGGCTGCGGGTTCCGCTGAGAGTCGATATCAGTGATGCTGAATGAATACAAATACAATAGGTTTTATTGGGGTCCTTACCAGATTTCAAATTTTCGTTCTGTTTCAGATACACCGTGGCCGATATAGTGTATTACAAATAACGTGCCCCGATTGAGATAGCGATCACGGTCCATTTCATATTTCCGACGGAGTTCATAAATTGTGTCACGTATCGCTTCCAATGCCCCCTCCCTAGAGGTGGAGGGGATAAGCAAACTAGCCGTCTCGAATCCACATTGTGTCCGAAATGTCTCGAGAAGTGCAGATTGAGGTCTGGCCAGGTCCAAGTCATCATTACTCCATCGTAGACCAAGAACGACGGCTTTATTATAGGTGACCTCCATGGGCTTACTATGTCTGACCCCTTGGCTCAAGGTTTGGATGACGCTCTCAAAACTCCTTTCGCAGTCCCCATGATGAGTGGTTCGGTGACTTGGAGAGGGCTGCTGCCACTTAGACATCTTGGAATCTGAACAAGGAGGGCAACCGACTAAAAATAAAGACAGGTATGAAAACGATAACATGACAATTCTACCAGAATTTTGAAGATGGTGAATGATGAATATGACGTAGAAAATACACTTCCTTTATCCAAAGACTTTCATTAAACTCTATCGAAACAGAATGTTACATGAAGGTAACTTAGTCTTCTTTATATCTGAACTCGTCAGCCTACATGAAATCAAGTGATCATATATACATCTATTAAGGACAAGCTGAGAAGTAGGCAGAAGTGTTTATAGGGTACCGGATATATTCGTGTGCCTTGAAACCCTTTGTGGAAAAGGGATGGGGAAATAAGACCGATTGTAAGGGATATATCATGAGGGTCATGATGTAAGGAAGGCTGAGATCGAGAGAAGGTTTCATTTTTTCTTATGATCGAAAGATTCGGGTTCATCGATAGGGAACGCATGGGGAACTGAAGCGACAATGATATTGTCTGAAGCAGTAGAAGCACTCTCGTCGACAGTCATCTTGGGTCCGATATACCATCGCCGTGCGAAAAGGAAATAATAAGCCATGCACCCGAACCAAACAAAGCTGTTGATTACGATCGTGTAGTTCATGTTCGACGCTGCGGGTAAGTACTGTTAGCCATCCGATCAAGCGACCTTCCTGTGTTCAAATACATACCAGTTGGGCTGGGGCCCTCAGTCGGGAACATAGACAAGATAACACCAAATAGAAGATAGAGAACGGCCACCCAGGCAATGAGCCTGCTGAAGCGGCCGGTATAGAACTCCCCCGGGGTGAACCGGTCCTCCCCCCAGAGCAAGCGGCAGAAAATCGGAGTGCCCCATGATAGATAGTTGCTTGCTACAAATAGCGAGAATAGGGCGTTGGCGGCTGCTGAGTTGATCAGACACAGCAGGCCCAACAGAATAGAGACAACTACTAAGCCACAGATCATGCGCACAGGTTGGTATTGGATGCGCTTACTGACGTGGCGGAAGAACCTAGAAAATGGCAATGCTCCGTCGCGAGAAAAAGCCCAAGCTTGGCGAGAAGCAGCGACAATCAAGCTGAGACCGACAAGGAACTGAACGACGCAGAGTACAGCCATAAATGCCAAAGCACCGTCTCTGCCTAGTGCATCATAGTAGATCTGAGCCATTGGCTGACCGAACTTCGTGCTGATTGTCGCGCTTACATCCGGGTTCATAGTAGCAGCAATAACGGACAGCACCAAGAAGCCAAGCACAAATGCAGACCCCGCCGACCAGATGATTCCAAGAGGGACAGCCTTAGATGCATGCATAGCTTCTTCGCTCATATGCACACAAGAGTCAAAGGAGCCAATTGACCAGATCGGAGCGAGCCATGCCAGCATAAATGCCCATCCGGCCGGCCATGTAGTCTCATTGTCTATATGACCATACACATAATGGCCAGAGTTGAGAGACCCACCGCGCGTCACCTTTCCAACTGGTAAAGCGATCACGGTGGCAACGACGAGGGCAATGTTGATATAGATGCAGAATGTCTGGATTTTCGGCAGCAGGCGTCCACCTAAGGAGCCACATAGCCCGTGGAAGAGAATCAGGCCGACGTAAACAGCATAGATAACGCCACGCGAGGCGGACCATCCATCTCCCCGTGATATCGAGACACAAGAGAGGATCATGAGTGCGAGGGTATCTGCACAACAAGAGTAAGTGATGTGATGGATCGCAATGGGTATGGATCGTCCTCACAGTCCACCGAACATATGCCACCGATCAAACCCAATGTGTTGCTATATCCGATCAAGAAACTCAACGGGCTCTTCCACTTCGGTCCGGCGAAATAATGTGTCCACCAATATAGTCCCCCAGCTGTCGGCATGGCAGACGCAAGATCAGCCTAGGTGATATCAGTGCGATAGTTCCACAGGCCACAACCAAGATTTCTACCATTGCCAAGCCAACCAACAAGATGAATGTGCTCGCTGTAAACCATCCCTATTCCATAATCCCAGTCAATCAACAGCACAACCAGATTCACAGGGATTCAACCCCTACCCAGACCATGCCGACCGGACCCGCGGGAAGAGAGAACGAGAGCGTCGACGCAATTGAGGGTACTAGGCCCATGATGCTGAATGCGATTGCGAAAACCTGTGGAGTGGAATACTGCCGACGAAGTTCCTGTTTGTAGCCCATTCGTGCTAGACAACACATTAGCGACCAGTATTCCTCACAAAATGAAGCACACTATTATACCCAGCAGCTGCACGTCCCCGGTACCTGCCCTCGCGTCGGGCGCAACTGGTGCGACTGCCTCGGGGTCGACGGGTTGCGAGTCCATCATAAACAACTCGATTCTGGTTGTGGCTTTTCAGAGGGACATGGTGGGGACGGATAATTTAAATGCCAAATCAACTTGGGAGTCAAGTCAAAGGATGTGGATGTTAAATCTCATCCAACGCCAAATCCAAGACTGACCAACCATCGGTGGCGGACTCCAATAATCGCGGTTTCCTGCAGGAAATAGGACGTGCAGCGTGATTACGGCCCTTGCGTTTGAAATGCAGAGGGGCCAATGTGAGGCATTTGTGCCCACTTCATATCTCGCGATTGTTGAGAATGTTGACACTTATGAGGGCGGCTAATCTGCACCGATTCTGAGATAATCACCTGCAGCCCATTGCCCAGGTGGGTTGCACGAGCTACATCGTGCACACCAGCCAACTTGATTTTGATTAAATCTGCCGACCCCAAAGTCTCATAATCGATCCATGAGTGCCAATCATTTGTTTGAAATGCTTTCAATTAATTATTCACACTTATTGCAATCAACAATGAACTCTTCTCGGCCTCTTTGCCAGCCTGAAATATTGACTCAGATCCTGTACCAAACACATTTCATTGAGGCCTCTCCACTACGTACATAACAGGGAAATTTGTTGGGCGCACTCAAGGTTGCTTCGGTTATGGTCATCTGGGCGAAAGCGCCAGGTTTCCACGGCGCAGCCTTTCGGAAATTGGAGCAGCGTTAGACATGTTCATCTGACGGAGTATCCCTTCGGGGATATGAGGTTGAAGGGTCCTCGTTCGTGGTGGCTGTATGATCCGAACCCATCAACGACTGCTTCAACGACTGCTTTCTGGCCACATCTTCCTCGTTATAATCCTGGCCAGGGTTGATCGTCTCCCAACGCACGAAACAAAGGAGTCGATAGAAAGCAGAGGCAAGAAGGGATCCGAGCAGAGGACCGACCCAATAGATCCAGTGGTATCCCGGAAACGAGCGGTTGATCACATCCGGTCCGAGGGAGCGAGCAGGGTTGAGAGATCCTCCGGTATAAAAATCACCTAGTGTGAATGGTCAGCACAATACGTTGTGAAGTGATCCGAGAATGATTGTTACTCACCAACCATTTCCGCAACAAAGAAAGCCAGACCAATTCCCACTGGAGCTAAATAGGTGGACTTGTGCTTCACCACCGCCAACATGATGATGACAAACACTAGCTGCGCTGTCAAGAACATCTCAATGAAGAGACCTTGTGAAATTGATGTGCCACCGCCGAGTCGTGTCGCGCAGTTGAGCGGGCCCGGGAACAGGGCACTCACCACGCCCGCTGCAGCAATTCCGGAGACCAGTTGCGCGGGGAATACACATAACCCCCGGAGAGGGGGCATGCCACCACTTAGGCAGAGAGCAAGAGTAACCTAGTGAATGTCAGCTACAATATTTCCATTCCTGTACGGTGATGTCCCTACCGCCGGGTTGAAGAGACCACCCGTGACTCGGAAGAACGCCCAGACATTGACCGTTAAAGCGAACCCAAAACAGAGCGACGAATACAGCAAATTAGAAGTATTCGGTGGGGCGCCAGGTGCTGGCTTTGGGGTATTGGACACCTGTGTACCCGCAAAAGAAAAGAAGAGAAACAGGAAAGTCCCCACGAACTCGCCCATCACGCAGAGCAAGTTGTGCCGCAGCTTGTCTGGGAGCCGCAGCATGGGCAGCTGGCCGCCGCCATTCCCACCGGCACTCGGCGTGGCCCCAAGCGTCGAGGCATCAGACGACTGGCGTTTCTTGAACAGCATCGCGAGGAGTGAGGGAGCTGGAATTGAAAGAACTAATTGAAGTCGGAGTTTACTAATGTCTCATCAGAATGAGAACTTCTCAGACTCTTCTACTATCCATCGTTTTTTGCAGTTTACAACCATTGCAAATCGCAGACGTCACTACTCCATACGGAGGCGTCGCAACTGGGCCATGTAAAATCGATTAACGCTTGACTCGACCGTGATTGAGTTTACTTAATGGCAGTAGGGCCGTTTACCAGGTGCGACAGGATAGGTTCATGTTTGTTTTCCCGTATATAGTGGGATAATGAAGTCAGGATTCTGGGGTTTGGCCGGTGGAGTCGTCCCGATTTCTGCAAACGGTTGCGGGTATCGATCGTCTAGACCTCCCCCACACGTCATTCTCAATGGATTTGTCCAATAGTCTATTCATGTATTGATATTCTCCATGTGTTTCCACAATCCCATGATTGAGCTAGCGTCAAACAATGAAATCTAGATCGTCCGAAAGATCTCGCATGAACGCCTTTAGGGTTTGACAACTCAGACTTCATATTCAATCGACATATAGTTTAGAGTGCTCGCGGATTAGGTTTGTCGATCTAGTGAATCGCCTTAGAGCTGGCGAAGTACTGGATCATGATAGGACCTAGCGCCCAATTAATGGAGATGAGTAAACTTAGATCCAGCAACTCACAGCGCCAGAACGGTTAAAACGGCATTGCCTTGTAATCCGTGTGGTTCATATCACTTAGTAGAGAGTCCCAACGAAGGACCCAGACATATCTCCTGCCATGACCCTCGAGGTCACCTGGGCGGCTCCAGGGCTGGCAACCTTCCAAGGTTGGAAATGCGAGGATTAGGGGGTTTACCTAATGGATCGGCAGGAATCGGGCCGTTTGGCGCCGACAACATTCTCGCGCGTGGCCTGACCTGATGTGATGACTCAGTATCCGGATGGTGTACACATAGAAACAAAAAACAGCCTCATCATCGACATGGATGTTTCTGTTTTAGGGAGATTGCATTTGGGCCTTATCTTGGACGTACTATATGTACAGTCAGTGGACATAAGTTTCTACAGTGGTATGCGCCATACTATAACGGTTTTTGACCGGCAGTATATTATATAATCATGGATGTGTGGGGCCCAGGGTGTAAAAAACTTTGTCCAGTCACTGTACGGAGTATTTTGACGGGACGATCCTCCAACGATCCTTCCATCGGCGTTTTGACGTGTTCTGCCAGATCATGGGAAGCGGTGAGACGGAAGAGGAGAGTCCGCCTTCAGGGAAATATCCAATAGGAAATTGAGATAGCTTCAACTTTCAAAGTTCCACGGGTACAATGAACAGAAAGCTGGTATCTTCTCTTGGTACCTAGGTACTCCGTTCCTAGGTACTCATTGTCCTTTCTTGTTGAGCTTGAAGAATCATCTCAGTTCTGACAGAACATCATGATCTAAGATCGACGAGACTGACTATTTAGAGGTGGGTCAGATCCCAATCTACCATACATCGTAGATATTCCACGTACGAAGTAGACTTTAGGAATATAAAACATGCGACACAATTCTATGTACAAGTTATAAATGGCATGTTGCAAGTTGCGAAAATAGACCGAAGTAATCCCTTTTGCGTTATATCCATGTCCCTCTCCGCGGAGCTCTCCGCGGAGATATCTTCACTTCGGCCCTGAAAATCTTCACAGATCATGCCAGACACCTTCCGAATTTTCCAAACCCCGTCTCTTAGACTCTTACGTGCTAGCGATCCAGTTACAGTGGAGATAAATAAATAGCTAGACAACCAACCAAATGAAATCAGTTTATTATTACTCACATATTCTGACTTCTTATATTTAAGCCCCTGCACCGGTCATTGAACTGTACAGACATCGATCAAACGTTTTCTTTCCTCGACCACCCAAATATAACAGATCCATCCATCATGGGTTCCAATCCGGGAATGACCCCAGACCAAATCGCGCTCATTAAGGCGACGGTGCCGGTTCTCGTTGAACATGGCAACACCATCACAACTGTCTTCTATCGCAACATGCTCGAAGCCCACCCGGAGCTGAACAACGTGTTCAACACTGCCAACCAGGTCAACGGCCATCAACCTCGTGCGTTGGCCGGTGCACTCTACGCATATGCATCGCATATCGATGACCTCGGCGCACTAAGCTCAGCAGTTGAGTTGATCTGCAACAAGCATGCCTCTCTGTATATCAAGCCCGACGATTACAAGATTGTTGGTAAGTACCTCCTCGAAGCCATGGGCGAGGTACTCGGCGTGGCATTGACCCCAGAAATCCACGACGCATGGGGCACAGCCTACTGGCAGCTCGCAGATATCATGATCGGCCGCGAAAAGCAGCTTTACGAACACGCTGAGGGCTGGACTGACTGGAGAGAATTCAAGATTGTGAACAAAGTCAAGGAATCCGAGGAAATCACATCCTTCTATCTCGCCCCTGTCGATGAAAAGCCACTGCCGGCCTTCCAGCCCGGCCAGTACATTTCCATCCAAACCTACGTTCCAGCTCTCAAGTACCCGCAGGCCAGACAGTACTCTCTTAGCGACCAGCCGAAGCCAGACTACTATCGCATCAGTGTGAAGAGAGAACTAGGCCTTAGCCCAGCCGCTCCAGATGCTACCGCCCATCCGGGTTACATCTCGAATGTACTACACGATACATTTAACATTGGAGATAAACTCAATGTCTCCCACCCCTATGGCGACTTTTTCCTTACCCCTGTCGAATCGGAAACAAGTATTCCGATCGTGTTGATCTCTGCTGGTGTGGGTCTAACGCCACTTACGTCGATACTGAACACGTTGATTTCGAAAGCGCCCGCAACCCGCAAACTGCATTTCATTCATGGCGCTCGTTCATCGGGCGCACGCGCTTTCAAGGATCACATCTCCGAGCTTCCGAAGCAATTCCCCTCCATTCAAACAACATTCTTTACGAGTCACCCCTCCGAGGGAGAGACAGAAGGCGTGGACTACGACCATGTCGGGCGGGTGGACTTGAGCAAGTTGGAGGATCAGGACTTGTTCCTTGATGATGCCAAGACAGATTACTATATTTGTGGACCTGGAAAGTTCATGGCCGATGTGGAGTCAGGCCTCAAGGCCAGGGGCGTGAGTGCCGACCGGATCAAGATGGAATTGTTTGGAACCGGAGGTATTCCTAATTGAGTACTCCGTACGGAGTCTGATTAAGCCAACTTGTTTTCTTTGTTTATTTGTCAGTTATCGGTTGGGCATTTAGAACCTTTGAAGTACATACAACATATCTCATCTCCTGAAATTTCAAATTACGATTGACGAATGAAAGAAGTCGCAAGATCCCTACCCAACGTTAGATTACCCATCCGCTGAGCAAGCAATGGATTTCAAAGAAAATAACTACACCAAGTTCGGTAGAATATGCTTGGATTTCCAGATAGCGGTGAAGTTTGGCGCAAGGGGGGTGGTGTATTAGCAATCCTCTTTGTTAAAAAGGTAACGGATCGACATGCATGGATTCACAGAGAAACCAAGTTCAGGGTCATTGCATTCGGTCATTTTTGCCATAGACCGAATACTGATATCCATTTATAAGCATGCGATCATGAAATGTAGGACATAAAAGCCTTGAAAATTCTCCCAGTCAAGTGTATCAACGAAGATTCCCAACTACAGCCTACCAACTAAGTTACCCTTCTATCATCCTCACCCTATATCAAAATGGGTGCCAAAATTGGCGTCTTCCCGGCCTCAGGGGCCCTTGGATCAAGCATTGTGAACAACCTGGCGAAACTAGTCCCAGAATCCGACCTGGTTCTGGTTGCCCGACGCCCCGAGAAACTGCACGACCTCAATCAAGCTGGCGCTACGGTACGCAGGGCCGACTATGATGAGCCATCGACATTAGACACAGCCTTCAATGGCGTCGATGTCTTGATGCTAGTTTCATATGCATCATTTGAGATAGATCACAGGGTCAAGGTAAGGAAAATCAAGTGATATCACCCACCTGAGTAGTTGGTCTAACAATAATAATCAGGCACACCGTCTTGCTATAAACGCAGCTATCAAGAGCGGCGTCAAGCACATCTTCTACTCCTCTCTTGGATTCGGCGGTGATCTAACCGACCATAGCATCGCTCATGTCATGGGCGCGCACATCGAAACAGAGAAATACTTCTCTTCTCTGCAAGACACAGTGTCCTACACCATAGTCCGCGAGGGTATCTACACTGATTCCTTCCCGATCTATACCGCTTTCCTTGATCCGCAGAATCCAGCGGACGAGGTTACGATCCCTCACTCAGGTACAGGCCCAGGCGTGGCGTGGGTCAAGCGCGATGAGCTGGGCGAGGCAACCGCCAAGTTGATTGCCTTGTATATCAATGACTCGACCAGCTTCAAGTATTTGAACAAAGCTGTTCTGTTCTCTGGGTCTCGGGAGATCTCTCTTGCGGAGTCGGTTGAGATTATCGGTCGTGCGATTGGGAAACCACTCAAGATTCGTGAGATCTCTGTCGATGAGTATGTGAATCTTCCTGGGATTGGGGACAAACATACATACAAGGGGGTTAATCTGTCGAGGGAGTGGGCTACCGCTTGGGAGGCTATCAGGCGGGGTGAGGCTGCAGTTGTGTCTCCGGCTCTACGTGAGATATTGGGGCGTGAACCGGAGAGCTTTGAAACTACTATCAAGGAGTTGATTGGATGAGCTTTTGCGGGTTGCTACAATTGGAATGTGTGTACACCAAGGAACTAGATAGATGGTTTTCATCGGAGATAGAAGCAAATTTCGAGAAAGTTCAGCTGCTTTGATGTCGCTATTCGTGATGTGTATATTCAATATGTACTGTTGAATGGAACAACCCTGTAGTGAGAGGGTTATAACAACATAAAAGACCTCACGAAAAGCACAAGGAACTCTCATCAAGCCATTCTGTTATATGGACCCAGAGTCCAAACCGAGTAAATATTTAGGCGGAGTAATTCTTGAGCTCCTTGACATAGAGCTTCACGGCGCCGTACTCAGCGTTGTGAGCAGCAGACCAAAAGATTTCCTTGACCTTGTTCTCACCGTAGCCGTCAATGGCGAACCAATCCTTGCCGCCTTGAGTGAACAGACCCTCGTCGTTGACACCAAAGGAAGTGACGTTGCCGCCCTCCGGGACAGCACCGGAGTGAGGGAGGGTCAAACCGACGGGCGAGACAGAGTCTTCGACAATGTAGAGGTTCTGGAAAGCGGTAGGAACAGCGTTCTTGGCAGTGTACGAGACGAGGCCGTTGGGGCTGCCGCCACGGACTAAGAAAAGCATATATGTTAAGGGGTTGGATCGAGATCATCAAAGGCTTGATGCTTACGGATCAGGATCTCATGATCGGTGGTGTTGGCACCAATGTAAGCGTTCTGGCCATCGGTCAGGAGGGTATTGCCGCCCTCGGCAACGAGAGTGAAGGCGTCGGGAAGGTTGGCGGCGCTGATGGCGCCGACGAAGGCAGTGATGGTGGCGAGGGAGAACTTCATTTTAAGTGTGAATTGGACTTATAGACTAGATTTGGTGATAGACTTGATGCGAAGGACTCAGGACTCTTATATATCCAAGACCTGCCTTGGCTTGTTGTACATATGTATGTTGTCATTAAATTGGGTACGATACTATTTTTATTTTTTTATTTAAAATGGCTATTCTAAATTACTCTATCAGGTCTATTGGATGGTCATTTCGCAATATTGAAACATGTCTTGCAACCCCTCATGACAAAATGATTTACTCCAGATGTCGACAGATGTCGAAAGATGTCGCCAAAATAGCGGCTTAGCCCCTATTCTACAGAATCCTACATATCTACCAAAAAGAGAGAGGTATATCAGCGAGAGACTTCGAAATGCATGGTTTGTTGAGTGATTGAATTGTTGACGAGACTAACTTGCCAGACTACAGAGTTTGAGATTTGAAAATATCATATTATTGATCGACTATGCCAACCCAGCTAATCCTGAGACATTGAACGTCGCTCCAGGCTCCTGCATCTCCGGTTAGAATCCGGGTAAATGCATATGTAATTCTTTCCGAAAGGTGAAACTGACTCCATCAAGCCACTGTCGATCTTCAGGATTGGGTGGAGAGAGTTCGGGGCATTGCCTATTTCGATCCCCATCCTATGTTCGAGTAGTCCCAAGTACCCAATTTTCAGACCGACTCTATTTTTGACTTCGGTTGTTGCTTGTTGCTGGTCCAGCAAATCTGGTCCTAGCTCAAAGTTGTAGAGTATTAGCCCGAAGGTCGCTGTTTTCTCGGGGAAACTTGTGGATCGAAATGATGGCTGATCTAAAAGTTGTCTGAAAAAAGTAGCATTGGTTGACATAGCCACTATGATCTAAGTATGTACATTAATTCCCTTTTCTTCAGATGCTTATTGGAAACCGATGACACCTACGTCGGGTCGGGCCCCACGAGCCTTATGCTTAATCCAAACTCTAATCAATACTGTGAGGACCAGCTAAGGTAGCCACACCCAACAAGTATATGTTGCGATCCGAGATCAAACAATCTATCACAATGAGTATAAACCACATAACACAATAAAGCCTTCATGTAAGGTTAAATGGCTTACAGCGGGCCTAATGGCTGGGTTATAGGCGACTAAGGAGGCTTTAAAGCTAGTCGAATAGCTAGTAGTGTGGTCAGTGTGATGCCTAAGGCACCCTATATCCATATGAAGCCAAGCCACTGACCACTACCTAATTAAGAGTTAAACGGTGCACGTCACGTAGCTCTAGCTAGTGAAAATACTAATCTAGTATAAGATCGTAGACGAGAGAGATTATGTGATATTTGGGAAGCTTACCTGCACACTAACCACGTCCACTGACGCATACTAAATCTATCCCTTAGGTTTTTCATATTCCTCCGCTTACGCTCCGCAGCCAAAGTAATCCATGGATCGACAATAGGGAAATTATCATAAACTATAGCAGTGCAATTGGAAGCATCCGTCATTACTCAACCTGGCGATGCTGCATAGAGGCACATTTTTATCTTCACTTCATATTTGAAATTTCGTACATAGACTCAGCTACACAAGTTACATCTGCATCAAATGCAAATTTACCCAAGAATGACCCCAGTCTGCATTCCAGACACACTCCCCATTCTCCCTATCTGTACGATATAATGGGATCGATATCCTTAGTTGATCAGAATATCTTGCCTGCCTACTTCATGCTAATGGGTTTTGTCTTGGTCGGGCAATCAGTGCTCACATTCGATTCTTTCGATGTACTAATAAACTGTTCGGGCTGATGGGGTGGGACTTGTCGAAGGCGTCCTAGACATTGGCAGCAGCGAGTTTTTGCAGACCAGCAGCCGCTCATATTGTTGTTCTGGAGACCTGTGGTCAAAATTGCATTACCCTTTTGATCAACCCTGGGGATTTGATCAAATATGCATCCATTGAACCGCCGAGGAATACACTCGCCTTCCCATAAGATAGTCCACCTTCTCTGAGATGACAGTAAATCTTGTTCCCGCTGTATATCAGATCCTAGTGCGACACCTTAATCGGTGCATAATGTGCGTCATAGAGCAAAATAATCATCTCTTCAACTTCCGCCCATCTTAGCGCTCGGTCGAGCTACGTCGCCTAACGGGGTTGATAATTTACAAAATATATAGTGGAAATGAGAACACAATGTACACTGATACGTATTGTGAATCACAAATTAAAAAGTGGATCGCCCAGTTATATGGGTACCCGAAAGTGGAGGACTTGCTCAACCGTATGATGTATGTCTGATTTGGGAGATAAATCCGAAAATAAGTTGTGTATCGTTCAGCGGGAGTAAACTTTCATTACTCGGACGCAATTTAACTCGCTAGCAATGTGCACGAAGAGCTAAGGGCTATCTTTTCTTCCAATAAACGCAACCATAGCAATAATTGAATATTATACAACAGTCATAGTTATCGAAAGAACCGACGATCGAGCAACAACGCCCTGGTAAAGTAATTAGATGACCTAGGGCTATGAACAAGTTTCATCAGAACCGCATAAACCAACTGGGTGTACTTGGCAGTTGGGAAACAAGCGAGAATTGAGGACTGTTACTGTTGTTGATTGTCCATTTTCAGGCTCTAGAAGTCATAGTTCAAAGACCTGGTACCATAGTTATCCCAAAATATAGAGCTAGGTTAGACTTGGAGCGAAATTCGACACCACAGACTTCCAAGTGCGGAAAAATTCCATTCGGTTGCCTATGAGAGTGAAGTATGGCATCGCCGATACAAAGGCGGAAAAGGTCTTACCCTCCTATGTACTCTTCGCATCCGGACAGCGCTATTTTGGTGAAGATCCATCCTAGCCACTGGTGAAGATCCAGCCGCCGGGAATCAAGATCCAGGAGCGATGGTCGGGACCGGAATCGAGTCAAGATCCGTATACAACATATTTTGTGCAGATGACAGGTCTAGCGCCCGTTATTGCTCCACTAGGTCAAGGCGTGTCGGGTGGACTGACCTTCATCTTCCTCATCTTGCAACAAGCCGTGACACAGGGGTAACGAGTCACCTGCAGGGTACTGAGTTAGCCTCGGTCTAGATGACTCGATACAGGCATGGAATGCAGATTTTTAAGGTTGTGATAGATCTGAGATGTCGAGGGGTGTGATGGTGGTCTTAGCCACAAAGTCTAACAATGCATATCATTTTTGCGATCGTCAAGAACCATATCGGCAAAGCCCTTCGAATCTCGAAAGAGGGAAAATTACAACCGGATCGCCCCCAGCATCGGAGAGTATTAGGATACGAACGCTCATGCCATAGATTTAGAACTGTTGACCGGATGCCAAACTGGAGAAACGGACACCGTCTGCAATTCGTGTGGAATCTCGGTTTGTCACAGGAGCAATTCTCGTATGGACTCGGTGAAGATCGGGATCGAGGGTAGGGCGAAGGGCAAAGGAAGGAGAGCATCCGAGTCACCCCACTGATCCAAAGTGCAGGTGGAGCTGTTTTGGGAAGAAAATTGAATAAGCGGGATTTACCTGTTTCGCTACTGGACGACACGGAGGCCTGTTGAGGCACTACGAAGTACCCCACGTCTAATTCACATACTACTTTCATTATTATCAAATGCAAGGTAACAGGGCTTATTTAATATATCTGAATCTGACAGGTTTCTTTTTTATTGCTTTCATTGAGTGGAAAATCGAAAAAAAAACAAAGGTTGGCGCTGATTTGCAGCGAGACTGACAAAAGTACTACACTGATACCTACTCCTCGTGCACTTTGCCACAAGCGGCAGGGCAGAAACTTACAGCATTGCCAAGAGTATACGTGACCTTTCCAAGAAAAGAAATATGGAAGTATTGAGCCGGTATATTGTATTCTTTAGTGTACTATATAGATATATCACAGTGGCGTATTCAATTGAGTGATTCTGACCAGTTTGGACGTGTCAACCTTTATCATTACTATCATATCAAGTTTTATTTCGGATATGATATCTCGACATTTCCTTAGCTCGTATGGGACTTTCTGCAGTGACTGATGACGTATAGTTTACAACATAGTCGCATATGTCAAAGAGATCCATTCAGGAAATAGATTGCCTGACAGGGTGACAGGTGATCGTCAAAGTATATGTGGTGAGGCAAGCAATCAGAGGATACTATTAGTACTCTGTCAAGAAACAGGGTATGACTTTTACCGGTCAGGGGTACGGAGTAAAGAATGTAAAGATACAAAGCCGAGTATGATGCAGATTCCCTGTGTACATGATTCTAGTTGATACGATTAACGTGTATGTTCCTATCGGGTTTTGGGCCCTTTCCTGGATTGATGTTATTGACGTTGCCGCTTCTACAAAGACAGTTAGGGATTTATCTAGGGCTGCGTATACCGCAGAACAGCTACATCTCGGCCGTTTCTCTTCGAGTTGTGATCATCTAGTTCATCACTACTATGGAGGAACCTCATTCAGTCTTAGTGAAGATATGAATCGGCTGCAAGGATTGTCTATGACGAAATAATGATTTGCATGAAAGTTAGTAATAAGTACCGGACTGAGACGAAAGATAATTCGTGAAATCTCTTATGAAGGATGAGGTATATAAATCGACAGGCATACCACATGCAAGTGTTGGGAGAGTCAACTCGGCAAGATGGGATTGGTTTCACCCGTAGACCTCTAGGGCTACTAGTACATACATACATACATATAGTCAGGTCTCAATTCTACAACCTGTGAAATCAAAGCAAGAGAAGAGATACAAAGATACGAAACCTGTCAAAAACAAAGAAAAGGAGGTACAAAAGGTACCAAATGTACGTAAATGTACATAAGTGTACATAAATTACATAAAACATCGGCTCCGAGACTCGGCCGGAGTCTTGGCCGGAGTCTTGGCCTAGCCCACTGGTTCCGACTTTAACTTCCAACGGTTTCACACGTTACTCGTTACTGGGGAGTTCTCGGAAAATGGGCTTGTCGGAGCCGGCCGTGAAAGATCTTAGGGGGTGAACTCGGCTTGATTTCACCGAACAATACAAGCGAGTGGAGGCTAGACCATTTTGGATGTCTTGTTCAAGACTTGACATCACAGGGCTTCGTACACAGGCGTAATCGTCTGTTCCGAATCACCTTCGTACCCCTGTTTTTTTTTCGGGGCACACTCTGGGTTTATATAAATGCCCCGCGGCCGAAACCCATATCCTGTTCCATGCATCTTCAGTTCTGATTTATTTATAAACGATCCTTCGCCACCCTTTCACTATAGTAATTCTCCCAACTTACTATATATCCCAATCCTACTGCCCTCGAGGCCAACGTATGATCCAAGATGTGCATCATGGCTTGCAACCGATCCAATGAGATCCCCGATCTCTCCATAGACCAGGGGACCTACCTCAGCCAACACCTGAGTCCTCAGTCTCGACCCGCCGACTTCTTCGACAGACCCGACCCTCTCGCTGCCAACTGGAGCTATGACAACGCCATTGACCTGTTCTCCATCAACCCCACCGATATGGAGCCCGTGTCATTCGACTTTGCCGATAGTCTCACGAATCTCGAGTCCAAGGACCTCTTCAACGACCCATTTGCTGGCTCTGGGATTAGTGGGTTCACCATGCCCGAGGATGCAGCTTCACTATCATCGGTACGACTCCACCTCCCATCAATATCTTGACACAAAGCTAATCTCCTTAAAGGAATTCGAAAGTGATGATCAAACATGGCCATCCGCTGCTGCCCGGCAATCCGTCGACTCGAACGCGTTCGAGACCCAGTCGACAAACCAACCTTCAAACTACACCTCTTCTCAACCTCAAACACAGAGCAAGACTCGCTCATCTTCAACAAGATGGTCATCGAGTCCAGAGATGAAGGAAGAAGAGATTGCTACGCCCCAACCCTCCAAACCCACCAACTCCACATCCCGCAAGACCCGCAGCTTTTCCCGAGATTCAAACCGCTCCTCAACGGGCGGCCAAGACCCTCAAATGCGGAATGCTGCCAAGCGTGCCGCCCATAACATCATCGAGAAGCGCTACCGCACCAACATGAACGCCAAATTTGTTTCACTCGAGCAGGCCATCTCGCCCTCGGGTGTTCAAAAACATGCCAAGGTTGGAGCAGGGTCTCTCAAAAAGTCTGAGATTCTCACCAATGCCCTTACCTACATCGATGGCATTCAGCAGGAAAACCAGGCCCTGCACAAGGAGCTCGCACTGCTCAAGCAAAACTTGCTACCGGGCGGAATCTGGCGTCACTCCAAAAACCCCCGACTATGATCAGGTGCATGCCGATCATGCCACAGTGATGCTGCCGCTTCAAGTATCTTTCTTTGTTCTCATGACCGCGAGCGTTGTATTCTTAGAGTAGCCGGACAACGTGGTCCCGGTCGGCGTTCGTCTTTTTGCTTTGTTATTCGTTTATTTCTTTGCACTGGCGCAGGCGTTCGGATGAAGTGTTATTTGGGCTCGAATGTGGCCCTCTCTCATCTCAGATATGATTTGATTTTCGGGTCGTGGCGACCACAAAAGTGTTTTGTGACTTGTGATTCCCCAACACGGACGGGAATACCTCATGGATAGTATCCTAAAACATCAATATAATTGCCAAGACTCGGATGATTCATTTTGCTCAAACCTTCTCCTTTCTTGATTGTGTGTGTATGGCCTGATGCTTCCCAATGTGGAAATAGTTGCGCTATGGTGGCCCCATCCAGGTATATATATACCTTTAATGTAAGTGAAGTTCCTTGGTCTGTGATCTTTGTGCTGTACTGGCCACTCTGAGTTAGCAAGATTAATTTTTCAAACTCAACGCTGAATGTGTTTCTCCGGCTTTCATATCGCTTACCGCATCCATGGATGGCCTCGACCTGAGTAAGACCGCACTTCGAATAATAGTCAACCTTTCAACTTCTGGATTCATAGCCAACGGACATAATCAGTCTAAAAGCAAGTTGAACAGAGCCAGTATCGCCTCAAGAGATGCAGCACCCAGCACTTGATCAGGGGGAGCGGATAGGATAAGCGAAATCTAGGATCCGAGATTGTCCATAATGCGGAGCAGGGATCATGGAATCAGACAGCGGATGTTGCCTTTTCGGTTAGTCAAATAGCCGGTTGCGCTAATTACAGCAGGTAGGCAGAAACCAGCATGATTCTAGGAGCCACCCATCCAACCCTGTGACCCCGGTCAAATACTCCCCGTTGGGATCAGACTGCTGCGCCGTGCCTGAATATCACTACAATACCTCGCCTGCACGGGTGCCGGCAGACGGCTATACACTGTTCATGAACTCAATCGATAGGGAGCTTGCCGGACTGTCACGGGTACACAATGGCGATAATCAAATTGAACCATTCTGGGGTTCACGGGGCTGTTTCCCAATCGTGCGTACTATGGTCTGTCCTTCATTGGCGTACATCGCCGTTCTCGGTGCTTGCATCTCCTTCTCCTTCCCTTTGTGGGGTTGAGCTGGGCGGGATTTAGCTTTGCGGCCAGATGGATGGCGAGGACCCTACGGGGATGCCCAACTGAGGAGACTCGCCCCTTTAGCGAAGGCTGTTAGTTCTCATTACGAGGCAATAATTGAAGAAGTGGACCTTGATGGCATCGTTTCCCGAACGAAGCTCAAAGCTGCTGCTTCAGTGGTGCAAAGTGCATTCTAAATCCGTCGTGCCGGATTTCCCCTTTCGATGGGAATATTGTCACGAATCATAACTTGGTCCTCCCGCCTGACCCCAGATGCTGATCATCTACAAATATTCCAAGCTGTTGCCTTGAATCCACATTGATATCACAATGGCTTCCGCCGGATAAGCCATGCCTATCGGGCCTATGTGGCATTGACTCCACAAATATACTGTTTAATATCTCATATGAAATGCAGATATGCAGCTCTACCGTTACCATTATGGTGTCTATTTACACACCAAAGCATGTTTAATCTCAGGATTGACGCCCCGAAACTCTACTGGAGCCGCGCGCTCTAAACCGCTAATCGTTCATTCTTATCGGCCACGCATGGACTTGCCGTTTTGGGTCAGCCATCGCCACTGATGATTGTACTTTGATGTTGATACCTAGGTATACAATGCTATTGATTTTTAACTATATCGGGAAGATACTTAGGAGGTCATGCTTGTTTTTTGTTGAAATTGTCATTTTTATTGAATTTGAGGGATATCCTTGAAGAAGAGAAGCTGTTGAGTTACACCGGTCGGACCTCATGTGGCAATTGATGGTACTTGCGAGCAAGCTGCAAAATATCTACGATATTCAATTACTTAAACAGCATGAATTCAATCCCAATTATGTATACCCCAGCTCTTATCTGTGGAGTGCATTTGTGGATATTATGGATGACGGCCCACTGGAGGGAGGTCCTCCCGAAGACCTGTGGACGACTCCCCGCAAAAACCAAGAAAATTCAGATCGTTTTTATTATCAACATCTCCTCAGTCCATGACCAATCAGTCTGATTCAACCAAACCCTAGTATCAGGCCCGCCGCGTCATTGGCTACTCTCAATTGGTCTTCAGCTTTATCTAAGCCCCCCCGTATTTTCCCTTGAGAACGGGGTTAATCCGTGAGGGGTGTCAACGCGCACCGAAAACGCCAGACGCCAGATCTAAGATATATAGAAATCATCGTTTCTCCCCCTATCCATACTTCTCGTTGATCTTTTCGGTCAGAAAATGGGCGCATTTCCTTCCTGCCTGCCCACTAATTTGATCTATATTGCCTCCGGCTGAATTACCACGGCATGGATTTGGAGTCCAATTCGCAACCCCTTAAGCCACCGCTGACGGATCAGAATGTGCAAGATGCGCAGGATCTCGCTGCGCTGGGCCATTCCCAGGCCCTGACGCGAAAATTCGATATGTGGAGTATGCTGGCGCTCGCCTTTTGTGTACTTGGTATGTTTGCGCTATTTTCCACCCGATGGAATTCGGTGTGCTGACATGTCCAAGGAACCTACTCGACCTTCGCCCAAGATCTCAGTAGTGGTCTGACCAACGGTGGTGCTATCACTATCCTCTGGGGTCTGGTGCTGGTCACAGCATGCAACCTCTGTGTTGCGCTCTCGTTGGGTGAGTTGACTAGCAGCATGCCCACCGCCCTTGGTCAGGCTTACTGGGTATATCGACTGTGGAATACACCATTGGGTCGATTCGTCTCGTACATGTGTGCATGGATCAATACATTTGGATGGTGGACCTTGACTGCGTCGCAGGTTGCTTTCATGACTGAATTCCTGCTGGGCATGAAGACTATGTTTGATCCCGAGTGGGATGGAGTCAACAAGGGCTGGCTCAATTTTGTTGTATATATCGGGGTGGTCTTCGTGCTGACCCTGATCAACGTTGTCAGTTGCCGTAAAGAGAAGATACTACCTTGGCTTAACAACTTTGTTGGAGTGTGGTTCTTCGGTCTGTTTATTGTTCTCTCTCTTGTGCTACTTATCTCGGTCGGAACCAAGAGTGAACTGTCGTTCCAGCCCGCTTCGTTCGCGTTTGGTGCTTGGAAGAATGAGACTGGCTGGGGCGACGGTGTGGTTTGGTTCACGGGGTTGGTACAGGCAGCGTACGGGTTGACTGCGTTCGATTCGGTCATTCACATGGTGGAGGAAATCCCGGCGCCTCGGAAGAATGCTCCTCGAGTTATTTGGATGGCCGTTTTGTTCGGTGCCGTGACTGGATTCATTTTCATGGTGGTCTGTCTGTTCTGCATCCAGAATGTGGACCGTGTCGTCAACGCCAACCTCCCCTTCATGGAGCTTATGATCGAGACCGTTGGACTCAAAGGGGCTGCTGTACTGATTGCACTGTTCATTTTCAATGGTTTAGGCCAGGGCATCAGTGTCCTGACCACTGCCTCCCGTTTGACCTGGGGCTTTGCCCGTGATGGCGGCGTGCCTTTCAGCGGGTACTTCAGCCACGTCGACCCTGTGTGGCAAGTCCCTGCCCGCGCTCTCTGGGGCCAGAGCATCGTCATCGGTATCGTCGGCATCCTATACCTATTCGCCAACACTGTGCTCGAGGCAATTCTCAGCGTCAGCACCATCGCCCTGACTGTCTCCTACGCCATGCCAATTCTTGCCTTGCTCATCACCGGCCGTGAGAAATTGCCTCCGGGTCCATTCAAGCTCGGTCGCATTGGTCCGTGGTTGAACTGGGTCAGCATCTTCTACTGTATCATCACTACCATTTTCTTCCTGTTCCCTGGAAGCCCCTAACCCGGCGGCCGGCGATATGAACTTCGCCATTGCCGTCTTTGGTGTTATGTTGGTCATCGCTGTTGCATTCTGGTTCATCCAAGGTAACCGAACATATCTCCAGACCGAAGATGCCATCGCCTCAATGGTCTACGCCCACCATCTGGAAATGAATCAGCTAGGTAATGATGACTCTGTTCCTGCCGTTCAAGCTCCGGTCATTGTTGATCAGAAGTGATACCGTGGGCTTTCATATTTTATGTATAGAAGCTACACCATTTTTGGATCGTGTGTAGGACAGGCATGTACATAGTGTACTTTGTACATAGTTAGTTATGCCTAAGAACAGACATGTACACAGTATATAGTTACATATGCATAACATAACCCAGTTAGATTTTGTATATCTGGAACTAGGTTGACGTGCATCCCTCATAGAAAGAAAATTCAGGGTTATCGAAGTCATTGGCTTGAATAGACACTCCGTAGGAATTCTAGGCATCATCTTTTTTTAAGAGAATAAAAAACAACTTGCGGACAAAAAGAACTTGGCGGAGAGTCACGGGGTACGGAGTACCGGCGGGCCATGGAGATTGTTGCAACTCCGGAGAACCTCCCTGCCAAGAAGTCAACATTTCAATATAACCTGAACAACACATGAAATTGCTAGACAGTTCCGGGCCAACGGGAACTACCATCTCGACCCTTGATAGGTGTCACAAAAGCCAGCGTACCAATGTACTATGCACTCCGTACATCTTATCACCTCGCATTCTTGCCCAGCCCTTTTTACCTAAGACTGAGATGTCACATCAAATAATGGAAGATCGAGATCACCAGCCATATCTGTCTCCAGTGCCTAATTATGACTCTCGCACTCTGTATTTTGTATTGGCCCTAGCCTCCGGCGCACTCCGACGCACTCCGACGCACAGCAATGCAACCAAACCCGATAGTCATTCGGGTTGCGACAGTCCTTCAGCGCATTTCAGCGCCACAGAAGCCTAGCGCCTACCCTTCCAAGCTTGTCTTAATTTTTGATGAGACAGCCTAATTGGCTGCTAGCTTGTGCAACGGTGCATGATCACTATCCGAGCTTCCCCCCTGGTGAGTCTTGGCAGGGGACGAATGATTTTGATAATTGAACACATCTTCCAGCTAATTCCTACCGATCAGACCTGATAGTAGATGAACTGTGGGCTTCATGTAAATCAGAACCAGAGCTGATCTCATTTTAGGGCCAAGTCATCCAGCCACCCAGCAATACAAGCCCCCTTGGCTCACCTCACATTGTTTCCTTCAAACGGAGTGGGTCAACCCCCTGCCGATCATAAACGGATCCCCGACGGACGCGCCCAATATCACAATGGGATCGAGGGCTTGTCTCCATACCGATCACATCACTAACAATTCGTCGTTCCTCGGTCTGGGAAAGGCTGTTGGTCGCAACGATGCGAGTATGGAGCAATATCCCGAACATGCAATCCCAGCCGTCGCTACTCCGGAGCGATTATTGATTCAGAACAATCTCACCAAACAGGAATCCACCAAGGGTCCACTGGAACAGTGGAACTTATAGCAATGCCAAGGGAATGACGTGAAACTTCGATTAAAGCACTCAGTTCTTGTGACTATTGTCTTATCCTGGTTTATCCTGGACTTCTTCAACACACATTCTTTGTCGCCCTATCATTCCCCCCCACCAATGCAACCATAATAAACACCAATTCACGGTCTTTACCCCTCCTTTGTATTTCCTAGTCTTCTATCAGACTATTTATACTTCCTGTATTCGCTGTGCAGAGGTCCCGACCAGTGTCTGATAGGGTGTCCTCATATCGTTCGTTTTTATTATGATCGCGTCTCTTTTTAACCGTGGAGCATTGTCGCTCGCGGTCTTGTCGCTTCTCGCGTCCTCTGCTGCAGCTGATGTATTTGAGAGTTTGTCTGCTGTTCCTCAGGGTAAGTAACTTGCGTTCTAAACCAAACCGACGGAATTGATATACTGACTTGCCATAGGATGGAGATATTCTCGCACACCGCGTGCTGATCAATCCCTGAAGCTACAGATTGCTCTGGCACAGGGGGATACTGCCGGATTCGAAAAGGCTGTGATGGACATGTCAACCCCCGATCACCCCAGCTACGGGAACCACTTCAACACCCACGAGGAAATGAAGCGGATGCTCCAGCCCAGCGCGGAGTCTACAGACTCGATCCGTGACTGGCTCGAAGGCGCGGGTATTACCAGGATCGAACAGGATGCCGACTGGATCACCTTCTACACCACTGTGGAGGCGGCAAATGAGCTGCTGGCAGCCAATTTCCAGTTCTATACCAACAGTGTCAACCACATTGAGCGTCTTCGCACACTCAAGTACTCTGTCCCGGAGGCTCTGGTGTCACACATCAACATGATCCAGCCAACCACCCGTTTCGGCCAGCTGCGCGCCCAACGGGCCATATTGCACAGCCAGGTCAAGGAAAACGACGAGGCTTTCCGCTCGAACGCCATGTCCGCTCAGCCGGACTGCAACAGTATCATCACCCCCCAGTGTCTCAAGGATATGTACAATATTGGTGACTACAAGGCCGACGCCACCAATGGGAACAAGGTCGGCTTTGCCAGCTACCTAGAGGAGTATGCACAATACTCCGATCTGGAACTATTTGAGCAAAATATCGCGCCCTTTGCCAAGGGCCAGAACTTCTCCGTCGTCAAGTACAACGGCGGTCTTAATGTTCAACACGGGAGCGGTAGCAGCAGCGAGGCGAACCTCGACTTGCAGTACATTGTTGGAGTCAGCTCTCCTGTTCCCGTTACAGAGTTTAGTGTTGGCGGTCGTGGTAAACTTGTTCCCGATCTCGACCAGCCTGATCCCAACAATAACAACAACGAGCCGTACCTTGAATTCCTCCAGAACGTGCTTAAGATGAACAAAAAGGACCTTCCCCAAGTGATTTCCACCTCTTATGGCGAGGACGAGCAGGTATGATACCCAACCCCCTTTGTTCGTGATTTCGTCAGTCTCTAATATCAACCTCCAGAGCGTTCCCGAAACGTACGCCCGCACCGTTTGCAACTTGTACTCGCAGCTCGGCAGCCGTGGTGTGTCCGTCATCTTCTCATCTGGCGACTCCGGCGTTGGTGCCGCTTGCCAGACGAACGACGGCAGGAACGCGACTCACTTCCCACCCCAATTCCCCGCCGCCTGCCCGTGGGTGACCTCGGTCGGTGCGACAACCCACACCGCGCCCGAGAGGGCCGTGTACTTCTCGTCCGGCGGCTTCTCCGATCTCTGGGATCGCCCGCAATGGCAAGAGGACGCTGTGAGTGAGTACCTCGAGAACCTGGGCGACCGCTGGTCCGGCCTTTTCAACCCTAATGGCCGTGCCTTCCCCGACGTCACAGCCCAAGGTCAAAACTACGCCATTTACAATAAGGGCTCGTTGAGCAGCGTTGACGGCACCTCCTGCTCGGCACCTGCCTTCGCAGGAGTCATCGCCCTCCTCAACGATGCCCGCCAGAAGGCCAAAAAGGCACCCATGGGCTTCCTCAATCCCTGGCTGTACTCGACCGGCCGCGCCGGCCTAAAGGACATTGTTGATGGCGGCAGCACGGGCTGCGATGGGAATGGCCGTTTCGGCGGCCCTAGTAACGGTGGTCCATCGGTTCCAGGTGCTAGCTGGAACGCTACTAAGGGCTGGGACCCTGTTTCCGGTCTTGGATCGCCCAACTTTGCTGCCATGCGCAAGCTAGCGAACGCTGAGTAGGTTGCGAATCTTGCTTGTTGATGTGATGCACTTGCCTGGGTTTCAGATTATGATTAATTCCGACCGGTTGGAAACTTCTGATATGCATTCATGCTAGTTATGTACACATAGATTTTTTTCTATATTTGCAAATATAATAATCTTGTGGCTGGTTCGATTCGTTGGCCCTTGTGCACTGTGTCCTTTAATATTTTGGCTTGCTGTTGTTTATTACTCGTCTTGGCTTGAGGCGCTGGCACAAGGAAACTTCCACTCTAAGGCTAAGGCTGTCTGTCGCAAGATGGATAAATTCAATGTTTGACCCATTCATGTCTATGTACGTATTTTCTCCGATTCGCGAAGCTATGGATAGCGTTGCTCCTGAAACAGGATCTTGGACTTCGCAAAACAGGCTTAGTAAAATAGACTATTTGCAGACCTGATGGAGTAAAATGTCCATATTGTGCTCCTTATTCCTTGAACACAGGCTCGGACTTCTCAATATCCTCCTTGCTCAAACACCACTTATCTTGCAATGCAGGATCAAGACTTGAAGCATAGACATCCTTGGGCCACCATTCACCCCAGCTAGTCAAGAAAATCTGTTCCGGATCAGCGGGGAAATTATCGATGGTGACACCGCGGAGGATATTCTGGGCACCTATTGATCGTTAGATATCGTCTTCAAATCCAAAATTCAAATCCAAAGATCCTTACCCTCTGGCACGGTCTTCGCATCGGGCATATCCATGGTCAATCCTAAGTTTGTCTGGGCAAGCTTGGTGTTGGGGATGAGACCCGGTGAGACAGCCACTACTTTGCAATTTGGGAGGTTGCGCCGCCAGTAGTGTGCACCCAGAAGCTGGGTGAATTTCGATGCACTGTACGCTACTCTTGCGTTCGCACCGGAGTTTGCTTTTAGGTCAACGTCAAGAGTGCCTAATATGAAGTCAGTATCCTGAACAACTTCGCTTTTGGCGACACAACTGGAAAACTGGAACTAAACTTACTTGGGTCGCCGTTTCTCACATTACGAATTGCACCCGAAGATACAATGACGATACGTGATTGCGAGGCGGACAAGGTCTCAGCAAATTGGTGTGTCAGATAATGCTGGGCTGGGTTGCGATTCATGTATGATTAGCTTCAGCCTCCTCGACTCTTTTCTTGAGTAGCCAATGGATCAAGTGTTGACATACCCAGATGATTCACCACGTACTGTTCGCACCATTGCGAGCCATGAGGTCCTGGTCCATCAGCGCTGGCAACGAAGCCCGCAATGAGGAAAAGGTAGTTCAACGGCCTTTGGCCCAATTCAGAGAGTGCTTTTTTGGCAAAGGACTGCACGCTCTTAAGATTCAGTAGATCCAGGGGCAAGATAGAGACGCTGTGCTTTGAAGTGTCAAATTTCAGATCATCGTACGCGACACGTGTCCTTTCTGTATCACGAACGCCCAGAATGAAGCTGTACGGCTGTGACTGCTGGAGTAACTGCTTAATTGCTTCAAAGCCCTATGATCAATGTTAGCTGGAGTCCGGATATTCCAAGGGAATGTGGCTTTACCAAACCCGACGAGGTGCCTGTCGCGATGACAGTTTTTGCGATTGATGACATTTTTGGATGCAGCTGTATCTGGTGATATTTGAGGGTCTAGTTTAGCAGTAATAGGATCAGTGGAGGGGCAGAATAGCAAAATAACAGCAGTTGTTTTAGTGCAACGCGATGACGTCATGGGGGTTTATCATTTTCTCGGCTGTACCCGCGAACAATCTAATGATATGATGACCATTGCAGTACGGGGAATCCATTATGCATGTCAAATTTTATTTACATTGAGAGAATGTTAAGTCCAGAGGATGCGAAGTAAGAAAACACGGTCGCTCATCCGCTAGAAAGAAATATTTTGTCAAAACAGCCATTGAATCCTCCCCGAACGAAACATCAAACCATCCGTGGACGGAGTTAAGAAATAACAGCCATCAAAGCAGAGCCGAAAAGGAGCGCAATCAGTCCAACACCAGACTTCGAGATTGGCTGGTTCGCAATAGCGGCGTTTGGGGAAGTCGAGGTAGCAGACGAGGCTGTGCTAGTACCGGTGCCTGAGGAAGTGGACTTGGAGCCTGTGGCTGTGGCGGTCGCATTGAGACGAGCGTTGCAAAAGACATTTTGGTAGTTGCCGCTCTTGCTGGTGAGGCAGGACTGGAGCTTGTTGACATCTTGGCCCTGGGCGAGACAATAGATGCCGCAGTCGTTGTCATACTTGGAGACCTTCGCGTTCTTGCAGCACTCATCCATCACATCGGTCATATTCCCACTAATAATGGCCGCACATGCTGCATCTGTCGTGGGGATTTCCCAGACGCTGCCGCCGCAGGCAGTGCTGGTTGCGCTCACGGACGAGGTGGTGGAGGAAGTAGTAGTAGACATTTTGAGTTGTGGGGATTTGGTGGACTTGAGAGATGAAAATAGTTTGAAGAGAAAGAAAGAAAATGAAAAAAGAGGTGAGGAGGGTCTATCCAAGACATAGGGTGCCTTCCCTTGAATGTGACTGGTGTTTGGCCCTCAGCCTTGGCCTCCCCAAATTTCTATACATAGTAATGGGCTGAAAACTTTGATCTTGGCTCTTTTTACTTGGCACTTCTATTGTGGGACAGAGTATAAGTGATCAGGTGCATGTGATGAGTGTTATGCATGTACAAATTTGCATACAGGTAAGGAGGGAACAAAGGTCGAGGGTTATATCATTGATTATAGAAACTAAAGATATGTGCTGCTGGTATCGAATATGTCGACTCTTGTCGATCTTGTCCTGAGAGAACTGTTCAGCCTGTCAATGAGTTCCTCCATGTACAAGGCAAATTGGCTCCATTCAATTATTGGGGCTAGGCACGGCATCCTCGTGCTTCAACACCTCAACCTTGCTCTCATCCATACCGGCCTCAGTGTGCTTCTCATCGGCAGGCTCCACACCGACAAGGGCAAGAAGCCCGATTTCACGTTCAATTCGGTGCTTGCGTCCAGTATCAGCAGCTGCCAACCCGACCGATCCGAACAATTCGTCCATCTCCTCAAGAGTGCGACCTTTGGTTTCGGGTACAAAGAAGATCACATAGAATACGGCAACGGTCGTGATGCATCCAAAGAAGATGAATGCACCAAAGTTGCTTTTTTGGAGGAAAGGAGATGTAGCAGTACCGACTGCGAAGTTGTTCAACTGTAGAGTACCCAGTTAGAGAATTTCCAACGAACTCGGTGGTCTATCTCGCCACTTACCCAGTTACTGCTACCTCCAATACTGACGCCCTTGGCACGCATGCTAAGCGGAAATACCTCGGAAGTAACAATCCACGCAACAGGTCCTGAAATGGAATGATAGTCAGCAGAGTGCACCCTTCGCAAGAAATTTGTACATACCCCATGAGTAGGCGAAGTTGATGATGAAAATCCAAACAAAGACAATAGCAACCCAGCCAGCAGCTGTGTGCTCTTCGAAACTACCCTGGTAGGCGCCAATGATACCGGCGACAATGAAATGACAGGATGCCATTCCAATTGCGCCAGCAATTAGGATCTTCTTTCGTCCAATCTTGTCAACCCACAGGACAGCAGGAATGGTGAAGACGAACTCGAAAATTCCAACAACACCGGTGGCGAGTAGTGAGATTGTGTTGCCGCCTAGGTGCATCTCCTTGAAGATGAATGGTCTGTGGAAATGTCAGCAGGTGAACTCATCAAGAAACATATGGAATTGAATCATGGGTCTTCCATATATTTTGCTAAAAGACTGCATTTGCAGGAACTTACGCATAGTAGTTAATTGCGTTGATACCTAAATAATAATGTTAGTGATAGATTCAAGTTTCAGGATTTCACATATCCCACCATTCCATTGTTGGAACACCATAACCATGCACTATAATTTCATTAGCAATATACATGGAGTACCACCAAAATAAAACGTACCGCCGTTGCCGTGCGCTTAAAGAGAGACTTGTCAGTGATTAATGACATGTAATCATAAAATCCGATCTTAAAGCGGCTGGAAAACGAGTCATCCTGCCAGTCGGGATACTTCTCGGCAGCCGTCTCTCGTTCAAAGAGGTACAAACTCTTGATCTCAAGGAACTCAATGCGAACAAGCATATCATCTGGAGGTGCGTTACGCAAGCGGGCCAGTGTTTGTAGGCATTCTTCCTCGCGGCCAGTGTTCATCAGATGACGGGGGGACTGTGGCATGAACATCATCATACCCACAGCCAAGATGACAGCGGGCAGGATTTGAATACAGACTGGGACCAGCCATGCAGCATCCGATTGCGTTGCCCCAGTTCCGCCAATATAATTTGTTCCATAGCCAATCTGCAAACGTCAGAATTGAGAGATTTCACAAGAATAGATGTGACGTACCCAAAAGCTGACCATGATTCCAAAGGTGATGGCGAGTTGCTGCACAGCGACGAGCGAGCCACGGATCTCCGGTGGTGCCTTCCGCCTTCGTTAGCCATTTTCCCTTTTCGAGCTCATTCGCATTCACTCACCAACTCTGCATTGTACAATGGCACAACCATACTCAGACTACCAACACCCAGACCAGTCACGAATCGACCTCCGAAGACAAAGTCTTTATTCTCCGTACAGGCTTGAACAATGACACCAACGCAGAACACTGCCACGGCAACCAAAACAGTCAGACGACGACCGAGCGCATCGGCGAGATATCCATTTGCCAATGTCCCTACCCAAGCACCAAGTTCGAGGATAGAGGTCAGCATTCCCTGCTTAATACCCGTTTCTTTCGCGTAATCTTGAGTCTATGTGGGGGAAGCCATTAGTAGTGCAAAGTGGTGGGTTCAACGAGCGAGAGACATACAGCTGCCTGGAACGCCGGCATTGTCAAAACTTGCGCGAACATTCCCTGATTGTCTGGATGATCGGTATCAGATTATATTCAGAGCATTCAAGTGGCTTCATCAACTTACATCCATAGACCAGACCTCCCAGCGACGCGAAAAGTCCGATACATGTTGTCTTCTTGTTACTGAGCAGGCCCTTGAGCCCATTTTTGCCTGAAAGCTCAGCACGTTTGGCCGAGATGGCCGTCTCTCCCGCAAGAGGAGCCACCATTGTGTATTACGACAAAGGCCGATAAGGATGGATGATACAAAACAACCCAACTTCCGGTGGGAATGAAACTAAATGAGAATGGCAAATATCGGGAGAAATGCCTGCACGTTCCTTACGTCTCGACAGGGGATCTGCGAGTATTTATTCAACCGGGTACGGATAATGAGCTCAAAAGGACCAGGTTCCCCCGGGAATTTAGCCCCATGGGGCATGGGAGGGGACATGATCAAGTTTGAATCCTGAAAACATGAGGTAATCAGCCCAATCAGCCCATTGTGACCAAGCTTCGTGGCGCGTGGTCTCCCTTCTCCTCAAGCCGTGTGGCCAGGTTGAATCGGCCGTGAGACGGGAAGGGCTCGACTAGCGTGGCTCTGCAAGACCGTCAGTGGCTGCAATATCATTGGGCCGTGCGTGGTTTCGACGTCGAAGTATTTAACCGGTGCTCTTAGCCAAAGACCCTGAAACGGCTGGATAAAATGACCGAAGCAGAAGACCACGATATGGTACTAGCCTACCAGATCGATTCCCGACTGGAAGTTTATGTTTAGGACTCTAATCCAGGGAGTTTCTGAGTCGGCACCGGCCGCGGATTCAGACAAGCTCCACCGGATGGAGACATTCCGGGGACCCCGCGCATTTCAAAATCTGGAGATTCATCAACAGTCAACCTCCAACTCTTATTTGGTCTACAGGAAGTTGTACACAATGTATCTCTTCAGATTATGATCCCCAAAGGCCAAAGTTCCGCAAAATGTCCGAGGCAAAGACTGTATAATTTGAGCTGAAGTCAATTTCCCCACATCCGAATTCCTTTCCGAACCGGTTGAATTGCTTTTGATTTAGCCGGTTTAACCCCTGTCCTCATAACCACTGACCGTGCGCCACCCTACCATTTAATTCCTGTACGAATCGGCATCAGGCGGGTGGTCGTGCTACCGGTCATCCAGCGACAACTACCGAACGTCGAACCCCAGGATTAGCCGGTAATGCTATATACATCAATGTATATCGGCACGTGGATAAATGGGATGTTTATGTCATATTATGCTTTTCTCCAGCGCCCCAGAATTGATCCAAAAAGCCATGTCAGGAAATGTCTCGGCTTCTTGCCGGACATTGATCGGTCGCTTGTCAACTGCGAGAGACCTACGGAGTAGCTCTTGGCGCAATACACCCGAATGCTAGCTGATGCTTGGACTTACAGCTTTTCCACTGTCTCCACTTCGGTCTTGTGGCTAACTCCGGCGATATTAAGCACGCGCTTGGCCTCGGCCCGTCCAATCTAGAAGCCCCGAAGTAGGTTTGTACAGGCCTTTAAACCGGAATAGTATCGTTTAGTTCTCAATATCGCACATAGTATACAATATTCACATCCTTTCCTCCGAGCGGGACTCTTCACAAATATAAACCGCTAGTGCATCCCTCCTAGTCTTATATGTATAGGTCCCAAATAAGGGCTGCAGCATTCACTAGCCCCATACAGACTTCAAATATCGCAACCCGAGTCCAAGCACCCCCGTTCCGATAAAAGACATACCCGGCAAAAAAGCGACCAGGTAGCGAAGCAACCATAATCGGAATATTGCGCTGGTAGCTCGCAATGGCGTAAATCGTCCCCGTAGAAAGAGACGTCAGACTGCGGTATTTGCGGTAAGAATTTAATGTCAAGTCAAGTAAAATATTCAAAGCTCACCCCAGGCATTGAACTGTATGACTTGGAACCCCAGCCAAAGGAGAGTCCGGGAGATTCGATGCGGCGGAAGGATATGCCAAGGTGTAGACGGCATTGGCTAGGAGAAAGGCGCCTTGAGCGCCGAATACAACGCTTAACACACCAGGTGTGCGGAGTCCGATATTTTGCATTGTAATAATCCTTGTTATTCTTTGCTTTAGATAAATTTTCTTTCAAATCAAATGGGTGTTGCGAGTGGAGAGATTTTCCGTTTCGGTCTCCGGTTTCCTCCGGCTGGACTTCAGCTTTGACTTGACATGTCTCTATGTCATCTGGTAGGTTGGGTGGCTTGTGAAAACTTTTCTTAGGGATTCTTTTTAGACTTGAAATGTTTATTTGAATTAGCCTTGGCCTATACATTGGGTGGGTTGCCAATTCCGAAATGTCTCGGTTCGACAAAGACCTAGATATATATTTTGGTTAACATACCGCCATGGAATTGAGGACTGTCACGATTTTCGTGGTTTATATTGACAAATTTATCTAGTTGCACAAGTGAGTGACTTATTAAAAAGTCCAGAGAGTTCAAGCTAGGTGGAAGAGGCTATGCTAGTAGTGATCGATATAATGGAGATGGAGATTATCTACTGCCATGAACCCATCTATATAGCTCTATGGAGACAGTATCGCTGTTGATTTAAAGTTGCCATGATTCTTTTGCCCCTGGCCCGCGGCGTCTCTTGTGTTACTTCATCAAAACCATAGCACATGGGTGCATGCATAGTAGTGATATCACCTTGTCCACTATATCAATTTCGGGTTTTTGACTTTCTATAGTTTGGATTGTGCTGTATGTTGCCTTGGAGGAGATCAAACTAGTATTGAAATAAAGGAAATTAGATTAATATCATACTAGAAAGAACAGGAAGAGAATATATTCCCCGACAACCAAGTTTAGGTCTGTTCGAACGAATAGTCACCTGACCGTTTGCTAGATAATAGAACCTAGAAATACTCATACCCCCCTTCATTGGGCTGTATAAGAACAATGAATTGTCATAGGGCTTGAATTCGAGGGTACATATACAAGTATTAATCAAGTCCTGTTCTAAGACTGCGAGTGGCGTTGTATCAATGTTTGAAGATAGGGGATTAGGTACTTCGTTAATTCAGTTAAAACGTCACATATTGGAAGCTGATTTGACCCAAAGGACAACAGATATGGACCATGTAAAAGAACTGAGTATTGAGTCAGGCAAGGTCGTATCTGCAAAACAACGATGGGCGCACCCTTCCTTGTGAGAATATCTATGAGGGTCTCCAATACAAAAACCAGTCATGTAGATAGATAACAATTGCAGAAGATGAATCCCAACATCGGTCCCCCTGAGCTCCACCGACACCACACCCAGAAACAGCAAGCCAATGTCAAAACGGGACCGATCACGAGATTTTCTTCCAACGACTCTGAGCTTCAACTGCCTTTTCAAGGCGCGCATTGAAGTAATTTCGGATCAACTCCTCTAGCTTCACCTTGATACAAATCAACCGCATCTGTGTACCAATGATAGGGGTCTGGCTATCACTCGCATGCAGGGACGCATCGAGAACACGAGCCTCCAAAGCAGCACGGGACTGACGATGAGCCTCAGCCCGCTTGCGCAGATACGAGCTCCACATAGCGGACACCTGATCCATGTCGCGATGAAATATGCAGGGAAAGACGCGAAGGGAGTTGGCGTGGGAATTCGCGAACTGGAGTCCTTTCCACTTATGCTCATATCAGATCGTAACAGCCTCGTTGAGGAGCGCAGCGCCAACGCCATAGCCACGGAAGCCTTTTTGAACTGTCCAGGCACGTATAAAGGCATCGTAATTTTCGCCCGTTGGGAGAGTTGTCGCGTTGGCTTTCGGATGGGGTTGGATGCCGCTGTAAGCGATGCTCATTACAAGCGTGCCGACAATACGGCCCCCAAACCGATGAACAAGTACAAAGGTAACTCCATTATCCGAGTTGAAGTCGGGGTCTTCTTGAGTACTGGTAGCGCTGACATCTTTGCTAGGATCGTACCCGTACAACCAGTTCAATGTTCCAACCTTCTCAGCCTCATCGTTGTACCTCTCAAGCAAACGTGTGACAATGCCTAGCTTGGCCAATACCGCGGTAACACAGATAATAACGATGTAGGGCCAGCCAGATGGGTCATGGTAAACGACACCGACGCTGTATGCGAAACTCACGGCTACCAGTGCTAGGGTGGTCGGGTGGAGGACGAGGGATTTGGCGGCGATGCGGCGCTGCTGAGTCACTGAGACGGCGATGAGCTTCAGTGCGGAGGCGATTTCGAAGTCTTCGGTTGCTACATCGGTCGATTGTCCTGGAGACGCGATGGGTTTGAACGCGCTCTGGCTGGTACTTGGGCTCGTGTGGCGGACCCTTTTCTGGTTAACGGCGTTCTTTGGCTTTTTGGTCGTAACATGGTCTCCTGAACAAGGGGATGTGACCATACGCGCCATGGTGAATTGTCTCTGATAGATAGGAGTAAGCGAAAAGTAGAGTTTGGAAGGTTTGCGAGGACAGCTAAGGTAGGGTGGACGTGTTTGTAGTGGCGACTTTTCACAGGAAGCAAACAACATTGATAGAGGTGGATCGTGATCAACGCTGCTATAAACTACAGAGTTCCACAATAAGTACTGGAAGATTCAATTTCTGTGCATAGAGTATGTTCTACTCAGTATGACCTTCTCACATAATTTAGAAAACTGCGAAGGCTATCTAGAACGAGCCTGTACCTGTATAGACCATTTCGAGGGATATATAACGAGATTTACTTCTAGGATTGTCTCACAATGTTCCAATCATGTATGACACTGGCCAGTGCATCCACATAAATAACTTGCGCCTGCAGGAACCCGTCATATGTAATACCACACCACCACACCTTACAACCACATGGAGAGGAATTTAGCAATATAATTATATCATTGGGGTGGCCCGGGGAGGGGAAGGATTCTCGATATCTGGCTTAACGTATCCGTCGGTAAGAAGCTCGAAGAGCTGGGGCCGCGGGTGTCGAGACCGCATTCAAGAGAGGTGGACCATGATGTGAATGTAGCCTCGCCAGCAAAGACTAGAACGGGCTCGGAGAGCGTAGGCTCGGCGAAGTTGCCGCTGGAAGACTCTTTAGAAGAGATTTGTAGATAGGAAGCCGCGTAGAAAGCTGCCTTATAGAGGTGGCTATACGAAGCTGGATCGGTCTAGGTGAGACTGGCCAATCTAGATGAGGCCGAGTACGAGGGGTCGGTATGGCGCAACCGAATCGATCCATATGGAATTGGCTGGATAAAGGCTTGGATTGACGAATTGAGATAGAAAGAGCATGTACGAGATGCGACAGCTTGGTGGCGAATGGCCGTGATGGGACGGCGAGCTGCCGGAAGGTAAAGAAGTTAATGAAGGTTAAATGGAGACGGGGGATATTAACGAAGACAGCAAACGAGAGCTCAGGACCTGACAAAAGAGGCCTACTGAGAGGATTACGTCGAAATGTATGGAATGTGAGAGTGACTGAATAGTTATTTGAGAGAGAGGTAAAAGCTATCAAAGAGAGCTACAGGCCCTAAAACCTATCAAAACGCCATGCAAGGCCTCTAAGGCTTTGCGGCGGCGGAAACAGTGACGGGGTTTCCGGCACCGATAGGCCCAACTTCTTGAAGTGGGATTTCATCTCTGACGTATGCATACTGGGTTCGAGGAGGCGGATCTATCTCTCCACAAAGCACCTCCAGACTCTGACGCTTGGTCTCGGGGACCAAGAAGGAAGTTGCGAAACCGCAAAGCATAAACCCCGAGAAGATTTGCGTAACATGATTGAGCCAGGGCGCATCGCCAGGCATCTTTGCACCCCGGGAAACAAGAGGAACAAAGACACACTGCGCGACAATGGCGCCAATCTTACCGACAGCTGCACTGACTCCATGGGCGGTAGCGCGGTAGCGTGTGGGGAAGCACTCGCCGGGCACGATGAAAGTGGTTGCATTGGGACCGAAGTTGAAACAAAATTGTGTCAAAACGTAAAGCGCAAGTAGGCCGCTGTCGTTCTGGTCCAGGTTAGTAAAGCCAATCACAGCGAAAAGGGCAGACAGCATGAGGAATCCCAGGAGTTGAATACGCTTCCGCCCGATATTGTCAACAGCGGCGATGGTAACCAAGTATCCAGGAATGGCACCAGCACAGATCAAGATAAGGTTTCCGATAGCATTGCGGTACAGAATTTCGTGAACGTTCTTGGCGCCAGTCCAGTTAATAGCGCCAAGGATAATCGAGTTATTCAGATCAAGACCGTAAAATGCTGGCGCAATATTAGCTTCTGTGCAGGATTCAGGACTTCTGTGGACTTCTGTGGACTTACCAATGTCAAGGAAAAACCAAGACGCTGTTGTACCAAGTAGAACCTTCCCATGCTTCCACTGGGAATAGTGACTGTAGAAATCGGACCAGCTGGCCTTGGGCCCAAAGTCAGGAATACCTTGCTGGATGGGAGGGGTATACAGTGGCTCCCTTGTGCCGTTCTCCCTCCGTTTCCTTAGGTAGGCGCGAACATCCTTATCGGCCTTAATGATGTCGCGGGTGACGTCAAAGCTAAACCGCGCGGTCTCTGGAATTGTCAGACGGTAATAGAGTGCAAAACAGGCTGGAATGGCCCCTAGTCCGATGATAAAACGCCACATCTTGTCGACAGCGAGCTGGCAAGCCCCGGTGCAGTGAGCAACATCCTTGGCACTTTGTAGGGACTCCTTAAAACCAGCCGTGAAAACCAGGGCGATTATGGCGGCTGCAAATTGACCGAAGCCCTGCATGGCAAAGACGGCACCCATCATGGCACCACGCCACTTGGTGGTAGCAAACCTGTCGAGTCAGCTAGTGTCTTTTGGTGGAAACGAGAGAACTTACTCAGATGTAATCACAGAAGAAATAGGATAGACCCCGCCAATTCCAACGCCCATGATTACTCGCCAGAAGATCAGAAGACCAGTCATAGTAAGGGCACGAGAGGAAGAGGACACAACTTGAGCCAGAGTAGTGAAAATAATGACCATCAGCCCATAGCGGTACACGCGTCTGCGGCCAATACGGTCTGCGAGCCAACCGAGGAGGAGCTGTCCGATCACAGCACCAGCAAGAGTGGCGACCTTGATGGCAGTCTCCAGGCTGAAAGGAATCCTACCAGAGCCAGAGTCTTCGTCTTGCCAATAAACAATACCAAGCATGGTAACCGCCAGGTTGATGGCGAACATCTCATAAGCGCTGGCGAAGAGCCCAAGGCCGGCGATGATAACGGTGTGAATATGTGCCCAGCTAAAGGGAGCTTCATCGAGCTTACCAAGGGCGCGACGACGACGTTCGTGGGGATTGCGACGGAAATGAAAATCTGGATCCATTGCGGCTCGCTCTCTTGTGGCCAAGAACGCGTGCCGGTGAGGATTGAGAGTAGCCATTTCACTAGGTTGGTGGTAGAAGGCGAAAGATGAGAAACAAATAGAGATACGAGTACAGGGGAACTGTAGTCTGCGAATGCGAGATGCTCGACTTGGGGAGAAGGTAGGAAGAAGAAAGAAAGACACAGAATATTGCAATAAATAGGTAGTAGAGACCAAAGATCGATGCATGTCGGTGACAATCAGTGACAGGTACATTGGTCTATTCACCAGCTCTGTCTATAGGAGCGAAGGTACTTGCGCTGTGCGCCATATTGATAGGGCTAGCAGGTACCTTCAGGAGAGCACGTGCGTCTCAATAGGTGAATCGGGATACTGCGACAAACGCACACCAGGAAGGTACCTAGGTAAGGATGCTTGTGAGTGACATGCTTTTGGCGGAGAATTTTGCGGGTGGAAGAGGTACATCTAGAGGAAGAAGCATTTTAGGGCTGATTGCGCAACGTAGAGCAAAGACCTTTTCACTATGCGTTGCATTTAGGTATGTCATAACCAACTCTAACCAGTATTGAATACCAAACAATAATATAACCTTACTACATGTACAGAAGGTACATAGATGTATCCATAATATATGTGGTTAGGTGGGATTATTGAATTGTATAAAACACTGTTATTATAAACTATACTGCAGGTAAAATCTGAGGTGGCACACTGACGGTTAGAGACTGCCATAGACTGTCCCTACCTTCTCCCTTTCTATTCATTGCCTGTTCATTTCCTATTTTATCCCTGCTTTACATCCCCCGCTTCATCCTCCACCGCATGATGAATGCCGCGAATGGATAAAAGGCCAAGGATATTGCAATCCAAATGAACAGAATAGCAAAGTCCAACCCAATGCGCGAATGGATATCGAAAATGATGGTTCGTAGGGCGTCGATAACTAGGATAGTAAGTTTGATCAGTAACAGAGCACCGTAACCATGATGGGGGGCATACTTACTTCGATGTAACGGCCATGCATATCCCCATCTATAGAACTTCGGGGCCAAATCAATGGCATAGAACCCTGTCGCAACATTTGTAATAACCCAAAAAATAAGGAACAAAGCACTCCATGGGAACCCAAGGACCATAGCCATGTTCTCACAGGGGAATCCCAAAGCTGCCATGCCAACCCAGTTCAGCATCCAGAATACGACAAATGAGCCATGACCATAGGCATTAGGGTTATTTGCGGACAGGACTTCCGACGCAGAGTCATTGGTGAATGGTATCTTGAAAGCCAGTGAGACGAGTGAGTAGCACAGCGACAGAAAGAAGTAAGCCACGATGCTCGAGATAATGCGCCAAATGAGCCAATGCGGCACCTTCAACGGCGGATGACCATCTGGTTTCACGAACTGGGCATGAATAGGCATCATAAATGGGAAGTTGAAGAACGCAATGATGATAAGGTAGATCAAACCGATGGTCACGGCAGGTGAAGCAACAGCCGGGGCAAAAGGACGTAGGTCGACGGTCGTGAACCCAATGCCCGGGTTTATCGCCTGTGGGGGCACGGATGACAGGTTGCTGACAGATGAGATGAGAAGCTGGACCCATTGTGGGCCAAAATCTTCTAGCACCATGCCCTGTAGGATGGCTAGGTCGGGTAGGATATAGGTGTAGTAGGTTGTTTCATCGCGCGCGGAGATGAACACTATCTCGATGGCGCCGGTTGGATCGTAGGTTGTATTGCCATTGGAAACTGCATCCTGGAGCAGCGTTGTTGCATTGGGCTTGATTATCACAGCGGCATAGGCATGTTCATCGTAGACGCCTTGACGCACGGCCAAAGGGTCATAGTTGAAGTCGGCGGGGGATTTGATAGTGTAGCCGAGGTGGAGGCCGTCAGACTGCAGGATTCTGTTGGTAGCATCCGTAACTGCTGAACCAACTATAGTGTCGTTGGAGCGGTATGGATCAACTTGGCCGTCGAAATTGACCACCCATACCTTCAACGCTGGGTACTTGGCCTCAGTGCCGTATTGAGCTCCCCAGAAGAGAGATAACACACCGAACACGAAGACGCACAGAATTAACACTAATTATTTCTGTTAGTTTCCCTTCCATTCCGCGAGTCCCCAAGTTTTGAACGTTGCTTACAAGTGCGAGCCCATTGGTAGAATACGCGCTGTCGAACCTCCTTCAGAGATGGATCAAAGAATGATACAGCCGCGGGTGGGCTGGCGTCACCGTCCAATACCTCAACTTTTACTGTCATAATCGAAAAGCTTGCAGGGGATATGCGACTACGAAAAATTGCGATTGGGCCATATGAAAAATTTTAACAACTACACTTGAAAAGATGTCCATCCGCTTGCGGCCATGTAGTTTCCCTCGGGGTTTATCCATTTTTGGAAAATTCCTACCTTAACTCCGGGTGAGACCAAGATGATCTAATGACATCTAGGGTTTTGACAAATGAGAGTCTTGCATACCCGTGGACAATTCTACAGTGTTGTCTACTAAAATAAACATATAGCCGCGCTCTAAATATATACGTGCACATGTGGCGAAGGAATATGTACATCCGTAAACACGGTATCATTACATCCTGGACGTCAATCATGACGTTGGGACTAGTCAAAACCGTTGTGCATCGTATTATGTGAGCAATCTTCCTAATTAAATATTTCAATAATGGTTTAATCCCTGGCGCGTCACGCGGGAAATGATCCCTAGTGTATCAGGTTAATCGCCATTGCGCGTCCCCGTTTCATCAAGCTGATCTCAGTCAGCTTGCAGGGTAGTGAGATAGTGTGCAGATTTTGTAACATCTCAAACTCCTCTATTTCCATAATATCCGTGTCGCATCGGCCATCGCTACAGCCCGCCCGACACCAGAGATACCAGAACACGCAGACCGGTGATTGCCGTGGATTGAAAACCCGTCGACGAGTAAATAGCAGGAAAAGAGCGCAAAGTTGAAAATATTGAAGATCGTAAACTCATTTCATTTAATCTAAGGGTATCATTAAAAAGTCTATACATATCCTTTCCCACTGAGGGAACCCAAGCGATGTCCCAGCGGACTTTCGAACAAATTGCGCATAGGATCTAGGAGCCCGCCAGAAACCCTTGACTGTTTCAAACAGTGACATTCGAAAAGAGGTTTGAAGATGTTCAGGCGCAGGTGACCTGGTATGAACCGTAGCGGCGTCTTGTTCCAGCCATGTGGCAAGTTTGAGTGGCATTGGCTTGGCTGGCGACGTCGGGGAGTTCGTACTGGTCGCACATGGTGTTATCGAACAACTCGATGCGGCAGCCTTCGGCGACAGAGTTCAACTTGTAGGCAGAGGCAACGCTGTGGAGATCGGCGCGACAGCCTGTGCTGCCAGATCCGACGTGAGGATCACCGATAGTTCCGTTACATGAAGGTGACGGGAAAAGGGTGAAGGACCATTGAACCTCGCGGCTGACGAGGGGGAAGGCTGATGAGAGGTTGAAGAACAGAGTCACGGCCAGGAGGCAGAGGCGAAGAGTAGATACCATGGTGCCTTGGTAACGAATGTAGAAGGTTGTATTTGGTTGAGAAGGGACAATTGTAGAAGCGCAAGTAGAATAGAGGAGGGTCTGGTTCTTAAGGGTCTTTCTGGTCTAGAAAGACTGACAGGGGAAAAGTCCACAATTTATTATGGACCCACCAAGATTTCAAGATTGGGATTTTCCTTTTTATTAAGGAGTAATAATATCCACGTTTCGAGATGCCAAGCGTCGATTACGTCCACACAGGGCACACGTATGCTTCGATTTCAGCCGAACCCAGCCATGCATATAACAGATCGTCAGGAATTCAATTCTCGGCATCCGTACATTCACAATACAATGTCGAACCCCCCGACAACGGGTTTTCATTCCTGATGATATCATCCCGAGTGGATGATCATTTAGTCCTATTCGGGTAAGTGGGAGGGGCTGGGACACCCGTCTTACGCAGATGCATACGTACTCTTCCCAAAGGATTCAGACAATCATACTGCGTACTCCGTACTCCGTACCAGTTCCTATGTTCGTGATATTCGTTCTATTTTGGTCAAAGTGCAGCTTGATATAAACATGGCTGGATATCCAAAAATAAGGTGGCACAGGTGGCAACCATGCGGACGTCTCAGCCGACACTTCACCGGGTAAACAAAAAAAAATTTCTTATCCGATCGGCAGAGAAACCTTGGAATCTTCCTATTGACATATCCATGGTTCTGCATCGTTTAATCTCACCTTAGGTTTTCTATTTTAGGCCATACCGAGTACTTCGTACAACATAGTAAATATCTAGGTAACTTGTAGCGCAAATACCCCTGACTTCAACATAGTTGTCAACAGAAATGTCTGTTTACTCCAAAAGTAAATTCACTAACCCATCTTTTGGTTGACTTTTCCCTATTAATGACCGGATTTGAATTCCGATCGGTATCGGTCTCTCAACTGGACTTTGACAGTCTAGATTCGTTTGGCTTTCAGAGTCTAATCACGAACGCCTTGAATCTTCACGTCTCCACCTACGTAGCTTACGCACAACCTTATATTAATTCAACCAGATAGGGACAGCTTTTAATGGAACTTTCATTTTTTTTTACTCGAGTCATCACTTGTGCCTTTTCCCGGTCACACATGTTGCTAGAATTCTCCGGGAGATTGGGAATTTGCAGAATCTGGGTATGAGATATTGAATGGGTCATGTTCGCAGAAACACTAGGTATCCCGCCTGTATTATTTAAAAGGGAGTACAACGGCATATTTCTAGTCAATGCTATAAGTACTCTCACTCGAACCAGGAACAAGAGATACAACTTTGAACAACTTTGATCGTCGTACGGAGTAACGCAGTTCATGATGTTGATCCAATGAGAAGCGGAGAAACGGGCCCACTCACGTGTCACAAATGTATTCTTATCAGATATCGTTCTCGGTCTCTTTGTCTTTCGCTCCAACGGCAAAGCCTTTTTATAAATGGACAATCGAGTTGCAGAGAATGTTCTCGGTACTCTGGGCGCGGTGAGTTCCAGTCTCCCAATTAGTGGACCCGAGCTAACTATTCTTTCTAGGTTTGCTGGTCTATCCAAGTATGCGGTTGCTGTGAACCAACTATTTTTGAGCCCGCACTAATCCCCTTATACAGCTCCTTCCTCAGATAATCATCAATTACAGGAGACATGACACTGAAGGGCTACAAGGGTCAATGATGCTCTTATGGGCCGTAGCAGGGGTTCCTCTCGGGGTGTACAACATCGTGGAAGAATTCAACATTGCCCTAAGGATTCAACCCCAAATTCTGACGACACTCAGCCTCATTACTTGGGCACAGTGTCTCTACTATGGAAAGGTAACCATTTTTCCTTGTATCTAACATGATCCTCATAATACTCATTCGGACTCAGAAATACCGAATCATGAAATGCTGTGTCGCAGTCACTTCGCTTCTCCTGCTGTTGGGCGGCGTTGAAGCTGGACTCATATTTGCTTTGCAGGCTGCGAAAAGTCACGGATTGGAATGGCCCCTCATCGTGATGGCAGTTTTGAGTGCATGTTTACTTGCAGCAGGTGTACTGAGACATTACTGGGATATTTATGTCCACCGGACTGTTCGAGGAATCAGCTTCATATTTGTTGGAATTGATGCTGCTGGAGACTTGTTTTCGCTCCTCTCCGTTTGTAAATCAACTTCATCGTCAGGTACAGATATTCAATGGCTAATATGCAAGCAGTGTTTGGATCGACTATTGATGTTCTTGGGATAATTATCTATGGAACTGAATTGACACTTTGGGTGGGCATATTTATCTGCGGCGGTATTTTCAACCTCCGGCCCTGGATTAAAGAGCGTTCCGAGCAGCGAGATAGCAATCTCCAGGACCCGGTGTCTCTGTATCCAATGCCATCGTCGACTTCTGTGTTCAGGACCGCATCCGGATCTCAAGTGATGGAGAGGAGGCCATGGCAGAGTTGATAAAGAATTAGCAATTCATCAAAATACTTCGACATCAAATTATGATTACTTATTTATATATCAAACGGTCCTTGTTTCATTTGTTGATGCTGCCGTGATGGCCACCTTGGTCTGATGTGGCCCCGAGCAGTTCCGTCTACAAAATGGTAAAATTCTGTAGAACTCGAAGTATGAGATAAGGATGCAAGTGGAGCTGGATAGAGCTAGATAGAGCTGGAAATTATGGAGACCGTAAGGAGCGGCTGTCAGATTTGGTTTCAACTTTATCTCAAAGGGAATGCGGCTAAAAAGTGTTCCGCCGCATCCCGGACCCGCTTGCTTTCTCAGGATATATATGTTGTACACATTCCAGCTCGATTGATGTTTCTCATTCGCTCCGTATCAATGGAGTTCCACAAGAGGCTATTTTTGAAGGAATACCTAGACGAATATTCATTTGAGTTTATTGTTATGTAGAGATCTCTTCGTTTCTTGTGTGGCTGTGCCAAGAATCCTCAGAATCACATTTCAATCTTGTCACGGTATCTTATCTCTCGTTGTCCCCCGTTTCTATGCGTGCACATTCTGGGCTGGCGGACGGCAGTGGCCCTTGCCTACAATTTCGCCTTGCTTGCCTTCGGACGTCTCCCGGTATCAACATCAGACCACCAAGGAAAGCTGGGTGGTGCATCACCCTCAAGAGTTGCATTGAAATTTGGTTTTCGTTTCTCGAAGAATGCTTTGATGCCCTCGCTTGAGTCCCTGTAACACGGTCAGTATTGCTTCTTGTCATGCGAACATATCCAAAAAGGCTTGATAAAAGGAGGCGGACAAGCATACCTCCCACTAAACATATGGTATAAAACCGCCGAATCAACTAGGTGAGTCTCCTCGGCACTCCCTGGGTTCCGCCACATGAGTTCCCGCGAAAGGTATGATGCCATGGGGCTAACATTCTCTGCAAGTTCCGTAGCAAGCTCCAACGCACGCGCGACTACCTGATTTGGATCAGGGTATGTCTCCTGGAACAACGTTCCAAAATGCGGCGACGTAGGCGGAAAGGTGCCGCCAGTTGTGATTAAGTAAAGAGCATTGGAGTAACCAATCAACCGCGGGAGAAAGAATGAAGAGCTCGATTCCATCGTCAGACCCCGTCGCGGGAAGACAAATCCATACTTGGATTTCTGGCAGCCAATGCGTATGGCAGCGGGCAGAGACATTGTCATGCCCAAGCCAACAGCGGAGCCCTGCATGGCCGCTATAGTAGGCTTGCGGCAGCGGTGGATGGCTAAGGCGAGACGGCCGCCGCTATTGATATCGGTATTAGCGGAATTGATACATGGATTATGGGCTGGAGCTTCGTAATCTTACCTATCGCGATGATCCTTGTTTCTCTCCTTCTCCATTCCACTGAATCCTCGCTCAAGATCCGCACCGGCACAGAACATTTTGCCAGCACCGGTAAGCACCACAACTTTGACGCGTTCGTCAACATCAAACATAGGGTATATCTTCTCAAACACATGCATCATCTCTAGAGTAAATGAATTGTGCTTTTCCGGTCGGTTCAGCGTTACCACAATAACAGGGGTAGCTTCAGGGGCCCCGGCTGGGTGGTGGGAGACTTTGACATCGGTCAATGGAAGAGTCTCGTAAGACTTGGGAATGTCGACAGTGTCTGGGTCAAAAATCATTGTGGTCAGTAGAGGTGAGCTGGGCTGTAGTTTACTTCGCCATTTGCTGAAATATGTTGGTAACTTATATGTCAGCCAACGCCTCGGCTTTCACCTGGGTATGCAGATTCGATCACTAATCTTATGAAGCTTAGCGAAATTTGGCCGCGGTTGACATAAGTGTCATTTTCTTTGCGTGAGGTTGGGATTACATTATCTCGGAACATATTGAAAGCTAGGAGTAACATGTGCCATGAGGGGTTAAAGACTTGATCACTGGACTCATGCTCAATATACATGGAGTCCAAAGTAGTATCACCACTATGGACAATTTTCATAATAAATCCCACATATCCTTGTGGCTTATCACAAAAGGATATTCCAGCCATCCTCGGGTGAATTCAGTCTCGCATCCAATTCATTGTGTCATATGTCTAGCGAATACCACAGCCATATACTCCGTTGCATGATCCGGCGGGAAAACAGCCGATAGATAGGCAAGCCAGCCAGGAATATCGTTACAAAAGGTATACGCTCTAACAGTTTCACACCATTCAGGGTGCCAGCCAGCAAACTCCCAATCCAATACTGCGGTGACATGACCATGGTCGTCAACCAGGATGTTTCTCGGTGCCAGATCACCGTGCGTGAACACTATATTATCCTCCGACCGTTTATTTCCCGTATAGTTTCGCGCGAGATCCGGGACTGAGGTCGTCAATCTCGAAAATAGGTACTCGTCGAGGTAGATTGGGCGCCGTGGATATATATTTTTATGATTGAAAGGTCCGGGATATTCGTGCTTTAACCCTCGTAGTTGCTGTATATATCCATGTAGTTCCTGCGCAACGGACATCTTTTGTGATGGGATCATGCTGGACCAGGCATCTTGCAGCGTCTGGCCTTCGATATAATCCATTAAGATAGACTTAATGCCACCATCATGATTTTGGGTCTCGTGAACGTGGGGAATCGGGATGGTCGTGTTTTCGGAGATATAGCGCATATTCTCGGCTTCAACCTCTATCTCTTGAGAGGGTCCATGTTTCAGCAATCTGTCTTTGGCGACCCGTATGATCTTCCGGAGACTGGGTTCTTGTCGCTCTAAGTGCCTCCACTAATTAATATGATGTAGTTATTTGGGATCACTTTCAAACATACTGACCCTCACCAAAGACATCCATCGCGTCCACGAAACGAAGACTGCCTGTTTGAGACCCCTCAATGAGAACATGAGCCTAGAAACAAGTTATCAGAAAGCGAGGCACTATTCGATCCATGCCCAATCACGTGGCTGGGAGTGGTCGGATATGCAGCTGGCTGAATGCAGTAACCTTGGAAGTTGGACATAGTCTGTAGTCTCAAAGCCAATGATCCTGTCAGGTGGGGAGTATGAAATCGAGGAATCATATGGAGCGGGACAACTTTGGAAGAATTACGAATGATACATAATATACTGCGTTTAGATAAGAGCACCATCCATTTCTCTACTCTATGTGGCGTGAATAGTCATGATCAGGAAAGCCTAGGTATATAGGCTACCCCTCATCTATCTGGTAGACAAGAATATTTAAGCGAAGACCTTGGCCTCGCCGGCCTTCAGCTTGCCAGCATCAACAAGGCGCTTAGCCTCGCCAGACCAAGCGGTCTTGACGGCAGCGCCATCGGTGCCGGCGATGGTGAGCTTCTCAGCCAGAACGGCGAGCTCATCAACATCGATCTTGGCCATGATGAGGTCGACATCGGTGAGGACACCGTCGATATCAGCGGCAGTGGGCTCACCGGCGGCGAAGTAGTTGACATCCTTGACGGAACCCTTGAGGATACGCTTGTTCTTCTTGGAAGCGTTCTTAGCGGCCTCCTTGGCCTTCTTGTTCTTCTCACGATCAGCCTTGGCGGACTCCTCAGCGTCCTTCTTGCGCTGCTCCTCGGCGGCCTTGGCGTTCTCCTTCTCCTCCTTGAGACGGCGAATCTCCTCCTCCTTGGCGAGGCGCTTAGCGTCCTTGCCGGCACGAGCCTGCTGGCGGAACTTCTTAATACGCTCATCGGAAGCGAGACACTCGTCAACGAGCTCACGCAGACGGACGGTGTCCTCAGTCTTGCGCTTGCGGCGGGCGTTGGCGTTCTTCTTTTCGACATGACGCTTTTGGTCACGGCTCTCTCCATCATCAGGCACATCCTCATCGAGGTACTCGAAAGTCCTCCAGCTGTCAATGTTGTACCAGAAGTTGTAGAAAGTCTCGACGTGCTCCTGGGTGCTGTTCTCGTCTCCGAGTGTGGGCACAGGCTGCTTGTTGGAGAAGCGACCCTCGGCAACAAATACAGGGGCCCAGGCCTTGTAGAACTTGCTACCAGTGACCTTCTTAGTGGGGGCCTCAACGTCGGCGTTCTCATCGACGGAATCGAACTGACGACGACGAGTGGGGTCGAGAAGCAGATCGGTGGCCTTCTGAATGCATTTGAAGAAGCTGTCGTTCTCATCGCTGTTACCCAGGGCGGCCTTCTTGTCAGGGTGGTGACGCAGGACCTTCTTGCGGTGAGCCCGCTTGATCTGCTCGGGGGTTGCGCGCCAGCGGTACTTTTTCAAACCCAAAACGGCGTAGTGATCCTGGCCCTGCTAGGAGTTAGAAAGTAATCAACCAGGACAAATGTGACATTACTGACCTTCCAGTCCTTGGCCTCACGGGCAAGCATCATAGGGTCCTCATCTTCAGAGATATCATCATCCTCCTCAGTCTCTGTCTTCTTGACGTTGTTCTGGGCCTGGAGGCGCTCATCCTCGGAGAAAGTACGGTTGTGACGAGACTAAAGGGTGGTTAATTTTGATGAAACAAAAAAATTGAGTGAATCTGGAGAACTTACTCGGCGAGCGTGAGCCAGGAAGTGCGGGCCAACGGGCTCCACGTTGCGCTTGGTGGCACCGGACAGAGCACCGACAATCTTGAAATCCTTCTCACCAGCCCAGCCCTGGGGCAAGGTAGGGAGGGAAATGTCAACAACTTGAGCAGCAGCCATTGTATAATGGTATTGGTGATGGTACCAAGTTGTGTGTGGAGAGCATCGGGTCCCGCGATGGATTTTTTTGCATACATTTTTTTTCTGCCCCAAATATCCGCCCCTCCAGCCAATCACGGGGTTGTATGTTTTCAAGTTTCGAGATTGGCGATGGCGCCAGCCAGCCAGCCAGGCCTACTTCTTCTATTAACTTGTACATTCAAATTTTCTTATCCGGTCGATCTGCATTCTTGTCCAGACAACTATAACCCCTACATCACATCTACAGTACCACCCATAACTTCATCCCATCTCCTTGTCCGTGCCGATCATCCGCAGCCACAATTTGCAACCTGTGCTTCTCGACCTGTTCCTAAATACACTCACGTCTATACTTCTCTCTCACATTCCGCTTTTCATTATGGCCACCTCCACTGCTGCTGCTGCTAAGAGTGCCTATCGGCAACTCCTCCGGTCTACCCGGGTTGTCTTCCACAGTTCGTTTGACAAACACAACCGCCACTGAGGCATCTGTTTCCCTCATACTGACGTCTGCTATAGACGATATCCCAGTCCTCGTCGCTGCACGCCAGGAAGCGCGCCAGAACTTTGAGAAGAACCGTCGCCCCGCCGTTGACACTGGAATGCAAATCAACCATGCAATCGAGGTTGCAAATATCCTGCGCCACAACATCGTCCAAGGCTCGAGGCCGCAGGGAGATGAAGCTGCTAAGTGGGGTATGTGTTTCATTAATCACGCGATTTCACTTTGTAGCTTGGTACTCATAGTGCTCATACAAACTGTTTACTAACGAGCAATTGTTTCTACAGAACTCAATATCCACGAGCAGATCGAACGCGGTGATAACGATTCTATCAAAGTCGGCGAGCAGGATGTGAAGATTCACAAGGCCTGCTCGTCATGATGGGTTTTACCTTCCTGCCATGATTCTCAGTTGAATCTGAGCGCACTCTCCGAGTCCATTCAATAGTCCAAAACCGACACTGAAAACGACGTCAAAGCCAGTCTGCGAGCATATGTCAAACTGATGGCATATGGAACAGTAAAATAAGCTACGACATTGACCGGACATGTATTATAAGATACCCGACTCTTTTATTTATTGGCGACTTCGGGGTATGTTCGATTGAAGTACATAGATCTGCATAGAATAACCCAATCCTTGATAACGCCCGCTCCGAACCCTAAGTTACATGCAAGCTCAATTTGATTTAATGGTATATCTCAGCAAGTTTTGTTCAATCGCCATTCATGCTGGCGTACTGGACCTCACCCGATCCGGGTGGCGGTGCAACAACATGAGGCTGAGCTTTCTCCTGGCCAGCACCCTCGCCTGCAGAGGTAATGGCTCGTCGGTCTGCTTGCTTACCTTTACCAACCGATCCCACAGTCTGGCGACCCTCGCGGGCATTTTGCATTCTCTCTTCACGGTCCAGGTTATCTAGTGGCTTCGGCTTTCCCCAGCGAACACGGAGAGGGCAGCCCTGAATGATGGCCTTGCCTTGGCAGTGGTTTGCGGCGGTTTCGGCGTCCGCGCGGTTGACGTAGTTGATGAAAGCACAGTGCGAGCGGTGGGAGCAAATAAGTGACCGCAGCTGACCGAATTCGCTGAAAAATGTGCGGAGCGCATGTTCAGGGAGATCATCTTCCACGCCTGTAATGAACAAGGAAGTGACGTTGGGATCCGTAGGGGGAAGAATATCTGCAGCCGAGGGCGGCAACTGGGTGGTACTGGGGAATGGGCGACCCCCACGGCCACCACCTCGTCCTCCACGGCCTGGAAGGCGGTTTCCGACACGGCTTTCAGTAGTGCGAACCGGACCGGGTCCATTTCCATAGCGGCTGTTTGTTCGTGGTTGATCCGTCGCTGTACCTTCCTCTACTTTCTCTTCCTCGGCAGGTGCTTCGACTCGTCGGGGCTTGCGGTAATATGGTTCGCTGTTTGCAAGGCGTCGCAAAAGCTCACGAGCCTTGTCGTCTGTCTTTTCGTATTCTTCGATAGCACCACGCCCCTCTTCAATTTCCTTCTCGTTGTTCTGTGCGTAATACTCGCGATTGATGGAGCTTTCCGGTCCTGGGGCGACCATTTTGAGAGCAGCATCACGGACGGCAAGGGGAAGGCCGAACGACAAATCTAACATGCAGCATTGACAGCAGTTCTTCAGGCGCGCGCATGTGAGGCAGATGATGGATCGCTTTTGGCGGGAGGTCCGATCGGCCTTCCAACGGAAGATAGTGAAGGGGCGCGTGCACTAAATATGTAGTTAGTATGTGGTTATGAATTAGCTTCGAGGAAGCAAAAAAAAACGACTTACAATCTTGCATTCTGCGCCATGATCTTCCTTGATCATCTGCACGTAGGGATTTTCGGGAAGGCAGTTCTCACAGACAGAGGGAAAGTCTGTCGACTCCCAGCCGGATCGGTTCAAATCGTGCTTAATTTGGGGAGGCATGTCGGATAGTATGGAGTTAGTTGATCCGAGAGGTGAGAGCTTCGAAGGTTGGATTATCAAGATCAATCGAAGTGGCGTGTGGCGCAATGTGGCTAGTAGATCACGTGCATCTAATCCTCAGGTCACCTTTTTTCCCACCGGGAGATACAGCGTCCGACTCAGCCACAGGCCGGAAGTTGGTGTCCCGTGAGGAAAAAAGAGTGTGGCCACTCCCCCAGAGGACAAAGCTCGGTCTAGTCGTTCGGAGGAACCCCCCTGATTGGCTCTCCACTTTGGATTGTCAAAAAGTTGCTTGGGATTCGACTCTTATTTATTTCCCCTTTCTCCTACTCCGAGTCGCTATCCATTCCCTTCACTTGTGCTCTCTTGCTTCGCTTCTCTTGTGGTATTTCCAATCTTGGTTTACCTTGTCTTTTTCTCTTGAATCTTGGAAATTGACGCTTTTTGCCTCCTTTTACAATCTACCCCTTTTAATCTTTGCGACTCGTTTCTTCACCATGGCTCCCTCTGCATTGGAACGTGAGGACAAGGCGCGTGATGCCGCCTTCAACAAGGCTTTGCACGGCAAGTCTGCCAAGGCCCAGGGTGGTCTCGCTGCCATGCGCGGAAAGGACGCCGCCGCTCAGAAGGCTGCCGTCGATGAGTACTTCAAGCACTGGGACAACCAAAATGCTGTTGATGAGACACCCGAGATCCGTGAGGTATGGCACTGCGCATCCAAAACAGTTGATTCTTATCGCTAATATTTCGTGCGTGATAGGCCCGCAAGGCTGAATATGCTACCTTGACCCGACAGTACGTTCGGAAACAAACTCCATTGATTGACGCTCCCCATACTGATGATTCTTTTACAGCTACTACAACCTGGCCACCGACTTCTACGAGTACGGATGGGGTTCTTCGTTCCACTTCTGCCGCTTCGCCTACGGCGAGCCTTTCCACCAGGCCATTGCCCGCCACGAGCACTACCTTGCCCTTCAGGCTGGTATCACGGAGGACATGAAGGTTCTGGATGTTGGCTGCGGTGTCGGTGGTCCTGCCCGCGAGATGGTCAAGTTCACCGGTGCTCACGTCACCGGTCTGAACAACAACGACTACCAGATCGACCGCGCTACCCACTACGCGCACAAGCAGGGTCTCTCGGACAAGATGGCCTTTGTCAAGGGCGACTTCATGCAGATGAACTTCCCCGACAACAGCTTCGATGCCGTGTACGCCATTGAAGCCACTGTCCACGCCCCTGAGCTTGTTGGTGTGTACAGCGAGATCTTCCGTGTCCTGAAGCCCGGTGGTACCTTCGCTGTGTACGAGTGGCTCATGACCGACGAGTACAACAACGAGGATGCCGAGCACCGTCGCATCCGTCTCGGTATCGAGCAGGGTGACGGTATCTCCAACATGGTCCGTATCTCCGAGGGTATCGACGCCATGAAGAACGCTGGCTTTGACCTGAAGCATCACGAGGATCTCGCCGCTCGTCCCGACCCTATTCCCTGGTACTACCCGCTGGCGGGCTCGTTCAAGCACATGGGTTCGGCCTGGGACTTCTTCACCATCGCCCGCATGACCTGGTGGGGCCGTGGCCTTGCCCACCGCTTCGTCGGTGCCGGCGAGTCCATCGGTCTCTTCCCCAGGGGTTCCCAGAAGACCGCCGACAGCCTGGCCTTGGCTGCTGATTGTCTGGTTGAAGGTGCTCAGAAGAACCTCTTCACCCCCATGTACCTCATGGTCGGTAAGAAGCCTGAGTAAATCTTGAGCAACAACGGTATTAGCGGTCTTTCTGTGTAAAAATATTACCCCCGGCGTGCACGTTCTACCCTGGTGCCCCTCTTCTTATTTCATTTCATCTTCTTTCTTCACGTTACCCGTCACCAGGGGATTTTTCTTGGCTCAAATCTGACCCAATGTCGGCAGAGAACGAGCTGCGTGCCGCTTTCTCCTAATCGATGGTGTCATTAATTTTTCCTTCTCTTGTTTCTTTTACCTGTCAAGATAGCAATGTAATAGTCATTGAGTCAAGAATAACGAGCAAAGGATTGGTATTGTTTTATGTTAGTTTTATCCTATGTATTCGTAGCATACATACTATTTGAGCTAGATACGGTACACCTGGGCATGTCTTTGGTTGATTCCTTGGGGTTATTACGACCGACACTGGAAGAGCTATCTAGGGACTATTATGATCTGCAAGGGAAACTGTTTGAACAATCAATCCTCCTTGTCATATTATAAGTATCCTGAAACCAAAGGAACAAACTCCGGTTTGAATCCTCTCGTAGTATCATATAGCTCCCTGGCACCATATGCACATAGCAACTCTACCATAGCTGCACTTGGATAGAGTCGAAAGGAAGTCGAAGCCGAAGCCCACCACAGTATTGAATTTGATGAAAAAAAGCATGTAGGCCCCCCAACCGTGATATTTGGATCTGCTCCACGACGAAGCAGTAATTCCGCCACTTCAACACTACCTTTCCAGACAGCTATATGGAGAGGTGTCTGGCCCATCACAGACTCATTCACATCTAAACCCATGGCAACCATCTTCCCAATGAACGAACAGTTCATAGACATGGTCGCATGAAGCAGTGACGTCTCCTTCTTCCAGTGCAAGACAAGAGGGTCTGCCCCGTGATCAAGCAAAAGCTCAGCCATTCTATAATGTTTCAGCTTCATGGCCTTCGCTAGAGGCGAGAGTGGTTTCCCCGAGTGGTGGGTTTTTGAGCCATCAAAATTGCGCCCATAGTCATTGGGATTGGCACCACAGTCAAGAAGCATCTTGATCGTATCGTAGTGGAAGCGCGATATAGCCCAGAACAGAATTGATTGATTTCGGGATGCTAGTTTCGGGTCTGCACCATTTTCAAGAAGCAACCGCACAAGATCATCCCTACTAAATGGCCAAAGCGTTCTGTGTCCCCGAACAGCAAGCCAAAGAGGAGTGATCCCATACTCTGGATCGGTATAGTTGGGGTTGGCACCATTCTCCAGCAATAATGACACAATCTCGTTACTGGGGGAGCGGGCAGCGCGCCTTGAATGATTTGTATTTGACACGGGAACACCAAAATCGACAACAGCGAGGCAAAGCGGTGTTTGAATAAGACTGGATCGAGTCCCACGTGTTTCAGTATCAGCACCTTCATCCAGGAGCATCTTCATAACTCCCTTGAGCCGAAGTAGAGTGGCAAGATAGAGTGGTGTTTGATTCTGCGAGTTCCCCACGTTGATTCCGGCGCCTAGCTCTAACAATCTCTTTACTTCTCTGGGTGATCGTGCTTCTATTACGGCAAGACAGAGCGGCGTGTTGCCCCCGCGGAATCTTGTATCAATATGGACACCCAATCGAATCATCTCTTCAAATAAAGGTAGACAACCGGTAGCGGCTCCTAGGTAAAGAAGCATAGGGCCATACCTCTCCATGGTATGTGGATCTTCCAGTACCATGGTCAGTTTGGGAAGATCGGAAGCTAGAGACCTGGCAGGCTTGCCTCCACAGTTACAGAAACCAGTTCTCTCAAGGACACCGCTGCGACTCAGCAAAAATAGGGCACACTCTATATGACCGTTTGCCACAGTCGCAGGCACAATCAGCGCTATTTTGTGCATATATTGTTTGCAAGTGAGATTCTCATACTCTCCTGTTGCAAGAGTGTAATCAACGCACGGGATATGGCCACCTTCGGCAGCCAGGCGAAGAGTTGCTTTGCGTCCTGGCTCGTCTTCATTCATCAGATTTGCGAAATTCGTTTCCCACATAATTTCTGGACGGAGACCTCTTCCTACAAGGTCTTTCATCATATTTAAATGGCCATTTTTTGCAGCCTGGCCAAGAAGCTGCGCATCACAGCAATCGTGGGCACATTCCCCATGAAGATCAGCGCCAGATTGAAGAAGTGTATTGATCATAGAGACGTTACCCCCTTGCACTGCCCAGCAAAGTGGAGAATGGAAGATTCGACAGTCGTGTGTTGGAAATCTCAAATCTCTTGTTATGTTTGATGAGTCTACTGCCAGAGACTTCTGAACGACAGTGTCATAGCCGTGGAAGGCGCCGAATGCCAATGATGTTTGGCCACAATGTTGTGCATTAAACTTGTACAAGCGGGTTTCCAACTTATCATAGAGCCATTTATTTGTTTGTGAAAGCGCGTTCAAGTCTTTTTGGGTTGCGATAGAAGCGTCATTGTTGCCTGGTTCCGTTGCGGCGAGTTGGGAGAAGGGGCAGTCGATTATAAGCAGCACGAGCTCAACAGGTAGATCTAGGAGTGAAATCATATTGTAATGGGATAGAGGTATGATCTACCTGGAGAATTGTTGTGTGTCGAGTACACAAGACCTCTAAGGTGTTAGCTGACTGAACACTTTCGAGAGCGTTGAACTAGCTGGGGCTGAAGCTCGGGCACCCAAAACCCCATGTGGGGAGCCGATCCCTACCCAATGTGATATAACCCTTGGGGTTCTTGAGTATCGAGTATCTGGGTACCAACTTGGGGCTGTGTAGAGATTTATGAATATGAAGTGTGATATTATCAGATGCCAAAGGGAGGTAGTAAGCTGGGTGGCACTTTGTGGAGGGCACATGGCGGCTACATGATTACTGGGGTCGGTGCCTGAACTTATGGGCGCTGCATTTGAGGCAGTTTTATCCAAGCAGTCCAGGATTAGGGGTATCTTTAGTATTTTGGTCTTTCCCCTAGATTGTTGCTCACTCAATTTTCTCATTCCAGGCACACACTGGTCCCGATGCTAAAACCGAAAAGGGAAGGCCCGACCCGGCGCCCCCCCCCAACTTCGGCGGATCGCCAAGCCTCAAACCCCAAAATCTAGCCCTACCAGGTCTACAGTATATGTTAATTCAACACATAAAGGGCCAACAGGGACTCGTTTCATCCTATAGTAGTCCATGAGAAGGTTGCGGGCTATCTCCGGTGCAACTTTGCTTGCCGTTCAGACATGCGCGCATTTCACTGTCCTCTGTTGTCCTATCAGATTAGTTTCTCTTTGCCACCACGGACTCCACTTATGCACCATCCAGCGCGCTCGGGACGCTTCATAATAGTCAAAGAGAAAGGTACAAATAGACCCATAAGATCTGACACTTCCACTGCCCAGTCTGCTCATGCCCATTGATCTCTCACGCTATATGTCTATTCTCGTTTATTCTACTCCGTACTCCGTACTGATATTGTGGACAGCATCGTTGAAGATGCATATCTCAACTCCCAAATAACGGCTGCGTTGTATCGTTCGTCACCGTTGTATCTCTTTAGAAAGTGCCTTTGCACAATATCTTTGCCCAAGTCTACTGATGTACGTTATTGCGTCTTCGAGCTTATGTGTTAACCAATATGTGTCTGGTCTCGATGCTGATACAGGGTACGCGTAATTGAGTTGGTAGTCAACAACAGAGCAAATAAAGCCTACATTTGCTTCTTTGGCGCATCACCTCCATTCTTTGGTGGCTGCCGTCCAGTCATATTTCCTCTTCCACCTCTAAAAACCCCATCCCCATCCACCATATCCAGTAATTCATCAACTCCTTTCGCACCAATCGACACAGCAACCGCCTCGATATTCACGAATTCTCCAGCTAAACGCACAGTTTTGAGCGTCAGTCCACCGTCATATCGTTCTTTCGTCTGAACTTTCACTAATAGTAGTGTATTGCCGTCTTCTGCCGTCTTCTCATCAGCAATAAGGAAGAGTCTTGGCTCCACAATGCTCCCCTCCGCGTTCTCAGTCAGAAATCGCGCGATATCATGAGCACTCCATCCGACAAACGGGGAGGTAAAAGAAGTTCCAACGAGTGTTTGAGTCACCGAGTCCTTGGTGTAATGGTGGATTGAATTTCTGGTCGTCTCGGTGAGGAGAATAAGTGTTGCCGGGGAGCTGAGATTTGCGACTTCATGGTATGCTACGTTAAGAATGGATGAGAAGACCTAGATTCATAAATTCTTAGGACTTTCAGGATTTTCCAATGAGAATTAATTATATTTACTGAAGGGGAAATCTCATGGATGCCAGCGACGCTTATGAGTGATTCTCCCATTTTGTATTGGTATGTTCAAGATGAGCGTGGTCTGTGGCACAAGAAGCACTTGAAATGCGTCCAAAATAAGTTCAAATCAGGGTTTGAAGCTGGAAAGTGAACTATTGTTTGAAAGCCGGTTGGATCCATCGATCACCTGGACGTGGATGCAGAGGTCACGTAAGTTGGGAAGGATCTCGGGTTTGTTTTCTTTGTTTTCTCATCCATAAACATAACCTGGGAAACTGTTAGTAAACTAGGAGAAGGAAGAGTAGGAGAGCTGCTGTTTCTATTCATGAACAAACTGGTCTGGTTTTAGCTAGATTTGAGACAAACAGGGCATAACACAAAATTTAATCTAACCTGAGTCTGATATACTCCATGTATATGCACATATATATAGCTAGTCGACCAGAATACTATACTTGATGAGTTTATGTATGTTGTAGGTCTTCTAGGGTGGAGACTCAAGGCTTGAGTTTCCAAACAAGAAGCCAAGAAAAGGTAAGCATATGTAACTCTGGGCACTAAAAGCTTTTCTGCGTACTCCGTAATAATATATGAATTAATATATTTTGTATACTAGTACCAATTTATATATGATCACATTGGTAAAAGCAGCCCAGTGTATGGTCAGCCGAGTGCTATACTTGTCCCCGTGGGCCCCAGGTGGTCAGCCAGTTAGGGCACGGACAGCTAAAACGTGCAGCGCAAGGACCACCTCCGGGCAGGTACCCGGTCCACTATCTGCTATTCACCCAATTGAATCGTCTTGTGACTTTAATTTAGTTCAGTTCAAGCCTTAACTCTTCCGGATAAAAGGCTTGGAAATGCAGCCAGTTAGCCCTGCATCGATCACAACGTGGTATCGGTTACACAACGGGCGCATTCTTCCAGCCGATGAGGGGAATGTCATGCCTCCAAGGTTGACTCAAATATAAGATCGCGTGTCGCCCGAATCTGCTCCTTTGTTACTTTTATAATCGCAGCTGCTACTACCGCGATCCCAAATATGTTCACCAAACAAACTCTTCTCACGTTCGTCGGGGCCCTGGCCCTGGCCGCGGCCAAGACTACCACTGAACAGACCCCAACTCAGGCTGAGATCGATGCAGCCCGTGCTACGGCCCTGCCTTACTCTCCTGTGTCAAACGTAAAGGGTTTGGCTTTTGATCGATTCGTGAACATCTGGCTCGAGAACACAGTAGATTTCCCCCTTGCATAAATAACAATGACTACGTGCTCACCCCTTTGCAGGACTATGAAACCGCTGCTTCAGACGAGAACCTGTCCAAGCTGGCTAAGGAGGGTATCCTTCTGACCAACTACTTTGCCGTCACTCACCCCTCGGAACCCAACTACTGTGCTTCCGCCGGAGGTGACACATTTGGCATGGACAATGACAACTTCCTGCAGATCCCCGCCAATGTCTCAACCATTGCCGATCTGTTTGATACCAAGCACATCGCTTGGGGTGAGTACCAAGAGGATATGCCTTATGCCGGCTACCAGGGCATGCGGTACCCCCTCAGCGGTCCGAACCAGTACGTGCGCAAGCACAACCCGATGGTTCTGTATGACTCGGTTACCAACGACGCCGTGCGCCCACGCCAAATCAAGAATTTCACCACTTTCTACGATGACCTGGAACACCACAGTCTTCCCCAGCATTTGTTCATCACACCGAACATGACCAACGACGCCCACGACACCGACATCACTGTGGCCGGCGACTGGGTCGATCGCTTCCTGCCTCCCCTGCTGAAGAACGAGTACTTCGCCAAGGATAGCCTGGTGCTGGTCACCTTTGACGAGGGGGGCAACTATTCCCACCCCAACCGGGTCTTCAGCTTCCTGGTTGGTGGTGCTATCCCGAAGGAACTGAAGGGCACCACCGACGACACTTTCTACACACACTACTCAATTATCGCCTCCCTGTCCGCTAACTGGGGTCTTCCCTCGCTTGGTCGCTGGGATTGTGGCGCCAACCTGCTGAACATGGTCGCTGAGAAGACCGGCTATGTCAACTGGGAAGTTGATACCAGCAATGCCTACCTCAACCAGACTTACCCTGGCCCCCTGTCTACCAAGAATTATTCCTCCAAGTGGGCCGTTCCTGCCATCAAGGGCAAGTGCTCTGCTGGCCATGGTATTGCTGAAGTTGTGAAGAAGACCTACCACGGTCTTCACCCTACCTACGATTACACCAGCCCTGTGCCGTATGACGTGAAGAGTGGAAACAACGTCGGCATCAAGTACCAACGTACTCTGGTATGGACCCTTTCCCTTTCTTCCTTGGATGATTCAATGCTAATGATTTACAGAAGGACGGTAAGACGGAGTCCCGTATCACTGCGTAAACCAATGATCCCTACATGTATATATGGTGCACTGCCACTACTGTTAGATGTGGACATAAGTAGTTGTCCTTGTGTATAAAATTTTGATTGAATGCTATGTTGTCCTACCACATTAAAAAGGGTTCTCCGATTTTGCTGGAACTATTGTGGATCCGCTGGATGGTTGTGACTTCCAACATACAATCAACACAGACTATGCTGATGAGCATCGGGTATGGAGACATCCTCAGTTTATCTCTACCCCACGAAATTGTTGAGAATCCAGCTTAATTCTTAGTAATTAACATGGAGCTTTGAACGCTAACCCTAATTCGACGTGCTTTATGCATTACGAATCACCATGCCTTTCTCGCATGCCAAGAACCTCGAGGTCCTACGGAATCGAGATTAGCGCCGTCGATGCAGTTTGCCGTCTACACCACCAATTCCTGTATACAACCGCCAGTTTCAGTTTGTTGTAGCACAGGAAGTTATTTTAATTCAGGCTGCATTCAGTCAAAGAATCCAGGAGAATCTAGCACTTAGTGCTATCACCGCTCATTCAGCTCTTTCTCTTTGATTCTACCACTCTATTTCTATTAAAAATTGATCAATTGAGAGATTCCAGGGGGAAGAAGGAGAAGCCTATAAATATGGGCTTCTTTCTATGTATGAAGAGATTAGACAGTTTACACTTTCATTCCTGGCGCTAGTTATACCTATAGTTCCATTTATCTTTGCAAGAGATACTCCCTTTATTTTACATGCTGTATAGTTACTCTGTGTACTATTTCAACAGAAATATATATCTCCACAATCAAAGTATATATTGCGCCACTAATAATGCTCGGACTTTTGGAAAATAAGAATGTGAGATAGACAAATCGCCAATAAAATGAGGATATTATGTATACGCAACCTTCTACATGAGCTCCGGTTTCCCCTTCTCCCTTTCAGACATCCTTTTGGTGGCGAATCCTTTGGGCATATGCAGTTTGGGCGCGTCAGACATCATATAGATCATGTTACACTACGGATGACCTCGTGTAGAGACACTTGGTTAGTTAGTTAGATAGTGCTAAAACATGTCTTTCCCTCCCTAGTTATTGAAATAGTGTAGTTTATCTAAGATTTGGTACCTTGAGATATTCCCCGCCCTGTTACCCAAAATCGAATGCTGACCCTATCAAAAGTTTCCATTTCGACAATTTCTCTTGGAACCACAACCCAATTACAGGCATTAGTACTATAGCCCGAACTACTCTGATCAATAGATCTGGCTTCGCATCCACTAGACCCCAGCGGGGATCGGTATTCAACAAACCAATCAGTGGTAGTGGGATTGATTTCCAAGTAACTCCCGAGGTCTCTCAGATCGCAACATAGTAGCTTTGCGGAGAGTTCAGCCTCGCCACATGGCAACTTGTTTTCTAACGTTCCCAAAGGAACTCGAGGGGACGCCAAGACCCTAGAAGCGCCACATCCTGGAGGCGTATTGAGACTTTATCATGACGTTTTGAGAGTTTTGCTTTGACCTTGAACGCCTTTGCCGCGATCTGCAAGCCGTGTCCCGAGTATCGGCTCCCGGTCGTCTCGTATGATGAGTCGTGGGCCCTTTCAAGCGACGACCCCAAACGGGTGCCACGCGATATGTACCTAGTCATATCCAACATGGCATCATTGCGGACAGAGCGCATGATCTTATTCGGGAAGGTACCGAGGATTGTCGCGCCGATGCTCATATGCACAACAAGTCGGGGAATTATGTTATTGGTCTAAGAGAAAAGTTAATGTAAAAAGTAGACTTGTACTCCGTAGGTACCTTACCATGTCTACCAATGTAATTTCCGTTGTTTCATTTCCGCAAACAGAGATTTTACTGTCAAATCGGACGTGAATTGTCCGAAAATGCCCGCTCGACTAAGAGATTTCCTTTTCAGTTTTTTTACCCGAGATCTTGTGTGGGCCCGAATATTTTTTTCCCTCCATTTTTTTCCCGTATATCTACTTCATACGGAGTATGGCCAAATATACATATAGCCAAGATATGAATTTAGCCAAGATATCTCAAATGCTTCGCCTCATGATAGTTTCTTGGAATCGTCTTGGAAAAGACTTGGAATTGCTTGGTTGATGAGCCAAGTAGTGGTAAGCAAATATACCCACCTTGGAAAAGTCTTGACTTGTGAAAGTTCGAAATCAACTCTCTTTGAAAGGATTATCCCTTCCGAATGCGGTGTCTTGGCAAATGGATCCACTTTTACTTCCCGAATTCTTTTTGACTTCCTACAACATATGTTAAACCACCTGTCTCACTGTCTGAATGATTCCCGAATGGTTTCTTCTGGAAGGGCTTTTTCGGGAGGGGCTACTTCGGGCATATTCGAAAAAAAATATCCGTAGAGGAGACTTTCTACATAAGAAAATCTCAGAAGATATCAAGGTTGTTTGACCTTACGGGTGGACCTGAGTAAGCCGTTAGTCCATCCATGGATATCCAACAGCCCTCATGTCACTACGGAGTATGCCTCGTGATCCCGATGATCATTGCTCAAGACGGCATCCCAGCACAAAACCCCGGGAAATTAATGTACTTTGTACGGCTGAACTGTCGCCGTAACCGGCCGGGGCATCGGGCATGGCGAAGTTCGGAACCTTGGAAGGAAAAAGGCAACTTTCACGAGATCTTTCTGAGTACGTAATATTCGGGCACCAATCGGCAGAGCGTGAGAAAAAAAGAAAGAAAAAAGAAAAAAAAAAAAACCAAGGGACTACCAATTGCGGCAGACGAATAGCCAACGAATAGCCAACGAAATCTTCGGCCCCTGACCCACCTCCCCAATTTCCAATTCCCCATGGTTACAGGGCCGTGGAGTGGTCGTGGAGGGTCGGATAAGATTCCTTTTGCGGCCAAACACCGTCGCCCGCAACCCGCAACCTCCAGACGCCTCCAGGCGTCCCCCAGGAATCAAATTTGATCCACTCCCCACAAAAGCCTGGAGTCATGAGGGAAAAAAAAACCCTCCCCGATGAAGCCCCCTACGTAGCGAATATACGCGACTACATACAACGTTGTTGAACTAGCCTGGTTTGATATATTACCAAGGCCAAAAACGGTAAACCCAAGCCGCTCGGAGTACTTGGCAAATCTCGAGAGTTTCTTGTCGCATCCCCGCAACCCCACTAGCATGGTCCTTGGCCCCTACTTGGCCCTCCTTGGCCCATGGCCCCCACGGCGGGTCGCAAGACTTGCCTATCCAATGTTGTAGCGCCGCCGATGTCACTCCAAACTTTTCTCCTCTTGGCATTGAATGGACATGGAGACCGAATGCATAAAGGTACAGATCCCCCCAGTGTCTGAGCTTTCTTTTTTTTCCCCTCATGTCGCTTTGGTTTTTTCCTCTCCACATCTAATAGAGGACGTTCATCATGTGGACCACAACCTCCGGCTTGCGGGGCAAGAAGCTCCATATCGCCATTACATTTACATCCGTCGTCGGATTCTCACTTTTCGGTTATGATCAGGGTTTGATGTCCGGTATCATCTCTGGTGACCAATTCACCAAGGAATTCCCCCCTCTCCATGGTACATCCGAGCACGTCGCCGTCCTGCGTGGTGCGGTCACTGCCTGTTACGAATTGGGTTGTTTCTTCGGTGCTATCTTCACTATGATGTACGGTCAACGTATTGGCCGCACTCCTCTCCTGGTGGCCGGTGGCCTCCTCATGATCCTCGGTACTGTTATCTCTACTGCTGCCTCCGGCCCACACTGGGGACTGGGCCAGTTCGTTGTTGGACGTGTCATTTCCGGCCTTGGAAACGGCATGGACACCGCTACTATCCCCGTCTGGCAGTCTGAGTGTTCGCGTGCTCACAACCGTGGTTTCCTCGTCTGCTTCGAGGGTGCTATCATCGCCGTCGGTACCTTCATCGCATACTGGCTTGATTTCGGTCTCTCTTATGTCGACAGCTCCGTTCAGTGGCGATTCCCCGTCGCTTTCCAGATTTTGTTCGCTATCCTCGTCACTGCTGGTGCTCTTATGCTCCCCGAGTCGCCTCGTTGGTTCGTCATGCAGGGTCATGACCAGGAGGCCCTCCAGGTTCTCGCCCAGCTTAACGATAGTGCTGTCGATGCGGATGATGTGCTTGCCGATTTCAATCTCATGAAGGCTGATCTGAAGGCCATGGAGAGTGTTGAGGCTAGCAGCTGGGCTATTCTCTTCACTGGTGGCAAGTCTCAGAACTTCCAGCGTATGATGATCGGTTGCTCTGGCCAGTTCTTCCAGCAATTCACTGGTTGCAACGCCGCTATCTACTACTCGACCCTGCTTTTCGAGCAGAACTTAAAAATGACGGGCAAGCTTCCCCTGGTTCTGGGAGGTGTTTTCGCCACTGTCTACGCTCTTGCCACCATCCCATCCTTCTTCATGATTGAGAGGGTTGGTCGCCGTAACCTGTTCTTGATTGGTTTCCTCGGCCAGGGTCTCAGTTTCATAATCACTATGGGTTGTCTCATCGATTCGAACGCGCAGAACGCTAAGGGTGCTGTCGTCGGTATCTTCCTATTCATCTGCTTCTTCGCCTTTACTACGCTGCCTCTGCCCTGGATCTACCCCCCGAGATCAACCCCCTCCGCACCCGTACCAAGGCCGCCTCCGCTTCCACCTGTATGAACTGGATCACCAACTTCGCCGTCGTCATGTTCACTCCTGTGTTCTCCAACCAGTCCGACTGGGGTATCTACCTCTTCTTCGCCCTTGTCAACTTCATCGCCATCCCCTTCGCCTGGTTCTTCTACTGTGAGACCGCCGGTCGTGATCTCGAGGAGATTGACATTATCTTCGCCAAGGCCCACGTTGAGGGCAAGTGGCCCTACCAGGTCGCACAGCAGATGCCCAAGCTCTCCATTGCCCAAATTACCCAGATGCAGAACGAGCTGGGTCTCGATACCTCCGATCTCCAGATCAACACCGAAGCCGAGAAGGCTGAGACTGCCATGAGCAGCAGCAGTGAGGCCAAGCACGACGAGTAAATGCTCCAACCATCGGTTGCCCTTGGTTGATGTCGGCTGAGTGGAATTCGCGGAGCGAATTGGATTAATCATTTGTCTCGGATCTCATATTATCATGTGACCATAGATTCCCTATACCCCCCCGTCTAACGGCAAAGCGGGCAGACTAGTATGTAGATAGTCTGCTTTGCGATCTCTTTTTATTTTCTCTATATTTCATTTGATCTAAATACATACTTTTTACCCTTATCAATCTTCTAAACATTCTTGTAATGGGTCTCAATGCTTGTATCTCCACTGATGATCCCTCTTGCTCGAGTCTGCAGCCCTACGATCAGATCAGCACAGTATTCCCTCCGCAGTGGCGATAGAAGAAGCGAAGAAGTAAAGAAGGCTTGGCAATATCATATACTTAATTCATATACTGAGACTTCGGTGCAAAGTTGGTCAAATTAACCAAGGCATTCTATTCAGATTCAACTTTGTGTACGATATACGACGTATCGTATCTGTGAGTGTTGTAGCCCATAAGCAACAAGGACCTTGAAAGGCCCTACAGATCGAACGTCGATTGGAGGAAGTTTAGGAGAGAAATGCCCGTGTCTCAAACTGAGAAAAATTCGCATGTGCTTCGGCATAATCCCGTGTCCTGAATAAAACAACTTAAGGGATCCAAAGTATTGTAGGGCCCGAATCCTGAATCCGGAGAGCCGAGGCATTCTTGACGACAATCTCGGACACATGCCAAAACCTGCCGTACTCGCCATAACTTCTTAGTTTCATCGTAAAGGAATTAAATATTAATTGAGCCATTCCCAAAAAAAAAAGTCTAACCATACTAGTATTAAAAGTTAATTCGTCAATGACCTAGCCAGCGGCAAAAGTACTCTTTTTTCTTAGCGTCTCCCCAAACTTCCACAAAAACACCGGCGCTGGCACCCCAATGACAATAGCCACGAACGCCAACAAACTATTCCCCCACCCATAGTTCAAAGCACTATACAAATACGGTGCGAAAAGCGGAAACCCAAACCCAGCTAGCGAGCGCAGAAACGAACCAGCAGCAAGCGCACTAGCCGCAAACCGTGTATATGTATCAACCATATAAGTCTGGATACACTGGAAGGCAATAATACTGCCAGTACCAAACAGCACAGCACCGATGTTCGGCGCGATCCAATGGCAGTGGTACTGAGCGGTCCAGCCGTAGATAAACAAGCCAGCGGGGATAAAGAAGGCGCCGACGAAGAGGAGTGGAACGCGGAACTCCGGTTTTCCGACGTCGGCATTGCGGGCCTTGAGACGGCGGTAGATGCGGTCGTTTAATGGGGCGCAAATTTGCGAGCCGAGCCAGAAGCCTAGTCCGAGAGAGATGTAGTTCAGGCCGCCGATGCCGGTCGATTCGTTGTAGTAATTTGGGCTTGTCCACAGAGTGGGGAATGTTGAGAGGACGAGGTACATGATTCCGTAGATGTAGGCCATGAATAGGGCGAGGACTTGGACAATTGGCTGGGTGAAGAGGAGGCGGAAGGGACGGATGAGCGAGCTACGCAGGACTTCGAGCAGGGTCTTATTTTGGCGCTCTGCTTCTGTTTGGTAGGATTCGTCGCCTGTTTCTTTGCGCAGGCGGACGGCGCGGTCGAGGAGGATTTTCGGGCCGTAGCTCTCGCGTAGGAAGAAGAGGCCCATTACTTGGATTAGGCCGTCAATTATTGAGGTTGAATAGAATACCCAGCGCCAGGTTGTGTTTTCGGCGATGAAGCCTCCTGCGATGGGGCCGAGGGCTGGGCCTAGGAGTGGTGCAAGACTATAGATTGCGATTCCCTTTCCGCGCTCTTCAGCCCGGAAGCAATCTGAAAGGACCCCACCGCCGATCTAGATGTAGTTAGATATAAGCTTTTCTTGGGGGAAGTTTTGCGGCTTGGCTTACTGCTAGCGGGGCACTACCTCCTAGTCCAGCGAAGAATCGGCAAACGATCATTTGGACTTTCGTTTTTGATACCGCACACCCGATGTTGAAAACTAGGAAGAAGAGGTTGGCGAGTTGCAGAACGATGGTTCGGCCGTAGATCTCTGACAATGGCCCGAGGAATAGTGGGCCAACAGCGTAGGCCAGAACGAAGATTGAGAGCATAAGTTGTAAGACTATCTCATCCGTGACCTTGAGGTCCGCTGCCAGTGATGGCAGTGCCGGTGCAACCATTGACGAAGAGACCGGCGAGATGAATGTGAATAGTGATACGGTGATGGTGGCAGCCCATTTCTTCTTGCTGCTCCAGTTTTTCGGGTTTTCGGGGTCTTCAGGACCGTCCCATTCTACCTGTACGACTGACTTAATACTGAGTGCAGATTTAGGAACATGGAACAACCTACCAATTTTGAATCATGACGAGACCGGTTCGACTTTGCCGTCCTCGATTTCTCAAGTTCGGGCTGTGTAGCATCGGCTTTTTCTAGATCCAGATCGCGCTCATTCACAATCCCGTTCCGCACTTCCTGGATAGTATCGGGCTTCTGCTTGTTTTCGACGAACGGTTCACCATTGTTGGACCCATCGTCGCTGTGGTATACTGACTGGTCATTGAGATGTCGTCCTGAATAGACTCGATCCACCTGGGCCATTCCTGGATTTGATAAAGACCGCAACCTCGTCCTCAGCGAACCAGCTAAGCTCTGAGATCGTGACTGCGTTCTTGATGCCTGAAACTCGGAATCGGTACTGGATATGGATGCCGACTGTGATTTGGTTGAGCCAGATTCTTTATGGTCCGACATTATCGATGCTCCTACGGAGAACCAATCGACAATAAATGGGGAAAGGAATGAAAATTTTTATATGCAAAGCCAACTAAATGGGCACGCGGCACTGATTCCCTAGAAAAAACGAACCAGACGACAACAGCGGGGAACGTTTTTATATCAAATCAATAGACACAAAAAAAAAACAACAGGCAGACAGACGGCATATTCCAACCGTTGCGAACGGCGATAAAGCAAAAAGGATCTTAACACCGCCAGAAGAAAACCCACAGCTCTCCAATTTGCAATATTGAGCATAGTGATTGGCTGGTACTTAAAGCTTGACACGAGGGTGACCTTGGCCAGACCCCATTTGCCCCTCTGTTTATCACAAAATTTTATGAATACCGGCGGCCTGACCCGTCTTGAGTTGTCATTAGGGCAGTGTCTATGCGGAGAGAAGCCTGAAACGCGGTATTCGTGGCTCCGTTTGCAGCCTCAGGTGTCCATTGTCGGGTCTTCGGCACATGGGTCACGTGTGGTGGCTGATCGTCAATACCATATGCCACATTGGGTGACCGGTACATGGGTTCTCCCGGTTCCGGGATACCATTTATTGGCTGACATTCGTGTTTGGTTTATGTCCGTTACATAAGTGGGTATCCCCGGGATCATGCAGCCTCTCGGGGATTACTTGCTGGCGAAATTGTTGATATGTGAGTATCTTCTTCGGATGTCCGATCTTTTTCGGTGGTGCGAATTACGTTGTAATTTTTTCATATTACTCTAGACCGCCGGTTTATAGTGCATGGCTGATGCCCAATTGTTTCTTGTTTTGGTGTTCCTGAGAACTAAATGCACCAATGGAACTAACAGAGCAGCAGTACCCAGAAACCCTGAACTACACAGAACTTCATTTGACTCGGTGCAATAACCAATATTCAAACAAACGTTCTCGAGTCCATCAGTACTGATCCAAGGGGGTGTTGCACTGTGATTACCAACACGTCAGAATGATGGTAATCAATAACACCCTGAATAGTGTTAATCTGATATGCTGACCCAGGGAAGTATGCAGTGAAGTATCCGTCGAGCGTCAAATTTGCTGTCTGGCTGTCAAACTACAAATTCAAAGACGGGTATGTCCAAATCCAAGTATGAGGACCATCTTACGCTCATGTGGCGGGTCTGATCGTGGACTGATTAGTTACTCGTAATTTCTTGCTATTGTTGCAGCACGTGACATAAGTTGACAACATGCTTTCTTCAACGCATGGCCATTTCCAGTTGGATGACCCTTGGGTTACTGGGGAAGAACTCGGGCTCGGTGTTTTTCTAGAGATATTCGGTGGAATTCTGTGCTTGAGTGCTGCATATAACGATGTGTGGCATGCAGAAGCTGAGGTCCAGGGCTTTCTAGATATATTCAATACTGTGGTGGATTATTTGCCGCCGAAAGTACCTTGAGACATACAATCAAAGGGGCTAAATTATTAAAAAGACATAAAGAGGACCAAGACAGTGTTTTGTACAGGCGTCTCTAAATGTATAAAAGTACGTTGGCCGGCTCGGGAGTTCCAGGTTACCCCACACTTTCTTATCTCTGCCAAGATATACGATTGCTGAGATCCCCTAATATCCTGCCCAGGTGCCTTCTTCTGATCTCCTTGAATCAAAGATGCCGCCAGATCGACGTGTGCAGCGAATTGTTCGAGTAAGAACTGGTTGTTTGACCTGCAGGCGTCGCAAGAAGAAATGCGACGAGACACGTCCAATCTGTGCTGGCTGTCGGCGCAATGACCTGGGCTGCCAGTGGCCCCCAGATGTACCTGGCAAGAGAGATCCCAGCCATGAGGACGAATCTCAAGCATCTGTGACAGATGAGTGCCGACCGAACATTTTTGATGACATTGAGCAGCTCGATGAAATGTCGATGCCTAGAAGTCCCTTATCACAACGAGCGCCATCTGTTTCATCGAGTGTAGGGCACTCGGTGATTGGAGACCAGTTTGAAGACACGATGCTACATGAACAGACCCATAATCAACGTCGATTGTCAACAGCTACCGAGGCTACCACTACCAGTGATGCTCTTGTCGCCTCTGTCTCAATGGGGAACGTGCTGCCGCGCAGCCTATCCTTGCTGCCTGGCTATGATGCCGAGTCTTATCAGCTTCTCAGTCATTACCTGGCCACAACAGCTGACTGCATGGCCAATGGCTCCACGCCTGTCAACCCCTTTCTGGTACAGATTGTACCCCTGGCATTTTCTAGTGACTTGCTGTTGCAGCTGGTAATCACTCAAAGCGCCGCTCACCGCGCGTTTCGATCACGGGACGAATCAGATACAATTGCCCACAGTCACTACACAAAAGCTCTCCAGCATTTCCGCCGTGGAGTAACGGACTTTATCGACGGGAAAGAATCGAACCCTCTCATGCTCCTAGTGGGGGCACTTCTAATGTGTTTCACCGAGGTAGGAAATCCATGATTCAAAAGTAATGTGTTCAACAATCTAACGAAACCAGACAGCAAAGGGTGATATGAACGGGACAATATTCGACCACTTATCCGCCGCGAACTCGCTGTTGGTCAAATTGCTTGCCCAGAGCGACTCGGCAGTTCCACGAGACTTGAAAGATTTCGTCATAGAATACTACACCTATACTGCGACCGTTAGCATGATCTCAATCGATGCTCGCTTCAGCGGGCAGCTCTTCTTAAACTTGGATCTTGAACAACAGTCGCGCCAATTGCTTCGGACCCAGTACGTGGGCAACTTGTGCGGTTGCTGGCTGGAACTATTGCTGCTGATCCCGTGTATATTCGATCTCGGCCGACAGTGGATCATGGACGACACGCAGGCGGTTGTTCCAACAGCTGATGATCTTGCCATGTTTGCATCCATCCAAGCCCAGATTTTACGCTGGTCGCCTTATCCCAATGTCGGGACGGAGGTCCGTCTGGCTGGGTTAATTTTCCAAGAAGCCATGCTCGTCTATTTATACACCTCCCTAGGTGGTTTCCAATACACCAGGGATGGAATGTATAAAGGCATGGTGGAAAATGTAGTGACAGAAGCCATGTCATACCTGGCTGATCTGTCGCCCAGCGCGCGCATCAACTCTGGCCTCTGTTGGCCGATTGCTGTGGTGGGTTCATGCCTTCTCAACCCCGACCAACAGGACTGCCTACGAGAACGATTGAATGCCATGACTGAGACATTTGGTCTTGGAAATATGCACCGAACACTTCTACTCCTCGAAGCAATGTGGCAATCACCTGCATCTGAGGCCGGGCCATGGAATATTTGTCGAGCAATGCAGCAAAACCAAATATGGATCTCATTTGCGTGATATTGATCGTCATTCTGTTACTCATATTATGTACAAACTAGAAAAGTCGCCATCCATTCATGCAGCCAAGTTCTTCGGTGCTTCCGTCGCCGGACCCTCAGGTGTAACATATGCCTTTGTCAAGCCACCATCGACGACGAAGTCAGTAGCATTCACGAAACTGCTCTCGTCACTAGCAAGGAAGATCACCGCATGGGCCTGTTCAACTGCCTCGCCAAACCGACCGGTAGGGAAATGCACCTCACGACGGAAGCGCTTTTCCTTGTCGTCACCAAGCCAATCCTGCAAGAGTGGCGTGCTATCTGAATGTCAGTTCCATCAAAGGGTTTAAACGGAGAAAGGGCAAAATATCAACATACTTGAGAGGTGCAGGACAAAGCGAGTTGAATCGGAACCCCTCGCGGGCATGAACAATAGCCAGCTCCCGGGTCATTGCCAATACAGCACCCTTGCTAGCGGTATACGCCAACTGCGGCGTCGCAGCCCCAACCAGCGCAACCATACTAGCAGTATTAATCACGCTAGCGCGCTTCTTGCCATGCCTCCGGAATGCGCGCACAGCATGCTTCGAGCCGTACCACACACCCTTCACATTGATATTCATTGTGCGATCCCAGATATCCTCAGGACACTCTTCCGAATCTCCATCCTTGGGGTGCATGATTCCAGCATTATTGAAGATGATATCTAGTCCACCCCAGGCATCAAGATGAGCGACTGCTGCTTCGACTTGGGACTCGTTTGACACGTCGACGACTTTAGTTTCGACTTTTCCGGTGCGGGTTGAGGCGGGCACGACACTGTTCACTTTGGACAGGGCTTTGTTCAGGCCCGCGTCACTAATGTCGGCCATTAGAACGGAGGCGCCTTCGCGGAGCATGAGGATTGTGGTTTCGAGGCCGATACCTCTGCTTTTTGTTAGTTGTGTCTTTTATTGTTTGGTTCGTCATAGTTGGATAGAGGTACATACCCAGCTGCACCGGTGACGATGGCATTCTTGCCTTCAAGACGCCCGACCATTTTGATATCGTGTGTGTGATATGATAGAAGGGGCTAGGGATAATGGAACAGTTTGCTGAAACAGTTTCAGTAGTTGACAAGAATGAATGAAAAAGACTGCAGAGGGTAGTCCCTCGATAATGGTCTGAATTTATACCATTTCTAATCTCCAATCTCCAATCTCCAATTTCCAGAGTCTACATTATAATTACCATACCGGAGCAGCTCCTACCGATATCCAGCCCACATGATAAGTTAGACCCAGCTAAACGGAGTCAGCGCGCTATATTCCCCCCTTTCCCTTTTTCAAATCATCTCGAATCACAAAAATGTGTTATGAGTTCAGAGCTCTATCGCGCTCCTACTACCCCACCCGACGGCGCGGTGAGCTCAACACGCGGGGCATGAGGGGTAGCTTTTAGGTGGATCTTCAACCATTCAGGTGCATGAAGCATTTTCCGGTCATATCATTGACTATCTTTGGTGGGGTCTCGGGGCTAAGGTAGCGCGGTCCCGGACCGCGCTATAGTGGGGGCAATTCGGATGAGCTTCAAACAATATTGGAGAGTAATGCAGATATGCATGGATGTTCACAGGGCTTATCTGTGTTACTCTCAATTCTAAATTATTTCATGAGCTGGCTATGGTTGGTTCTTGTCTTCGTGGCTCCGAGTTAAAGTTGTAGGAGACATGTTTGGATAGTTGGACAGTTGAATTGAACTAATGATATTGAGATTTCTTGAATTATTCCAGACTATAACACTATTTGATAATCTCCAGAACTGTCTACTTATGCTGAGCCGTCCTTGATGTGGTAGCTCTTCAACTTCACGAATCCGTCGTATCCCCGTGGGCCAAGAGTGCATCCCAGGCCAGATGTCTTCCAGCCGGTCCAGGCAAGGTCCTAATATCCAATATTAGCATCAACGAACCAATAACAGGTCGATTTAGAAATTGGCAAAATATCCTACCGGGCTTGGATAGTCACAGCGATTAATGAACACTGTACCGGCCTCAATGCGATCGATCAACTCCTCTCCGCGAGTGATATCCTTCGTCCAAACGCTCGCCGTCAGACCATATTCACTGTCATTCATCAATGTAATAGCTTCATCATCACTGGAAACCTTCATGATCGGCATCACAGGACCGAAAGTCTCCTCCTTCATCGTAGCCATGGTATGGTTGACATTGGTCAAAACAACCGGAGAGACAAAGTTGCCTTTTTGGATCTGAGGGTTGCTCGCCACCTCAAAGCTTAAGTTCTGAGGGGTAGAGTTGACAGCTCCTTTAGCAATTGCATCCTTGACGTGAGCAGCGATCTTCTCCATGGCCTGTGTTGAGATGACAGGGCCCGTTGTTGTGCTTTGATCCTGCGGATCACCAAGTTTATACCTGATTTGAATGTCAGAGATACATCCCCTTTTGAATGTAATCAAACTTACGATTTCAGCTCCTCCTGCACAGCGCAAACAAAGTCCTCGTAAATCTGCTCATGCACGTATACCCGCTCTATGGAACAGCAACTCTGTCCGGAATTGAAAACAGCCCCGTCCACAAGTTGCTCTGCAACGTGCTTCACGTCGGCATCCGGCCGAACATAAGCGGGGTCATTTCCACCGAGCTCGAGGTTGACGGGCTTGATGTGCTGGGCGGTTGCCTCCCTGAGTCTGATCCCACCTGCAGTTGATCCGGTAAATGAGACAGACTGGATTTCAGGAATCTGTGCCACCTGATCCAAAACATCTAGGTTTCCAATATGAATGACCTGAAGGACCTGAGGCGGAAGTCCTGCCTCAGTAAAGACCTCGAGCAGTCTATTTCCAAATAGCGGGGTCTGCGGTGAAGGGCGCAGGATAACGCTGTTACCAGCAAGAAGTGCCGGAACAAGAGCATTGACAGTAGTCAGGTAAGGGTACTATCATATTGATGAGCAAGTGTCTGGATACTTCAATAACAGTGCTCACTCACGTTCCAAGCTCCCGCAATAAGCACCGGTCCCACGGGAACACGCTTGACCGTTCGCCGGAAGCCCGCTTCAGGCCGACCAGGGAGATCGGATAGGCTCTCTTCGGCAATATCCATCAAGTACTCGGCGCGCAGACGCATGGTGTTGATCTCCGATGCACAATAACGGATAGGTCGCCCCATTTGCGCAGTCAGTTCGCCGGCCAGATCATCGCGGCGCTGTTCAATAATGTCCAGTGCTCGTTTCACAATGCTTTTTCGATCCTCCAGAGAGGTTGTTCTGTAGGACTCAAAGGCTTGCTTTGAGGCAGCAGCAACTTTGGTAGCTTCATTGAGTGAAGTGCCAGGCTGGTCAAAAATGACCTCGTGGGTTGAGGGACATATGGTACGAATTTGGTTTGACATAGCGTAGGTTGTGTATCTGGTCTGGGAAAAAGAGTGGAAGCCCAAAGGTGGGAGAGGGGGGACTTTATAGCGCGGAGCTGGTGCCGCGGTTGCAGTTCTGACAGCGTATCTTTTCTTTTTTAGCACTTTTTATTGTTTGTATCTCAATCTTATAACAATAGCACTTTATTTTGTATCTGCTCGATCTACTTGGTCTTCACATCTAATATGAATCTTGCAATTACCTTTGCTATCAACCACCCGTCATCTGAATCACCCATTCGGGATAACCCATTGCTATACAGTTCATCATCAAATATCCCATTATCGTGCCTGGCTTCGAGCAGGCATGACATGATACCTGCGTTGTATTCCGGGTGTCCTTGTACCGACAGCACTCGCTTGGGCAAGTAAAGACCCTGAACTTCACATTTTGGACTTGTAGCCAAATTTGTGCAACCGACAGGAGTATCAAAAACAATATCCCGGTGCATTTGTTGAATGCTCTGTATTTAATCAGAATCTCCCTCAATCGAACTTGTTCGGGTGTTTCTTCACTTACCAATGTATCCTTTCCAAACAGTTTCTTCCCGGCCTCAGTCAGGGTGAGCTTCTCGACAGAAATCTCCCATCCAGCTTCGTTTCTACCAACTCGAGCTCCCAGCGCCCGAGCAAGAATCTGATGCCCGAAGCAAATCCCAACCACGGGCTTCTTGTGTGTTAAGACAGTCTCGCGAACATTGCTTGTGAGGTCACGGATCCACTGATCGTCAGCCCAGGCATCGTGTTCTATCAAGTAATATTAGTTGCCCCATTCGGATATTGAAATGGATGGTAACGTACTGCTTCCAGTCAGAACAACGGCGTCGACGTTCTCTAGATCAGGAAATCGGTTATTGTGCACCATCTGATGTTCGCTAAATTCCACCGTAATATCTTTGAGCTTCTCGGATATTTCCAAGTCTTTGAAGGCTTGTCTCAAAATGTCTTGGAATATTGCGAAGTAGTCGCCATATTTTTGGAGAACAGGCTGGATAGGCGTGTCGCACACGAGAATGGCGACATGAATGCGAACAGAGGGTGTCATACTGGAGATGTGTACTTCCGCTTTTAGATTTAGATTCAGAATGAACAATGAACCCGTCAGGTTAATACGACGATTTAATCTCAAGCCCGTCTCTCAAGTTTTGTATCATTTCAACACGAGGATAAGCGCGCGCTGTGTACTGAACCCCACAGCGCGGACCGCGGAGCATCTCCGTGAGAACATCCGGCCATAGCTTCACCGATGACATCCATTGTTTTGCGTGTAAAGAGATTACACGCTATCGTTTATCGCCTGCACCGCGCGGGATTATTTTCGACCTGAGAAATGCAGCGCGGCATTAATGTTGACCACATATTGGACCCGCAACTTCAGCAACCCACTATTCACTCAATTGTATAAAGTCACAGGGGCCGGCGAAATGTCTCTTTCAATTCAAACCCCAACTTTTGGACTCAGTTAGTTATTCCTACTGCGATTGTTGAATTTTTTTCAGAATGACCACACCCACCATGATCACGGTTGAATCACTCCCAAACCTTCTCGCCGACGACATCAAAGTCAAAGTCGCCGGTATCGACAGCGATGGTGTGCTTCGTGGCAAGGTTATGGCCAAGGAGAAGTTCCTTGGGATTGCGGAAAAGGGATTCGGCTTCAGCTCAGCTCTTTTCGGTTGGGATATGCACGATATGCTATGGACAACCGATGCACGGGTCGCACCCCGGAATCAGGGTACGCAGATTTCCTGGCTATTCCAGATCTGAACTCGTTCCGCCGTCTCCCGTGGGAAGAAAACATTCCTTTCTTTCTAGTGCGATTTCTTGATGATACACGCCCGGTTTCTGCAGATGGGAGGAGTATGCTGAGGAGCCTGTGCGATAAGCTTGCGGGAGAGGGGCTTCATGCTTTTGCTGGAGGTAAGTTGCAGGAAAATCTGGCGAAGGAATCTGAAAGGCTGATACCAGACAGTCGAACTTGAATTTATGAATTTCCAGACTCCTTCCGAGGACGGATACGGCAGTGCAGGTTCCCAGCATCCCAATCTCGCTTCTTTCCTAGAGAAAAATGCACCTAGTGCCCTGCGACCAATTACAGCTGGCATGTTCTGCTATAGCTCAACACGACCAGTTGCGAACAAGAAGTACTTCTATGACATTTTCAATACTAGTGCGCAGATCAACTGCGGCATTGAAGGATGGCACACTGAGGGCGGGCCCGGTGTGTATGAAGCAGTATGTCATCCATCCTGGTCATTCCATGAACTCCTCTGATACTTCACATAGGCCTTGAAGGTTTCCGAGATTAGCGAAATGGCAGACAAAGTGGCATTATTCAAGTGAGTGCCGCAAATGCCGCAAATCATCTGTTGTTTCCACAGCTAACAAGTCGACAGGCTTTTAACCAAATCCCTAGGAGTTGACCACGGCGTTACACCATGCTTCATGGCTAAGCCCATGCAGGGCATGCCAGGTAGCTCTGGACACATCCACATCTCACTTGCTGACAAGGATGGGAAGAACCTGTTTGCAAGAGAGACACCCGAGGCAAACCCTCAATGGTCGGACATCGCACACCTCTCCGAAACAGGACGTCATTTCCTTGCCGGGCTTCTGGAAGCTCTGCCAGATATCATGCCATTGTTTGCACCGACTGTGAACTCATACAAGCGCCTCGTTGAGAACTACTGGGCGCCAGTGCACATTAGCTGGGGACTCGAGGACCGGATTGCCTCAATCCGTCTTATCACGCCACCAGTATGCAAGCCAGGTGCCACGCGTTTCGAAGTCCGCATTCCTGGAGCTGATCTCCATCCCCATTATGCACTGAGTGTCATCCTTGCAGCTGGCTGGAGGGGTGTACAGAAAAAGCTTGAGATCACGGTCCCACCGATGTCTGCACGCACGCCAGGGGACCGTCCAGAGCTTCTTCCCAATACTTTGGACAAGGCTTTGGACCGTTTCTCAGCTCCGGGAAGTATTGCACGGGAGATTCTGAGTTCAGAGTTTGTAGATTTCTTCACAGCCACAAGACAACACGAATTGGGTCTTTGGAGAGAGGCTGTCACTGATTGGTAAGTCGGAGATATTGTGCTGCCTATGAATGCAAGACTAACTCGGTTATAGGGAGTTGAAGCGATATATTGAAATAGTGTAAATTATAAATTATTGCTGAGCGTTGCGAAGCAAATTGATTTCATGACCGGGTATTCAGGTCTGAATCCTCGATTTTTCTTTCAAACAAATCAAATTTTTCTCTTACTATACCTGATTAATCTTGACCGATTCAAGTTGATTAGTTCCTTAAACAATCAAACAATCACATCTAGGAAAGAGGAGACAGGAAGTCTGTTTAGTCCATGGTGAACCAGCTTTGATATTTGCCGTGCATACCTAGGCCCTCCCCCGGTAGGCTCATATGATGTACAGCAACTGCTTCGCTCTGTATATATATACAGCTCTTATTGAGATGAAGTCCGAAAAGTGACCTCTCAGTATGGAACAAGGTCCCCACGCCCGCATATGGTATCACAACCAATGAAGTCTTTCGTACTTGTGCATGTTTCTGCAGGTCATGGGCTTGTATCGAATAAGATTTAAGCCAACCGGGAATAAATACTGAGACTAGTGTGTCACCTCCTTTTGTACAAACGATCCCCATGAACCTGTCCTCATGCATTCAATCTTACTCAGAGGCTAAGATACTGGAGGAACCTTCCAAGGTTGCTAGGCTTTTAGGTTTGGGGGTGCGTTTAGGCCGCCCACGTGATGATCGGCAAAAACACTGGGGCTCGTCCGGGGGTTGATCCCCAGCCTGAACCTACATATGGACTCATGTGTATGTACATAGGAACCATCAATTCATAAAGGCATTCTGTTCGCAAAGCCAGCGCGATGGCTTCGAACCTTCCTCTCCCTCTCCCGCCGCGCACCCCTACTCCGCCAGCGGACGACGAATATGCTTCCCAGATCAACTCAGGGATACCCATCGATCGCAATTCCCTATCGCCGCTTAAGGCTTCCTTTCCGAAGGGTATCATGGATTCTGAAAGCAGGGATACCCTGAGCCCCACGAAGTCCTCTTTCAATCTGCCAACCTCGCCTGAAGATGCAGAGACACCGATCGAGAATGGCTCGGGCGACACCTCCCCCGCCGGGCCATTCAATTTCAATACCACTGTTATGGCGAAGAGCCCAGTGGTCAAATCGGTGAGTTGAATCGTGCTAGTGACCTGTGATGTGCGGCGGTGCTAACTTATTCCCTCGTGTTTCAGAACATGGGACAACGTCGTGGCCACAAGTACAAACACAGTAGCATCTCACACCAGATCTTCCTCGAGCCTCCTCCTCGCGCGCCCCTAGCCCTTCCGAACTCCCTGCCGATGCCAACACTGAAAGAATGCCGATCTAGCATGTCGAAGGACCAAAAGACTCGCTTCTGGTGGAGTCTATGCCATATGTTCATTGCGGCGTACACACTCTGGACCGCACATGGGTCCCTGGCGATGACAGCGTTGTCGCATCTGATTCTATTTGATTCACTCGGGGCTCTCTTGTGCGTTGCTGTTGATGTGCTGGGCAATTTTGAAGTTTGGAAAAGATCGACTATCCGCCACCCGTTCGGCCTTGAACGTGCAGAAGTTCTAGCCGGATTCGCAATGGCTGTGCTTCTTTTGTTTATGGGGATGGATCTCATCTCCCACAATCTGCAACATTTCCTCGAAAAGGCTGGTCATGAGCCTCACCACCAGCATGACCATGATCGGGTTTCTCTGGGTAGTGTGGATGTGACTGCAGTTCTAGCTATTTCATCGACGCTTGTGTCAGCAATTGGTCTCAAGAACCATGCTCGAATTGGGAAGGCTATGCGATTTGGGTATATCCAATCTCTTCCATCGGTCTTGAGCAACCCGTCCCACTTCCTCACCCTCTCTTGTTCAACTCTGCTGCTTCTTTTACCTCTGGTCTCAATCCGGATCTATGATTGGCTCGATAAGCTCCTATCTGGCACCATTGCATTCTCAATGTGCTTCCTAGGAACTCGCTTGGTGAAGACTCTAGGGTCCATGCTTCTCATGTCCTACTCCGGCCAAGGAGTGTCTGATGTGATCAAGGATATTGAAGCCGACGCTGCTGTGTTCGGCATTGATGATGCTCGATTCTGGCAGGTCCATTATGGGCTATGTATGGCAAACCTCAAGCTCCGAGTCAATGGTTCTGAGGATAATCTTGTCCGGCTACGGGAGAAGATATCCAGCTTGATTCGCAACAGGCTGGGTGGCGGGTATGGCACCGGGGGTCAAAGATGGGAGGTATCTTTGCAATTCACGATTGAGCGTGCATGATCTCTTCAATTTCGATGTCTGATATCTTATCTGTTCAGCTGTGCATATGTCATTCATTCTACGGGATACCCCTGTATATTATGAACGTTCACTTCATAGCCAACATAGATGTTTTCAAGTTCACAAAATCAGTGTACGAGAGTATCTAATTAATGGGTGTGCAGTGGCACGTAAGAACGAAATCAGCTAGTAGCTCGTCGCATATGTTTGATCATCTCCGACTTGTTGCATATAGGGTGCCAAGCCACTCTTTCTCTACACTGAAAAGGTCTAAGCGATGATCACCAGGAGAGCCAGAAGAACAAATAGCTTGGGCCGGGTGACTCGCTGTTTGGAGTCATATAGAAGGTATTTCCAACAGAAGGGTTAAACATCAAACGAAGAGCAAAGGTACTGCAGATATGAAACAGTGCAATATGTTCATCTTCGCAGCCATGCACGAGATCAAACCGCCCCGAGTCTGGCTCGAAATGCACCTTCTGGGGGATTCAGACAGTATGATTTAGGTCAAATTATTTATAGTCATTTGCTTTCAGCCTCAAGAGTCTCACCTTGCAGTTGTTGTCGAATATCTATTTTTAACCTCTTGGTCTCGGTCTATCGACCACACCATCCTCATATACAAAGCTCATGCAGTATCCACCTGTTCTTTTGTTGCGAGAGTTCATAAACTCTATAATCTGACCGTAGAAACAGAGCAACACTACAATCGAGATGTGGGGGTTATCCCCAACATATATACGGGGAGCTAAGTACACCTCATCTCCAGATATATATTTTTTTAGAGGCAAGTAGCGGAGTTTCTCCGCCGTATCTTGTACTGAATCCCAATTGACTAAGAACCTTTAACGTGTATGACTCGAGCACCTGTTTAGTGGGTTTAACGGCGAATATATCAGTTGAATATAACGCATTCATAGGTGAAGCCCGGGAGTGAAGTCTCAGTTACGTGATAGCAGTGGGGATTACATAGTACATGAAGTTCAGATAGTTATGACCTAGAACAGCCCGGGTGATATATTATAGTCAAGAGCAACGTCAAGCTTTCTCTTCATGAGGCAAAGGTACTAGGTTCGTCCCCTTATGACGAAAGAAGTGTGTAGTTTAATTGCTTGTTGGACCATGTACTGCTGGGAGTCTCCCTCACCCTCCCTTCTTCCACTTTTCTTCTATTCCCTATGTCTGAGATTGAGTTGGAAATACAATATCTTTTTTTGGCGTTTGATTGGGGATGAAGTTCTTCATATAAGAGCATCGGATGATCGGGGTCTCTGGACGGCAAGAAACATTATGATATGGAGTATAATCTCATGGGAAACATAGTCCAGGAAGTACTCGGTAATATCACGGAGATATCTGTGAGTTAAAGCCAAGTAAAAATACATAAGAGAAAACAGACAATAAAAGAATGTAGAAATCTATCGCCAATCCAAGGCCTTCATAGAATCCAACGTGGCACATCGACAGCCGTCATTGCATAAAAATCAATTTTACACCTCTAGTAGAAACCGTGGCAAGCCAGCTTGAAGGAGACATAGCCAGGTTCGAGGATGTCAGGAATACACTTGCCCTCAGTGAATGGGCCGTGGTGGAAAGGCAGGAAGTGCACAGGCTCGCCAGAGCAGCCCTCATTGTTCCAGATGATCACACCTTGGCAGAAGAACGTGTCCTTGGTGTCCAAGCGAGCGCGGAATGAATAGTTGTCAATGCTCCAGTCATTGTTGACAGGAGTCTTGTCGCAAGTCACGGGAGTGGCGCTCACATCAGCAGAGAACTTGGGCTCGCCGATTGCGGGATAGCCAACGTCGCACTTCTCCCAGGACAGGAAACTGACGGTGGCGACAGGGAAGCCGGCGTAGACAGTCATGGCAAAGGTAGCCGCGGTGGCAAGGGTCTGTGGTGTGTGAGCAAGTTGTATACATCTGGGTGTAGACGATAAATGGGTGGAATTACCTTAGAGAAGTGCATCTTGGTCAGGGATTGCGGTTGTTTGGTAAAGAAAGTAATTCTCCGGCTAGGAAAGGCGTTAAAGAGAGTGTTGATGGTGTGAAAATAGTTAGCTTGAGGAATTTGACGGGGAACTGCGTCTCATGGTATTTAAGAAGCCATGGTACGCGACGATCATTATGGTTGGGTAAACATAGTCTCAAAACACAGGCTTTTCGAGCATGTGGAATGTAGGAGTTTAATTGAGTATTTAGTCTTTCGCATCAAAGGAGCAAAGGCACTGGAGGGAAGGGGAAAAAAGGGTTGGAATGTGTGGGAGCTCAAAACTGTCTTGGCGGGTAAATGTTGGTCTCCCACAAGAATGAAGCGCAGGTTTTACAAAGGGCCAAATTATCTCTCCAGTTTAGTGGTAGCCTTAATTGTAGCAACCCTCACCTGATTCCATATAATTGTCAATTGGGCTTGGCTGGTACCTATTTGATCCCAGGGTGGGCTATCCAGCAAACCAGTTGTATACTGCCCAGCTCGCGCGTTCAGCGCAAGCCTCAACTGCGAGGATTTTAGCAATAAGAGAACGGGATCCGAAATAGCAACAAATCAAGGAATCACATGTATATATTTCTAGAGTACTTTCACCGGGGATCATACTCCACCTCTCCCATCAATAAGAAACTCTCCACGGAAATACCTCTCCATTCCTTCTTCCCATCCACCATTTTGAAGAATTCAGGCTCGAAATCGATGACCTTCTTCCACTCCCGCACCAACCGACGCCAGTAGCACACCTCCGCTGCAGGAGTGAGATACCTCTCGCGGAAAATTTGAACGCTGTTATCCGCAATTCGTCTGGCCTCATCATCATGAGACAAAAGTTGCTGCATCTGTTGTTCCAAATCTGACCAGTCACGCCTCACCTGGACGAAGTTTTGCTCGGGCCCTGACGACTTCATAAGATGATAGTAGTGCTGGATCCACTCCAGCTCGTGCGAGACAACCACACTCCTGCAACTCTGGAGATACTTCAGACGGCCAGAGTACGTATTCCCTTCTGTCTGCGCGACATATTGATACTCACAGTGCTGCGGCATAGTCTTGTAGTCATTTTTCAGACTGTCCTTGTCGTTCCACACAAGGGCCTTCACATCCGCCCAGGACTTGTTTTTCGTCACTTGAATAAGCTTATCCCGGATCGTTGGGCCCATGATCGGCACTCCACGCCAGAGCAGCTTGGCAGTTTTATTACTCCAAGTCAGCCCTTCCTCTTCCGCCCATTCAGCCTTGGCTTGAACTTCGCGTGTAGACCCAGCTTTAGTCTCTGGCCAGGACCAGTATCCGAAATCCGGGATCAGCCAGATAGACTTGTCTTTTGCGCGACGGGCGTATCCCCAGAGGGGTAATTCATCAACCGAGTCGTCTGTATTGAAAGCGAATTCAATATTAGGGAGCGGCTCTGGCGATGAAAGGATCGCTCGATTTATCGCAGACAGTGTAGCTTTTTCTCGGGACCAAATGGAGCCTTCCTTGTCGATCACATACAACTAGACCATACTTAGCATTACTTTGGTGACCCACGAGCTCATGTTGCTTACCTGCTGATCATATATCATAGCTCGAATGTATCCATTTCGGGCTGGGATCGCATCCAGTTCCTTGAGAGATATTGGACGAGATTTGCGATCATCCCTGGCGCGATCAAGTTCGGCGTATAGATCGGGGAATGCCTGGTCACATTGGTCTTGTGTGAGCATCAGGTTATCTCTATCGCGCTGATAATTCCAGAAGCCATCAAATAAATGCTCTCTGTTTGGCTTTTTAGCAGGAAATTTATCAGGTACTCCATTGTATGTGAGTGGTCGTGATCGTTCAGGTTGATAGTAAATATAGAGCCCTAGGACTATAAGGATGCAGGGCAGAAGAGCCGCCACCCGTTTTATTGTGGTCGGCATACCTCTAAGAAGGAAATAGATTTTAGATGGCGACAGAAGGTCCCGCCTTCAAAGGGAAAAATAACAATGGTGATAAGACTAGGCGCGCTAGTTAGATACTAGTTAGATCTTGGCGTTAGCCTGCTCTATTGGATGGGGCTGAGCGTCGAAGTTTATCAAGATTGTTTACAGGGGGCCTAACAGCTGAGATTTCCGAGGTGTCCGAGACATGATTTCAGCCTTCAACTGGGTTTGAGAATTCATCTGTACAATAAACAGTGAATCCGTGTGCTTATGCAAAAGGGGGAAAGTGGGCCAAATAGAGCGATCTCGCTTGAAGATGAGATATGGGACATCTCGATAGATATATAGGTACATATAATAGGTAGCTTCAAATTGCTTTGGATGAACGCTTCTTATTACGTGATAGCTAGAAAATAGCCATGCAGTTAGGTGGACTAGACACTCCCCGGGAGCAGTTCAACGGACTGCTCGAGATAAAGAAACTCCAACGATCCAAACGCTTGCACGTCGCAGCCAGCTCCTCCAAATCAAACATCTCCCCAATAGGAACACCCCACCCAGCCAAAAGATGATGATGCAAATCAAACTCCCGGTTCAGAGCCGGGTAAACCTCAAAGCTAACAGCATCAGACGCAACAGCCGCAAAATGATTATCCCATATAAAGCGCAGCACTCGCTCACTCTGTTCGATTCCAGCATGCTGCGGCATGTCCTGCTGACTATAAGCCACCCGGTCTTCGGCCGACATCTGCTCCCACGTCCCAGGCAAGCCAACCCGCAAGAAAAAGATATCGCCCTTCTGGAATTTGATGTTGCATTCGCGCGCGATCTCCTGCACCTCGTCCAGTGAGATCATCTGCCGACTCAGCGCGTTTACGCTGATGCCTTTCTTCTCCGCGTAGGAGACGTAATCGATTAGCACGCCGCGCCCAGCAATACCCTTCTTCGCCCAAAACCCAATGCCAATACGCGACGAGTTCTCGTCTAGAATTTCCTCTGCGGTCGTGCCGCCATAGAAGAGGCGTCTGTCTTGGTCATCTGATGTTGGAGCTGGCGCATTGTGGTGCCGGAGGCCGTCCCACTGAGAGGACTGCTGTGGGTTGAAGTGATACTCATCATCGAAGGCGACGCCCTCGGCGACCCATTTGACACGGTGCTCGAATGGTTTACGGCCGAACCCTGGTTTCTCGAGTCGTGAGTCTTATAGTTTATTATTTCATTTGACGATCAGGTGCCCTTGTTTTACCTGGTGGGCTCAAATTCTCCATGTTCCAGTTTAAGCAGACCCGCTCGCCGGACTGGATTTGTGTTCGCGCGGCGTGAGCAACTAGCTCGGGCGTTAGAAGGCGGAGCATTCCCAGTCCTTCTTCTTCTGACCCTGCAATGCCAGGCCAGAACCGACATTTGTCAGGCAGATCATCGAATGTCTCTGGGAGATTGGGAATGCCAGACATGGTTCAGCCTGGAGGGGATCGGAGAAGTAGATTAGCTGAACAACTCCAGAGCTTCAAATCGCAAAGGTTAATTTATGTAGTGAGGCGCTGGATCGGTTGTGTATACCCCTCACTCGGAGGAAGTCCGGTCCATTGCCCTTGACGTTGGTATGACCCCCGCTATGAGAGCTCATTGCCAATTTAGTCGAATCAAACAGAACAAAGCCTCAATGGTCTTCTTGGCAGGGCTTGTTCTGGGTTTGACTATTCGATGCGGCTCAGGACTTAGAAGTTGCGATCGAGCGAATGAGTAAATCAAAGTCGCCATTGAGATACTAACAAAGCAAGGGCTAAGATAGCAGACCTGATCAAGTCTTACCGAGAGAGCTGATATCAAAGCTGAGCTCTGATGCAAGGGATTCAAACCAAGAAGGCCCATCGATGGTTGTACTACGCCCATCGGCCCTATCATAGCTACCCTGGTATCGTAGGAATCAGGAATGCATACATATGTACCCTTGTGTCGTTCCTTCCCAACCTGCGTACAACAGCCCTGGAGTAAACTAATGAGGTAATTGAAATCACCTTCCAACCTTGGAAGGCAGGAAGGCGCGACGCCCCCACCTGCGAGTATAAACCCTCCCCCCTCTTCTTCCCCTTCCTCCCTCTCCAAATATTCCTATTCAATCAAGATCATCTCCTATAGGCTATTGCTTGTTGATATAGCTTCTGCTATGTAGTGCTTGGGGGAGAGAGAGGAAGAAGAATCATTGTGTGTTCAATCTATGAAGAGCAGGGTATTTATATCCTGAATCTGGCAAACAAGCGCTCAGTCTGCCAGCAAGCCTGTAGAAATAGGCTTCAACATGGGAGATGGGATCATCCAAGACTTGTCTTCCATCTCTACCTTCGAGAAGAGTTTGTGATGCATATACTATGACCATGTTTGAATTCATTAAAACCCCCAGGCTGGCAAAATGGAGTTGGTATCAAAGTCGGATCTCCTGTTGTACGCAATGAATGTAGTAAAAGGCCCATGTCGTATGCATATAGAAGCTACAGAAAGTAAAGTACAGGGTGATCACGCCAGAAGGGCACAGCAAGCAAAAAGGTTACATGTCATCCAGGTCGTCATTAGCGTTCGAGCCACCCTTTTGCATATCCGACATTTCATACTCTTCCTTTCGGTCTGAAGACCCAGCACGCTCCCCAGCCGACATAGCAATCGCCTGGCGGCCAGTGTCGGAGGATTCGAGGAACTCGCGCAAGCGGCGCTTGCCTTCTTCCAGAGCTTGCTGGGAGGCGGCCTCGGTCATCTTTAGCATGGGACCCCACAGGTTGAGCTGATAGGTGATGTATGCGCCAATGGCAAACGCAAATAGCAGGATAAAGTAAGCCGGGTTGCGCAGAACTAGAGATAGAAAGTACGTCAGTATGCGAAAATGAAGGATTCATCAATGAAAACTTACCAGCCCAGATTTCATTCCAGCCTAGAGCCAGCAACAAACCGTAGAAATACAAGGGGACCTGTGTCATACCGCCGATGGCACTCCGCTTGGCCTCGACGTAGACACCGTCCGCGGCCTTCTTAAATCGTACAGTGAGCTCTTGGCGCTTCGTATCGCTAAGAATTGTCATCTCTTCTTCTAAACTCTTGCCCTCGTGTTCGTCCACACCCCCGATGGGGGCCAGATCCTCCTCGTCCGCAGATGTCGCGGTGCTTGGAGTGTGTCCAATCCATCGGTCAAGCGGGGGTGGGGCAGTTGTCCTTTCCAGACGGAAACGAGACAGAAGAGGAATCACCGTCAAGGTAGACTCGCGAGCACGGGTGTAAATGCCCTCGATATCATCAGTTGGGCGCCAAATGCGTGGCACACCGGCTTCGTCATAGCGGAACTTGTCCTCGAAGTTCTCCCGAAGCTTGAGGAGCAAGTTGCCCTCACTCATCTCCTCTTCAATCTTGGCGCGGAGAACACCCCAAGACTTACGGCGCAGTCGCCAAAGGCCAACATCGACCTCATCAATGCTGGCATCGAAGCTGCTCGCACGGTCCGTGAATCTCCGCTCAGCGTCAAGAACAGTCTCTTCAAACAAGTTCCAGATCCGATCCCAGAAGTCCTTCTCGGTAGGCTTCTCCCCGTTCTCGGGAGCACCACCGCCGGCTCTTCCAGACCCGAGGGCATTGAACTCGAGGCCCACAGATTCACCCAGACGAGATTGAACCCACCGCTCGACGCGGGTGGCCAGACGTCTCATTTCATCGCGGCGCAGTCGGGCACTGACCTCAGCCAATTCTTTCTTATACAAAGATAGCTCTTGCTTGTAGTTGCTCCAAGAAGCTCCATCCACCAATGTGGAGCGGGCGACCTCCTCGAACTTCTCCAACGAAGACTGGGCCTCCTTGGTGACTATCTCGGCGAAGTCGTAGCTAGCCCCCTTCTTTTGGCCATCCTTCACAGCAGCACTGACTGAATCACTGAAGTCGCGGATTCCAGACTTGTGAGCTGCCGACAGCTGGCCGTGGAAAAGTGCCTTGAGGCGGGTATCGACCTTGCCCTGAAGCTCAGCGCTTTTCCGTTGGTAAACACCCTTGTGGTATCGGCTAGCTTCCGTCTCAAAGCTCTTTAGGGTCTTGACGCGCGCAGCACGCATGGCAACACCAAGTCCCCCTAGAACCTCAGGCGCACCAACACGCACGGACTCGGCCTGCTTATCTTCAAATGCGATGATCGCTTCATCAAAGCCGATCATTACCTCGCGCAGAATTTCGTCACAACGGAATTGCGCAAGCAACTCCTGCTGTGTGGGCAAGTCCAAGTCCTTATTATTGACGATTTGATCCCAGATTCCCTCCGCATAATGTGAGAATCCGTCGGCCGGGATGCGGCGATGGTATTCAGGTAGGAAGACTCCTCCTTCGGAGAACTCGCCCTTAAGGGCATCCCTCTTTGGGTCTCGGTGACCCTCCCGGAAACGCAGGCCAAGCTTCTTTGCCTCGGTCACAAACTGGTCAGGCTGATAACCCTTGTGCGGCAGTCCGTAGAATTGGAAATCAAAGTAATCGTGAATCGTCGACTTCTCCAAGCCTGCAGGTTTCGATATAGTGTCCCAGAGACGGGAGAGGTCTTCCAATAATGTCTTCTGCAGGTTCTTGAGTGGTGTGGTACCGATGAAATCACGAATGACGAAGAATAGGAGGGATCGGTGGGTGGTACTATAGAGAGATTAGCATCCAAAGTGTACAGATGTGGAGACGACCAAAAGGATACATACTGTTTATCCTTTAGGAACAGTTGCAAGTTAACTTCGAACACGGTCTTCAACAACCCCATGTTGGCTCCCTGATACAACCCCACCTGGTGTTCCCAGATGTTGACAATGAGGACCTCACTCGTCGCAAGCGCAAAGAGCGCACTCTTGCGCTCGAAGTCCTGATCCTCGCCTCTCTCGCGACCGTCAGTTCCCTCCACGTCCATGACCAAGATGTTGTCAGCCATGCGCTCCGCCGCGCCAACTTCGCCCTGCTTCTTGTTGTTCGAAAGCCAGATACCCTTGGTCGTCTGCCTTCTCTCCAGCTCCGACATCACGGAGAACTCGGTGCCGAATAGGTGATTGAGCAGTGTGGACTTTCCGGTGGATTGCGAACCAAACACGGAAATGAGATGGTAATTGAAACCAGCCGGCGTGACATTCTCAAGGGACAAATACTTGGACAGGTTGGGACTATAGTGATGCCATCAGCATTCAAGCTTTATAATTAGATGAACCATAGCAGAAGGAGGTGGCCGTACTTGAACTCCTTATTCTCATCAATCACCTGCACGCCGTGCGAATAGGAGGCAGAATCACCTTCGGCGCCGATGGAAGCAAAGTGGCCATTTGAGAGAATCGGCGGCGCAGTTGGACTCCTTTCCAACCCTGAGGGGCGTCGTTCAGCCATGTTTATCTTCTGCTTTGTGTATGTTGGGGAGGGGGGGGGTGTTGTGGCAAGAGAGAGTTGAAATAGCAAAGATATACTAGTATCTAGAGGACCATGCAACTTGAAAAAGCAACAGACTAATCAAACGGAGAAATGGGAATAATTCAGGGATCACAAGGGTTCACGGGTTCACGGGTTCATTGAGATGATCAGTCCCGAGGTCGATGCTGGGGAAAGCCGTCTTACATAAACCCCTTTAGCTCCCGGCAACGTCACATCTAGCCCACTCCAGGGCTCTAGACTTGATTTCTTGATTTCTTTTTGGTTCTAATCTATTCTATTACATCTTATTCCAAGGTTAACAATAAATTTAGAGCTCATCTCTTAAGGGTATTGACACTGCAAGAAACCAATGCTACTTTCCATTTGGATTTGGATTTGACCAGTGTCTGGCAACCCGTGGACAGATCCAGTTCCCCCCCCTCCACGGTCATGCAATCAGATGATAGAAGTCGCATTTCTTTGAACGGAATACATATATTATCAACTGTTCTAATTTACAGCATATAAAACATTCAGACAGTTAAGTAAAGCCACAAGGGTATCTACATTCATGGTGGTGGCATACCATCTGACCAGTTCAGATTCCAGCCCTGATCAAGTCCGAGGTCAACACTGCTATTTGGCCACATGTACTGCCCAAAATCATCGAAAAGTCCACTAAACGTGTTGAGCTCCAGGCCAACATATGGGTTTGCCACTGTTTCACTCCTCGAAAGCCATGGCTCGTCTGGATATCCAGGCGCCATCCTGGGCGTGAGGGAAGCACCATTCAAGGCATCAGTGTTGGTACTTGGTGCATATTCAGGGTCAGACATCGGCGGCGTATAGAGCTGACTAGGACATTGTCTTGAGCAAGAATCCTCCGCCCCTATTGTGCCTGATACTGATGTCTGCTCCTTGCTTTTCGGGCGACCCTTGGAAAACTTGGTTCCTGCCCTGACCGTAATCGTACCAAAATAGGGCACTGTAATTTTGCAGCTCGAGATGCGGCTCCAATCGTGCTTGTAATCTTTGGCGTCGTGGATGGCGCCGAGAATGTTCGCAGACTCGGCAGCAACCGAGCCTCCTAGCTCTGTTGCCGCCTGACGAAGGATCTCAACGACCTTCTTTACCATATCCCAATCTTGTTCATCTTGCTCTTTACTTTGATCTGGATTCTCATCGGAATAGCCTTGCAGGTGGATTATCAAAAGAAGACATAGCGTGAAGGCCATAAAGTCGATCATTTTGCACAAATAGGGCTTGATGTTAGATCGAAGGACCTTGTATAGAACGAGTCCTTCTCTTGCGGATTGAATCGCGATCGTGTGGCAGGGACGGAATTGAGGCTCAAGGGGAGATCGCAGCATCAGGGGGAGATGGAGAAAAGCACGCAGTAGCTTGAGCATGAATTGCAACGGGACCCTCTCAATGTAGTGTTCCCGTTTCTCATCCTGACAAGGCTCTGCGGTTTGTAAGTGACTTGGCATAGATTCCCAAGAATCCTGCAGCTCTTGGTCCAGTCGTAATGTTGCTGCAAGAGTCATCTTGGAAGGGTCTTGGTTTCGGTCAACCATATGTCCCGTGATGATGCCAATGCGCGACACGTATTCCTCTGGAGCTGATAAGTTTGAATTGAGACGTTGCTCCATCTGTGGCAAAAAGAATTGATCGCTGATACCATAAGGCAGGCCAAGAATCAAACTCAGGACTCGATCCGATGTTGCCAGGGAACACCAGATTTTCAAGCGCCTTTCATAAAAAGAGTCGTCTGGCCTTGGAACCTTGGTGGACAGATGCATTCCAGCTAAATGGGCAAACTCGATTGCCCGACGGATTACCAGCCAAGCTTTCCGGAGCCGGCCATCAGTCATATGAACCCTGTGGAGCAACATCTGGCATTCTATACCGGGCAGGGTAGCCGCGAAGTTGTCATCACGGACGATTAAACGGTCCACCATCTCAATGCATTGATCGGAGAATTTTTGAGGTTCAAAGGGCACGGTTAAAGTACCAAAGTCAAATTCAGACGGGGCATGAACCGCACTGATACATAGGCACATAAGTGCCTTAGCGACTTCGGCGGGAGCCACTAGATTATCGCGACAATTTTCATTAAAAACGAGTCTGTCGGCATGTTGATCGAACAGCCCTGGGAGATGATCTTGCCACACGAACCAATGGAAGGACGTATTGATTATCTTATTCATATCCTCTGCAGGAGGGAGGAGAGACATGAGTTCTGCACGCACCGCTTCGGCCTTTGGCGACATGTCCTGAACACCGGCGAATTTATCATTATTCGACGAGTCCTCTTGGCGGCTCACGACATAGTTGTCAAACAGTTGTAGTATCGGCGCATTGCAAATCTGGTCACTGGATGGGCCTAGTTCATCTGGCTCGGTAGCCAGTGGCCTTGAATGGGCTTTTATACCGTCCGCTGGTTAATGTCAGTCACGCGACAAGAATCCACACGCATCCGGGAGATACCAACATTGATTTATCCCATGGTGCTCACAAGGTGGAGTGTTAGAGTCCCGTTGGTCTAGTCGCTTGGTTAACCTCTCTACGAGGCTCTCCAGGTGCGCGACTCGCTCGCGGAGACTGTATGGCTGTTCGCCAAGTTGGGAGTTCTGCTGGTAGCCGGACGATGGAGGGGTAATAACCGCATGTTCTTGATCAACACATTTCATGCCTCTGGACCGACACTCATTACAAATTTCTGGACGGTTGGGGTTGAATGTGCATCGTATCTTGCGTCGCCGACCTATAATTGAACGATATTAGCGCAGGCATATCAAATATCTATTGACACATACACTCTGTGCAACTTCTCGTGCCCTTTCTCATCCGCTTTCGCGCCGGTTCTTGGTCTGTCCAGGATTCCATCTTAACCCGTACAGCGAAGAGGCAAGGATAAGACCATCTGTCCACCGACGTTGTGTTGCTAAAGAAGCTGATCAGACCAGTGACCGTTGTAGGTTGTGCAGCATTGTCCTTTAGCGAGAAACAGTCTTGGGAGGAAGATAAGATGACAGATAAAGGGGCACAACAGCTCTGAAGAGTCAAGGTAGCCCTGGAGCTTAAATTAATAATCCTACGTAATCTTAAACAAAAGAACAAAAAAGAAGTCCACGGTCATAGAGTCGTCTCTCATAGATGATATTCATCCGTCAAGTTCGGCCGAAGTGGTGCGATATTTTCGCCCGGGCCAATCAGGTGCAATACGCTTCCTCCGTTAAGTCCGTCTACGATACAGAGTATGTACTCCGTGTATAACTAGTTATCTACCATCTACATGACCATGTTGAGGATTTCTCACAATGCTATTTATTCTATGATCTGCTTTTTGATACCTCCTTCTAATCCACCTCTATCCATCCCGATCCGCGTCGATCAGTCTACCAAGTACCGAGAGGATGCAAGTACTGGATCATATCCGCTGCCTGTAGTTTATGGTAGTTCTGCCCGGGGTGATAATGACTCCACCAAATACAGGAGGTTCCATTCTCATTGAAACAAATGGCATTCGGAAATCCTTATGTCTGAGGATCATCCAGATCTTCGGCATAAAGGACCAAGGTATCGTAAAGAACCATCGTAGTCTACGATCGGGTTAGTTTTATGAGAACAATGCAAGAGATCAGAACGTACGTCAGTCTGACTCGACCTAAAGTCATTGATCATTGATTGAAGGCCTTATTGTAAGTCTTCACCCACGTAGCATGTGTTTTGAGGCTTCTGGCCCCTCTTTGATGATAATAGGACTCCGATCTGTAGGCGGAACATTGAGGAAAAGGAACTTCCGTCCGCCAGATGCATATATATTTTCAATGAGACATTGTTACTAGGCCATTAATGTCAAGTACACTAGGTTGGGTTTTTTTGATGACCCCACCCGATGCTACAAATCGGAATCATTAGATCATACCGGCAACGTGTATTGAGGCGCGATACTCATTGATCCCAATCCGGAACCCAAACACCGCATTTTCTGAAGACCACGGCGCAGATATAGGCTTCTTGCTATATGCCAACTCAAAGTCCCGGACCTGCGATGTCACATCCCGTCTCGATTGTTGCTCCTCCAACAGCGAAGATGTAGCTGAGTACCGGCGAGCCATTGTATAGAGTGGTCAGGTATCCGATCCAATTGGTACCACCGCTCGTTGTACCGGGCCCTATTTGGCATTATGAGTATCTCAATCCTACTTCTTCACGTGAATAGCACCCACCTAGTGTCGGGTTTGTAGTAGATGGCTGTGTGCCATCGACAGTGAACTCAGTCTGAATGTAGGAATCTCCGCTGTGTAGACCATTAAGCTTCTCTCCGATTAATTAATACAAAATGATATCATACAACGCAAAAAGATAAGTCGGTGCATCTTGAGCTTGCAAGGGCGTCGCAGCAACTCTCGCACCGCCGGCCATAGGACCAAGATCACCTCGATGCTTCATAGTGGTATATAATGTGTGTAATGCCAAATACTTCCGCAATCTTGCAAGAAAATACAAAATTCCAGGAAGGCCCGCTACACATGCGCCCATGACTTTTCCCTAAATATATTGCGTTGGCCCTTGTTTCCAATCCTCCGGTATTGTCTGTGGAGCTCTTCCCAATATATTTAATATAATCATTCCTTTTATTGCGTTTCTCCGTTTCTCCGGATTAGTTTGCGGGTTTTTGAGGTTACGACTGGGCAACAATGACAGCACCAATGAAAGTGAACTGCGTAAGCGAACGCGGTCTGATAACCTATCAGTGGATTGAGTTCAATGTTTTATATGAACTATGATCTAGAAGGCCTAATATATGGCTATGTGGAAGTAGATGATCCAATGAAGGATTCTCAATACCCCTGCTCCGTACGCTTATAATCACTCTAATGCGCGCCAAAAAATTCACCTGAAAGTTCCAGTTCGAGGGTGCAAAACTTTAGTGGCTTGGTAAAGCTATCCGTGGCTTGGCCATAGGAATATTCCAAGGCTAAAGGTTACTCCTGATCTCTGCGGTAGAGATCTTGAATGCCCTGATGTGCGGAGTACGACATGTACTTCTTAGTTCTAGGTTTTATACCCCCCGCACCCTGTATCGGAGGAGACAAGTCTGCAATACTAGACTAATACCTAGGTACTAGTGTGCCGCCATTTCGGAGCGAAGGATTATTGAGGTCACTGACTATATGGAGAGACTAAGGGTAAAAAGGAGTATTGTATTATGATAGCTTAGCATTTGGGTGAATTTTGGCAGCATCATGCTAGCGTAGCACCACATAGTTAATAAGTGCTGCGAGGTGCTGCAGCCCAAGACCCTACAGGGCAACCGCCACGACATCCCTCCTCCATTATTAGTTATATAGCCATACACATTGAACCAGCACTTCTCGCGGCTGCCTGACGATGACTGACGATGACTGACGATGACTGACGATGACTGACGATGACTGACGATGACTGACGATGACTGACGATGACTGACGATGACTGACGATGCCTCACGATGCTGAAGATGCCTGAAGATGGCTGCAGTGGTTGATTGATGTCTATGCCTGACTTCGCCCAACATATGTGGGAATGTGCAGCGCATTCGTAAACGATAACGAGATCAGGCGTTAGGTGAAACACCAATCAGTCGAAAGGACGGGTTAGAGCGGTCCTCTTATGGAATAGACCAAATGAGGGTTAAGCAGCGAAATATCGGGTGCACATTGAGTTGAACTTGGACTGGAATTATATATGAGCCTAGGAAGAATTTGGTCTGAATACATTTTCACGGGAGTGGAGAAATGAAAGAAAATCTGACTACATCTCCAAGACAGTAGAGGTACATGAACAAGATTCAAGCGAAAACTCCGGTTTACCCCCGGATCCCTCGTGCTGATCGATGATTCCCGCGCTGTGGAATAAAAGGTGCCAAAACAAACATGTTAAAGAAAAGGGGTTCATAATACAAAGGTCAGACAGTTCACCTGCCTGACCATGGGTGTGAGCGGACCATTTACTCGACGACACGGGTAATCAGACCAGTGGCGACAGTGCGGCCACCCTCACGGATGTTGAAGCGCTGACCGGGCTCGGCAGCAACAGGGTGGTGGGTCTTGAGGACCATCTCAACGTTGTCACCGGGTTGGACACGTCTGGCCATGTCGCCATCAGGGAAGCTGAGATCACCAGCCTCATCTAGAGCATAGTTAGCATCCCTTATATCGATTTGATATTACATTAGATTAGTGGAAATTGAACCTACCAGCAGTACGGATGTAGACCTGGGGGCGGTAGTTGGCACCGAAACCAGTACGGCGACCACCCTCAGCCTCGGTCAAAACGTACATGGACACGAGGAACTTGTTGTTGGCCTTGGTGCTGTTAGGGGCAGCAACGACCATACCGCGGCGGATGTCCTCACGGCGGACACCGCGGAGCAGGAGACCGGAGTTGTCACCAGCACGGGACTCGTCACAGGACTTCTTGAAGGTCTCAATATCGGTAACCTTGGTCTTGATGGGGTTGCCGGAGTCGGTGGCACCGACAATTTCTACCTCAGTATCCTTCTTCAGGAGACCACGCTCGACACGGCCAGAGACAACAGTACCACGGCCAGGGATAGAGAAGACTTCCTCAACGGACATAAGGAAAGGCTTATCCATATCACGCTCGGGGGTGGGGATCCAGGTGTCGACGGCCTCCATGAGCTTCTCAATCTGCTCAGTACCAATGTCGGGGCGGCGGTCCTCTAGGGCGCAGAGGGCAGAGCCGAAGACGATAGGAGTCTCCTCACCCTCGAATCCGTAAGAGGAGAGCAGCTCACGCATCTCGAGCTCGACTAGCTCAAGCATCTCAGGGTCCTCGACAGCGTCGACCTTGTTAACGAACACAACAATCTTCTGAACACCAACCTGACGGGCAAGCAGCAAGTGCTCACGGGTCTGGGGCCTATTGCGTGAATTGCGTCAGCACACTCTTCAAACTAGGTTTATATGCTGGGGGCCGTACATCTGACCATCGGAGGCAGCAACGACGACAATGGCACCATCCATGTTGGCGGCACCAGTAATCATGTTCTTAATGTAATCGGCGTGACCGGGGCAGTCGACGTGGGCGTAGTGACGGGCCTCAGTTGCAAACTCAATGTGGGCAGTCGAGATGGTGATACCACGCTTGCGCTCCTCAGGGGCCTTGTCAATGGAGGCATAGTCGAGGAAGTTGGCAAGACCCTTGGAGGCCTGGTACTTGGTGATGGCGGCAGTCAGGGTGGTCTATGGGCGGACGGGTTAAATTCACGTTCGGATGGCCGGAGTGTCGGAACAAGTCGCGAATAGCTTACCTTGCCGTGATCGACGTGACCAATGGTACCTGGACAACAACCTTTGAGCATGGAAATGAATTATGCGCCAACGACTAGATCTTACCAATGTTCACGTGGGGCTTGTTACGCTCGAAAGCAGTAGCCAATCCACGGCCGGCCACCTTGTTGCTGAAGACATGGTGGACAGGGTTGACGGTAGTCGGACGCAGCAGGGAGGACCGGCTAGTGCGCGCCAGGAGGTTCAATGAACGGGAGATGGTCGACATCTTGGTTCAATCGAAACAAAAACGATGGAACAAGAACAAAAAGGAAAGATTAAAGAGATGGAGTAAGGATGGGAGAGAAGAAGCCCAGATCAACACCAAATTTTCTAGTAAGATGGCTTCCGGCATGGATGGATCCGCTCAGGGTGGCTTAGTCATCGGCCAATCACGGGCCTCGAATTGCGGGCAGAATACCTAGGTAGAGTGTTCAACATGGGGATAATCAAACATCAATTTTATGAATATTTTTCGGTTATCTGTGTGGCAACTGTGTCTCGATGCGCAGTATTCCAATGGTCTTAGATCTCCAGGGCTACTTCGAAGGTATGGACAAGTGACATCAGGTATCACGGTGTATGGACCCAACACATTCAAATTCTTGAATAGTCTAACAGTGATCACAAACAGCGCTATACAACTGATGCCATGTTGTACAGTTCAATGCCATATAATATACATGTGAACAGTCCTCTCCGCTAGATATTTTTCTGTGCAGTAATCCTGAGTTGCTTTCCCGGTTCCCCCTCCATTGCCTTGGTTTGAGTTCCACCGGCCTCTCTGACTGTGTTTAAAACACTCTGCATGACCTGTTTGATCTCATCCACTGTAGGACTGCGTTTGCGCTTTTTGGTGGTCAATAGGATTTCCACCCTGTGGCCTTTCTCCAAAAAGGTCGAGAGTTGTTTCAGGCGGTGCGACAGGTCATGGGCATCGATTGCCCAGTTCAGTTCAATTTGTTTGAATATAACCTTGGATTCGCGAGCTGACTTTGCTTTGGCCTTTTCATGTTCTCGCACTTCTTTCTTATTGTAGACCTTGCAAACCGGCGGGTTGTCATTATCTCCTTCTTGCACCTGGAGAAGAAAGAATTCGGCGTGATCAAAACTTTCAAGGACATCCTCTAGTCTGGTCGGAGGGTCGAGGTCACCTTCATCGTTCACAACTTGGACAAATGACGCCCGGATGGCTTCGTTTATCGGCGGCTTTTCGACAGGTGGTCGGTATGCTCGAAGCTCAAGGCAACGGGATTGGTGGAAAAATCGAGTCTGTGGGACATTCTGAGGAGGCCTGAATGCAAGCATGCTAACTCTGGAGATGCGAACGGGTGCGATGAAGACCTGGCGTAGGGCCTGGGCGGATGATATGAGACTGCGTGGGTGGTTCATATTGTCGGCTAGTAGCGGGAAATGTAGCAGGAGCAGTAGAAGAGAGGCGAGCTCGCCAGGGGGGAGAAATATAGTGTTTGCAACGATAAAATACAGAGCAGTTAATTGAACAGTGGAAGGGCCGCTAAATATGGGGAAGTCAAATACGACATTGGACCCGTGGACTGAGCCCAAGGATGCAAACACAACAAACATTAGTAATCCACCATCTGGCATCTGCCCCGGGACTATACCTACATACCAATATTTGAAGGTTAAATGCTTCCGGCCAACTCATGATGCCTACCTAGTACGTACCTATCAAATAGTATGGCCTTACTGCACATCGAGCACATCCGGCATCCGGCGCGTCGTCTAAAACAGCTGCCTTGATACATGGAAAATGGAAGTTTCTCACTCAATTTGAGAGTCGGGACGTACTGGCAATAAATCAATTACTACTTGTACGTGCTAACAATGCAAGCTATACTTTCTCTCTGCGGAGTAACTCTGTGAGAATATAAGTACACTCTAATGTTGTTCTGTTGTATTTCGTGTATATAGCAGTCAACCCTTCAAGTCTACGTATGTAGCTTGCACTGCTAACTTGATTGAATTGCAAGACCACAACGTTGCTTGCTCTAACTTCCCTCGTAGAGGCCTCAAGCATTTGTTTTGTTATTTGTTTCTGGAAAAGACAGTCCACTTTACACTCACTAGAAGAGAAAAATGTTTTAATTCTATATCATCATTCCTATGAACATTTGAATCTCGGAAGTTCTCCCGTGGTATGTACTAGTTATGTACCCAGGTACCGGCACAACCATGCATGCATTCAACGCCACATCTGCGCCACAACCATGAAACTTTGAATCTCCTTTCTCCCCTGACAAGTTTCCCTCTTTACATCCATCCGCTTTTTCCCCCCTAGACTGGATTGGTGTTTTTGGAGGACATCGGGATCAATGGTTACTTAATTGTTTCATTCTTCCTCTTAACCCCATACGATCGTTTAGCCATTCTTGCACCAGCGACAAACGCCACCTGTCATTGCACCCTTATAATTCGTCAACTGCTCGAATGTCGACTGGAGTCGACAATCAAACCCATAACAGCAAATCTGACTACATAGATTCGGCTACCCGCCACCGCTCCATCTCCCGCAGCGACGGATCTGCTATCTCGCAGTCCATTGAGTCCAGTCAATCCTCCGACAAACAACCCGTCAACATGGCACAAACCCAGAGATCGCGTTACTTGAAGACGGGGGCAATCATTGCCTTCATCTTTATGGTGCTGGTGTGGCTCTCCCCGTCCCAACCGAGCGCTTCAAGTCTTACCAACGGTTGGTGTTTCCCTTGCGTGCGCTGCCGTTCGCAGAACTGATTATTTGACAGAGCAACCACCTTCAAGCAGTGGTGCGTCCACTTCGAGAGTATGCACCAAGCCATTTGATTCATCCAAACCTCTTATTCAGTACGCTCTTATGATCGATGCTGGTAGCACTGGGTCCCGGATTCATGTATACCGATTCAACAACTGCGGCCCTACCCCAGAACTTGAGAACGAGGTATTCGAACAAACGAAAAAGAAGGAGGGAGGATCCGGTCTCAGCTCTTTTAGAGAGGATGCCGAGGGTGCAGCTCTGAGTCTGGACCCTCTTATGGATGTCGCTGTGAAGTCGGTTCCTGAGGAGTATAGGTCGTGCTCTCCGGTTGCCCTCAAGGCCACGGCCGGACTTCGTCTTCTAGGTCCTGAAATGAGTGACAAGATCTTGGAAGCCGTTAGACACCGCCTGGAAACCGCCTACCCCTTCCCCGTTGTCTCCAAGGAGAATGGCGGTGTCCAGATCATGGATGGTTCGGACGAAGGTGTCTACGCTTGGATTACAACCAACTACCTGTTGGGCAAGATTGGTGGCCCGGATGAGACTCCCACGGCTGCTGTCTTTGATTTGGGTGGCGGTTCCACTCAGATTGTCTTCCAGCCTACCTTCGAGCAGAGCAAGGCTGGTGGTATGCCGGAGCACCTCGCCGCCGGTGACCACAAGTATGACCTCAAGTTCGGTGGCCGCCAATTCGAGCTGTATCAGCACTCCCATCTAGGATACGGTCTCATGTCTGCTCGCGAGGCCATGAACACCGTGGTCGTGGAGGCAATGCTAGCTATGAGCCCCAAGGACCTCTCCTGGGTTGAGCAGCCCATCTCCAACCCCTGCATTGGCCCAGGAATGCAGAAGGAAGTTTCACTGAAATTCCCCGCGGATCATCCTCTGGGACCTAAAGTCAAAGTGACCATGGTGGGCCCGAAGGACAAGTCTATGGCCCCCCAGTGCCGTGCTATCGCCGAGAAGATCCTGAAGAAGAGCGGCGAGTGCAAGCTTTCACCCTGCTCTTTCAACGGCGTGCACCAGCCCTCTCTCGCGAAGACTTTTGCCCGAGAGGACGTGTACATCTTCTCTTATTTCTTCGACCGCACGGCTCCTCTTGGCATGCCGGAATCTTTCACTTTGGATGAGCTTAATCAGCTGACCTCCACCGTTTGTGCTGGCGAGAGTGAATGGAAGGCATTCGAGAGTGTTAAGTTCGAGGATGAGGATAATGCGCTCGTGCAACTTCGGGATCGTCCGGATTGGTGTATGGACCTCAGCTTCATGATGGGTCTGCTGCACACCGGTTACGAAATGCCCTTGTCCCGTGAGGTCAAGATCGCCAAGAAGATCAAGAACAACGAGCTGGGCTGGTGTCTTGGTGCGAGGTTAGTTCACTCCTTCCAGTTTCTTTCTAATCAGTATACTGACCTGCTACAGCTTGCCTCTTCTGAGCCAGGAATCCGGCTGGACTTGCCGCATCAAGGAAGTGGTCTAAAAAATGAGACGGTGAAACGCAAAATTATCACTTTTTAATAATGTCATTCAGTCATAGTGTATGATGGGTTCATGCATATATAGAGATGTGCGATATGCTCTTGTTTTGTTTTACTATTATTTTTCGTTATCTAGACTTGATTTTTGATGAGTTGCATACATAGGGAATGAATGTATGTGTCTGTGCATGCGATTGGTTTGGAGCCACTTCTGTAGAGGGGAAAAAAGCAAAGCATTAGACGCTAAATGATAACACGGAGCCCACGGTATGCAAATGTCAAGCCAGTAAATCGCCATGATTGAATCAAGACCACACATCTCGACCAAAAATGTCATAAATGATGCAACCCACCACCAAATCTAACAAGTGTCTACTAAGCCATCTCCTCGATAGACGGCTTATCCGTATTCGACTTCTTAGTCTTACCTCCCATAAGCTTCCCAATGATATCCGAGTCATTCATCTCCTGGGGAGTCTTCCCAGCCCCTGTGGCATCCTTAGACCCTTCGTCATCACTCTCCTCGTCACTCGAAGAATCACCATCGCGCTTCTCTTCCAAAACACCAAGACCAAGATCCTAAACTCCGTTAGCAAACCCATCACAAACATGAAGCACAATCAATAAACCTTACCATCTCAATATACTGCTCCCCATTCTCGTCCGCATTGTCGAGAATCAGATCCCCAGCCTCCCCGGCTTCAATCTGCCTCTGCAAATCCTCATTTGCATCCTTCATCTGTGGCAAGAAAGCGTTGAGCCGCGACAAAAGTCCCGAATCGCCTTTCATGCGATGTATGCGCGGTTTCGGGCGACCGGCGATGTGAGGCAGTGAGGATGGATTAGAGGCATGTGCGTGGGTGGTCGACTCTCTTGTGCTATTCATTTCTTGGTCGGAGTGCTGTTCGTCTTCCCTTTCGCTCTCGCTGTCATCCTCTGAAGATGAGCCTGAGGAGGAGGTTGGGTCGGAATCGGATGATTGAACAGAGTTTGCTCGCTGTCGCTGGGGCGCAGTGCGGTCTGCTAGGTTTAGGGTTTGTGGAGAGGGATTGCTTGTAGCAGCCTCGGATCTTGTCGTTGCGTTTGGCATGTTTTGGGCGTTTGGAGGTATGCGGTTTGCTGGGAGTCGCAGAGATTTCTGGTAGATTGTGATGCGCTGATGTGGTGTTTAAGGGTTGGAAGGCGTGCTGATAAGATGTTTCGAAAGTTTTGATACGGCTAAATGTGATCTTCGTGTCCGATAGCCCGCGAGTTTTGTCTGTGTCTTGGTGGAAGTTGGCGAGTCTCTTTGGAGGTCGGGCATTTTTCAACTTTTTTGGGTGGAGAACTGATAACGGATAAGCTTATCTGCTATCAATGCATGTGATCTACATCAACATCAAGTTAAGACGGAATTGAGAGTACAAATCGTAGATGGGAAGGAAATTCAAATGGTTATAGTTCCTCTGATCATACATGTTATTATTACAGGGTAGTTTAAAAAAGGAGTGAACCAGTAAAAAAAAGCCTCCCTCGTCTTTTTATACATGGCAAAACACCTGCGTAAAAATCACCGGCTCCGGTTCCTTCTGCGACTGCGACTTCGTCGTCGGCTTGGACTTCTTCGTCGGCTAGGACTCCTTCGTCGACTAGGGGTTCGTCGACGAGGTCGGCGATCATCTGCGTCCTTCTCTTTTTCTTTTTCTTTTTCTTTCTCCTTCTTTTCTTTTTCTGTGCCAATCTCCAGATCTCCCTCTTTTGCTTGAGTCGGATCCTTATCTCGTTCAGATACCGGTTTGTAACGGTCAATGTCGGCTAACCGGGGTCGCTGTTCTCGCTCTGGAGATCGGACCCGGCGGCGTGGCGACTTGCTCCGGTTACTGGTGGAGGGCACGTAGCGGTCAATATCTAGAGTAGGAGAAGGCGAGCGACGCCGAGACCGAGATCGCCGTCGAGTAGATCGAGAACGTGACCGAGGGCGGTCGCGAGCACGAAGGCGCGAGCGTGAGCGGCTGCGAGAACGTCGGCGTATAGGTGAGCGAGAGGGCCGATTGCGCCGAGGACGATAATTGTCATGATCTCGGTCTCGGTTGCGGCTGCGGTCTCGGTCGCGGTCTTTCGACCGCGATCGATCTCGTATTCTCTCTCTATCGCGGCAAACACTGCGGTCCCGGTCACGCCGGCCGGCAGATCGACTGCGGCTGCGACGGCTTGGTCTGTAGCTTCCACCACCTCGATCATCCCGGAAGTCGCGGTAGCCACGGCGCGCATCCATATCACGATCTCGAGACCTCACAGAAGTATCCCGGGACCGTTCACGTCGACGATCTGTGTCATAACGGGATGTGTGCCGTCGGCGCGAGCGACTACGGCTTCGATCCCGAGTTAAATGTCGGGACCGATCACCCCGGTCTGCAAGAGAGCCATGCCTCGCGTCAGCATCTCGGGATAGGCTGGCCGCTCTAGTAGATGTATTGGAAAACCTGGAATCATTGGCGCTCTTAGCCGGCCCTAATGTCGATACTGGCGGTTTCAGTCCATTTTCAATAGCCTCGGCCTCCTCAAAGTCAAACTCGGGCTTCTGTCGAGCCTTGGCTGCAAGTTCTTCGCCTTCTTTCAATAGCATTTGTAAAGCAGCCTCCTCAAGTGACTTCTCATCCACAAGAGGCGCTAGCACAGGAGTAGGAGCATTCGATGTAGATGACTTGTCGTGTTTTGAGTCACGGGGCCAAGGGGATAAGCCACGGTCAGAACGATAGGCCGGAGAGCGATCACGGAAACGGTCTCTATCTCGAGTTCGACTGCGGTCGCGGTCCCAGCCTCGATATCGCTCCCTATCTTCTCGCCTTCGTCGCTCATATCTTTCGTCTCGCTCTCGTTCTCGCTGCTCGTCGAGAATTCGTTGCTCTTCGCGTTGACGTTCACGATCAGCTCGCCTCTGTTCATCAATTTCCTTTCTTCGGGCACGGTCTTCGTCGTCTTTCTGACGTTCAAGCTCGCGCTTCTTTTTGCGTTCTTCGTCCCTAATGCGTTTTTCCTCTTCCTCGATCTCCCTCTGTTTGCGCTCCTCTTCGCGCCACACTTTTTCCCGCTCCTCCCGCTGGGCACTGACGTAGGCTTCGTAATCTGCATCGGTTTTGTTCCCTAGCTCGAGTTCACGGCCGGCAACTTCTTCTCCAACATCCTGGCATCGGATCTCACGAACAGATTCGAGGATAAAATCCAGGTGTTTAGATGCTAATTGGTCAATGGAGTCCTCCACACTCTTGTAGGCATCACCACGGTCCACCGCACCCTCAATGAGTGTCGCTGCTTTTCCTCTTTCGCGGGACAGCAGTGCCGGCTCGCGATCGATCTCTGACTCTGCAAGTGCGACTAACTTGCTGGTAAAATCGGTCCGAAGTTCCTGTTCGGGTAGGATTAGCAGGGCGCAGAAAAACATGTAAATAATATCTCATACCCCGTCATTGAAGTCAGCCCATATTTGTTTGCGAACACTATCAAAGCCGCCCTTCTTCTTGAATGAATGTAGGAGCTTGTCAATGACTGCATGTTGCGCGGCGGACAAGGGAAGGTCATCGGTTTTGAACTTCTTGTGCTTCACGCTCTCAATATCAATAGGTCGTTTAGCCGTAGAATGGACATCCTCTATCCCCTGAGAATTGTCCATGTCCGTTGCCTCAGCAGAAGCCATAGTAACACGACTGGCCTGGACAAGAGAGAGATTCAAAGTCGCGCGAGCGATAAGCGATAACAGCCGTGATCGGAAGAATGGTTGTTCCGTGATTGGGAACTGCGGCCCGCTGATTTGCTTCAACCTCGTCTCTCCTGTACTATTGCGACGGCAACATCCAACTCCGCCTCCATTTACCCCGGCCGCTGTGGTGTTGAATTAACCAATCCACCCATCCGCCTTCTTAATCTTTTTTCTCGGATCCCTCTCCGCACTCGAATTACAACCACAACCCCGCGCCCGACCGCGATCATGGTTCACAAAGTACTCTTCTGGAGTGGCTTCGGTACGTGACATATCCTTCTCTGGCTTTCAATCTATTACAAGAGCCTACTTCTTGGTAGCACAATTATTTGATTTATTTATATGGCCATTGGGACTAACCTCGTTGATCCCACAGGCATTGCCGTCCGCCTCTGGCAACTCGGTATCGAGATGCGTCCGATCCTCGCCAAGGAATCCCTCTGGGTCTACCCTCTTTTCGCCGGTGTTGGTGGAAGCTTTGGCTACTGGCTCCAGGGTGTTGAGAGCAGACAATTGAAGATGCTTGCACAGCGCCGCGAGGCCATTCTCGAGAAGCGTCGGCGGCGGGATGAGAAGCCCGAGGGTGGTGTCCTGGCTGCTGCATCATAAAGCAAGAGCTATTATGATTGAGATGGTCGTTGTGTGTATGCGTTTTTCTATTTGTACCAAAATTCAACCGGTTTGATATCAGCTTTCAGGTCTTCGCATTTAGTGGACATTTCTTGCCACAGATGCATTGGCATTTCTTATCTTTTTGATCTGTTCTACAAAATTCTGGATAAGAATAGTCGGCTAAGAATAGTCTTCAATTGCCCGTCTATTTTTTTTTTTTTAATTTAACGGGGTATAAATCCCGAAGTAGAACGTTTCAAGGTTGATATCGACCCATCCATCATGTCGGGTCTGAGGCGTTATGAGTCAGCAAGGAGTGGGTGCCCGGCGGGCTGGCTCCCCGGGTCGAGTACATCATCAACTCCGCTCCGTAGACACCTACTTATACTGCGCTCGTCATTCATTAGTTCTTTTCTGTTTGTTCCCTCTGTAACTTAGCCGAGCTTCCCGGTCCTTCTCGGGTCTCTTATTTCTTTTATCGCGATGCTTATTGTCTGCCTTTGAGAAAGAGTCCGATGCCGAGACTGCGTGGCATAGATGGATAACCGCGGCTCCTTTTTCTTCTTTCTGCTGGTGTTCTACCTTCTCCTCAGTTCTCAGTCTCGACCACCATTGATCGATGAAGATCGGGCACGGCAACGTGAGCTTGACAATGAGCGACAGGCCCTTCGGCTGTTAAATGGGTCAAAATATGGCGACTTCGATCCGCCCGCCAATCGATGGCTTCCTTTTTCGGGCTTAAGGGGGAATGACAGCTATGCTTGGGACCTTTTCCCGCAGGTCAAAGGCCTGGCTCGCCACCAGTTACAATCAGCAGTCTCAAATGCCGGATTAGAACCTCCGCATGGTCTAGAAGACCCCACCGTCTCGCCTACGTTGAACTTGACCAAGCTCCTGCTTCCAGTATATCGCAACTCAACCGGAAAGCTTCGGGGGGACTGGGTTCGTCGAACTGAAGGTGCTGATCGCCGTGAACCTCTGAACACGACAGGCATCGCTGAAGAACACGAATATTTCACCCATGAATTCAGCCATAATATCACTGGCAATGTGGGCACCTTTTACTTTGATCTTGAAGAGGGAGGTGGCGAAGAGCTTCAGATGGGCGATGGACTTTTGAGAGAGATGCGAGCCAGTTTGACGGTCGAGAGCGAGGACTTCTGGGGAAGTACCTGGTACATCTCGTTGTTTGGTGTGCACTTCCCAGACACCGGAAGTATCGTTTTGACTACTTCTAGTGAGAAATTTGGCGGCATCTTCTCCTTGCCGCATTTCATGCTATCTTCTGACACTTACGAACTGTCCCATGAGCTTCTTCTCAAGTCGCTGTCGGACACCATCTCGGAGAAGCAAAATCGACCCCCAACACTGTTCCCCTGGTCCTCTCTCGCAGGAACAGAGCAGATGGAGTTCCCTGCGCCTAAATGTGAACATATCATCTACTTGCAGCAGCATCCAGTGATGCTCGGGGATGCCGCTGCTGACCGATTGTTACTGGAGCGTATGGAGCAAGAGCTCAGATATCCCATGGGAGCGCCGATCCCAGATCCTCCTCTTATGGTCATGTCTGCTGTTGTCTTCTCCCCAGACTGCGGGTACATACTTGAAACGAAAGGAACCCCCGAGTTCCCTCCTTCTGATTCGCTATATGTGACTGGGCCCAAAGTGGAGGAGTACAGTAAATATGCAGCTCGTCTCATTTTCGTGGTTTCTGGTGTTTTTGTTGCACAGATCGCCCTGCTTCTCCGACAGATCAAAGAGGCTTCGACTCCTTCTACTCGGAGTCGGATCAGCTTCTATACCATCGCATTGATGGCGCTCGGCGATGCATTTGTTTTGACATTCATTGTTTTGGAACTATACGCGGCAGTATCTTTCTTGGTTCTGACCACTGCATCATTCTTGGCGTTCCTGTCGGTGAGTTATATTGGAATGAAGTTCATGATGGAAATATGGGCAGTGCAAGAGCCAGAAAGAAGAGAGCAAGATCGTCCGCCCAATGCATCAGCTCCAACTTCTCTCCCTGAACCATTGCCTTTACCTGCCACTGCTCCGGAAGTGCGAGACTCGGGGGCGACCCCAATCATCTTGTCGCCCGACCAAGACGCCCCGGACGATGAGATGGATTCGCCGCCGCCAGCCACCCGAACCACTCCCCCAACTCCAAGGCAAATCCGCAGCGACGTAGGAACAATGTACGCACGGTTCTATCTTGCGCTGTTTGGCATGCTCATCCTGTCAATCTGGGCTTTCCTCCTGCCGAGACGCCTCGGCTCGATTTACACCCGCTTCTTGGCAGCAGTATATCTCTCCTTCTGGGTTCCACAGATCTACCGCAACGTGATGCGAAATTGCCGCAAGGCTCTTCGATGGGACTTCGTTGCCGGCCAAAGTGTTCTCCGGCTCTTCCCATTCTTGTACTTCCTCACAGCACGGGGAAACGTGTTGTTTATCCGCCCCGACTACACAAGCGCATTCATTATGACTGGATGGGTGTGGATTCAAGCTTGGATCCTGGTCAGCCAGGACGTTCTCGGCCCGCGCTTCTTTGTGCCACGTGGTTGGGCGCCGCATGCATACGATTACCATCCCATGCTGCGCGATTTATCCGGAGTGGACGAGGATCTCGAAGCTGGTGGTGGCATTCTGTCGATTGCATCCCTGCGGGGCGATGAGCGAGATCTGGTCAGTGACTCCAAGGATGACGATAAGCAGCGGAAAGACCGCAAGAAGGCCATATTCGATTGTGCTATTTGCATGCAGGATATCGAGGTGCCTGTCCTTCCCGCGCCTTCTACGTCGGGTGGAAGTAGCGTCACCGATGGGGCCTCGAGCATCTTGAGTCGCCGGTTGTACATGGTCACTCCTTGTCGTCATATATTCCACACTGCCTGTCTGGAAAGCTGGATGAGACTTCGTCTCCAGTGTCCGATCTGTCGTGATTCCATACCTCCTGTATAGCTTCTGTTGTAATGCTTTTCGTACATGATATCATTTTCCTGTACACAGACCGGCTGCATTCCACTGATGAGGCCTGCGTGATCTAGCTCTGAATACACATCAATCTGGATATATGGACCATGATTTCTCTACAGGGAAGTAAAACAACAAACCATTCACATATAACTATAGAAATCTTGTTGAACAGTATATCGATCCGTTTACGGATCGACGAATCTAAACGCTTTCGTTGAAGGAAATCGGTCACCATTGGGCATACATGACAATATAACATCACACTTAAAGAAAAAGGAATTCACCACATCCCGTACCAGGCAGGCATTTATAAACCACAAATCATGATCAGTCTTTACACTCAAATTTAAGCATCGATGGTCTCTTTGTAGGCAGCCTCATCGAGCAATGCATCGAGCTCAGCAGCATCAGCGACCTCAATCTCAGCGATCCAACCCTCACCCTCGGGGCTCTCGTTGATGGTCTTAGCCTTGTCCTCGAGGATGCTGTTACCCTTGATAACCTTGCCGGCGACAGGGGAGAGGACATCGGAGGCAGACTTGACGGACTCGACAGCGCCGACGGGCTCACCGGCAACGACCTCGAGGTCGACCTCGGGAAGCTCTACATAGACAACATCACCCAGGGAGTGGGCGGCGTATTCGGTGATACCGATCTTGGCTGTAGAGTGTGTTAGTTACCTCGCTGCTCCATATCCTGTATACTATAAAAGACCATATACACCTGGCACGTCGGTTCAATGGGTCGAAGGCAGATGTGTGGGACCAATTGATCGGGGTGGTAGTGAACTAACCAGTCTTGCCGCCGTCGGCCAGCTCAATCCATTCGTGCGACTCTGTGTACTTCTTCAGCTGAGCTATAATCGCGAATTGGTGCGCCGTTAGTAAAATGTGACATCATAGAGCTCCAGGAAGCATGTTTGAGGGATTGTGATGCTTCAAAGCCAGTCCAAATGTCTTGTACATCGTCCTAGACAGCATTTAACAGCAATGGGGGTTCATAGTACTCACAAAGAGGGCTCTGGGAGAAGCTCCTGGTTCCCCGCGGGAAACGGAAAGCAGGCGAAACCTGGCAGGCGGAGGCAAGAGGCTTCTGGGTAAGGACCCGGGAAGCAAATGGGCGGATGGCGCGGGCGACGGAGGACATTTTGAGGTATAGAGGAAAGGAATTGAAAGCGTGGAAGGTGAAATGAGGAGAGGGGAGAGTTTAAGTAGAAGGGAAAGAAGGTGATGCCCTTCTCCGGCGGAGTTTCGTTGACGGCATTTCCCCGATAACGAAATGCCAAGACTACGATAAGCAACGCGCTAACCTCGTCGGATTTTGCTGGCTTCAAATGGTCATTGCTTCCATTTCTGTCTCTAGTTCGCGCCACCCCTCGATGCCATGTTGTACGAGCTGATTGCCATTGTATGTTTTGGTTTCATTGGAACTGTTATATTGACTTTAAAAGACATGTCTGGATTTGCTAACCGCTCTGCTAACAGGTCCGCCCGGGCAGCCTCAACGAGGTGCGAGAGTACGTCTGAATCAACACCATCGCTACGGTCTCCATCATCCGAACCTATCAAATACTAATATACACAATTTGCTGCAGAATTGCCCGTAATGCCGGTACCCAAGTCATCCGCTCCGGCGGCGTCGTTCGCGGCTACACCAACTGGGGCGCCTTCCGCCTGCCCAGGGTCACCACAAAACATCAGGCCCGATACACCGAAGGTCACCACTTCATCATGCGCTTCGACTCCTCCGGCTCTGTTCAGTCATCTATCCGCCGCACTCTCGGTCTCGACCCGCGTATGATCAACTTCTCCGTGGTCAAGCTCGGCGACAAGCTCGAAGAGATCAAGGATATCGAGGGCAAGGTCGAGTGGAACAACGTTTCTACCATCACCGAGCAGATCTAGTTGACGCAAATTTTTTGACGAAAGTTTGATTGATTGTTGATATCAGATTTAGGAGCGTGGATTTGGATTTCAGCACTTTTCTTTTTGTTCTTTGTATTATTATGGCACGGGCATTGGGAACTGCCACTCGAACCTATCAGCAAAATTGGCGCATATTGTACAAAATACCAGTTTGATCTACACGTCTATTTTGTGGCTGTTACTACAATTCCTGTTCCCTCCACTCCTCGGTCATCCATACAACATGGCAACGACAAGCACGGCAGATGAACTATGCATCTGATAGAAAAGCTCAATATATTCTTCCCTATTTATATTTATAG